CAAAAAAATTTCTGGTGTTCTAGGGAAACACTTCTGGAAATTTCCAGAACCAAATTTGTTACCTTAAATCTCTAGGATTAATCAAGAAAAATTGAAAAATCATAGCATTATTAGTTGATTTGGCAGGTTTAAGGCAAAAGTTGTGTTTTTCAATTTTTTTATTATTTCATTGCACTTTGATTATAAATTATGCTTATGAAATATTCAATTATTTAAATTGGAGTTATTCAATTTGAACCATGACATCATGACCAGAAAGAAGAAAGATAAGGAAATGCATGAAAAAGTCAAAAATACAGGTATATTAGATGGAAAATGGGTTTTAGGTTATTATTAAGTGATCTGAAGGCTCAAAAAAGGTTTTATTATGAAATAGCATGATCACATTAGTCATCAACAACTTTAATTATGAGGGTTGATAAGAGAGCAGTGAAGTTATTCAAGAAAGAGGGAAATTTGAGGATGGTAAACAAGGGTACTGCAGGATTTAATCATATGTAATGATGTCATTGAGGGATTTAAGGATTCCAAGAGTTATGAGAGTGATTTTGAGAGTTACTCTTATGAATGGATTGATAAACTTTGATCTTGTGATGTAGAAGAAATCAATATTAGATGTTAAAAGAGGTGAAAATGGGTGAAAATTGTCAAAATTGGAGGCTTTCAGCTGACTACATATGTCAAACCTTGTCACCTCGTGATGGGTGATAGCTCAATTGACGTAAGTGTTCCATCTCACAATGTACAACCTTTGAATCAATAGTAACGGAGGTTTTCTTGTGGTTACATACACACATGTAGCAACATTTACATGACAAAAAGCTTATTGTATCAATCTCTACAACTCAATAACTTATCCATAACACATTAGAAGTAGGTCACATGAGGCAAATTTATGATCAGAATCTTAAGAGCTAGCAGAGCAGCTATAGTAATCCAAAATTGGACAACTTGACAAAAAAGTTGTAATTCTAAAAATGGTTTTCAGCTATGAGTATTAGGAAAAAATCACATTTATTCATCATAAGAAGATCTTTCCATCATTTGTAAGCATCAATTGTTCAATTTCACAGCTTAAAACATGTCATGCATCAATAATAATTACATCATAGGATTACATCAGAGGGATTTTTGTTGGTTTTTGTTGGTTTTTGAAATTGTTGAACATTTTAGTAGGTGTTATAAATTATAAATAGGTGAATTTTCTGCTGTTGCTCCCATTTTTGTCTTTATCATTCACAATATTATCATTCTGTTTATCATTATAAACTTGTTTAATAATACCTGGTCACTTGAATATGCCCTTTACAGAGAAATTTACTTGAGTGTTGTAGTTTTGTGAATTGAAAAGTCTTTTGGTAAGATTGGAATAACACCATAAGTGTTGAGAGTCAATTAAGACTGTGCTATTCCATTTGAAACTTGTGCTTTTTGGTCCTTTGAAAGTCAATTGAGATACTTTTCTTTTTTGATACTTATCAGTACTCAATTCAACACAGTTCCCCTTTGTGATTGTCTTGTTGTAGATGGGAAGTCTTCAGACATCTTCTACTAATGCAATAGGAAACAGCATGTGACTGGTAGGAGTCATACATTAGTGATATATAGAAGCGCTAAAGCTTGGAGTCACTAATTAAGGAGTGATCAGAAAGAAACTGCACCTGTCGTAAGGTGACACAAACAAGAGAGACAAAATTTTGAGTGAAGAGAAAACAATATTATCACACAAACAAGACTATGGTAGTTCTTTCTAGACATAGTTTAATCAAATGTATGAGGTTGTGAGTATCATTTGCCGCATTGGGATGGATTGCAACAAGACTCAAAAGGGAAATGACAGATAGAAGGAATGACTTTCATGAGCTCAAAGTAGAAGGTGAGATGGTTACAATTGTAGCTAGGAATGAGAAATATGAGAATTCAATATCTACTAGTCTCTTATTGGTATATTATCCCCTTCATGCTCTGTATAACCCTTGTTGGGTTATAAGTTCTACAATGTGAAACATGCTATTTAGTGTAGAGTTGTGTGGCTTGCTCAGTGTTGCTACCAACCGCACTGGAATATCCAATTTTTGGGTTTTTCCTGTGTCACAGGGTATTGGAATGGGCATTTTGGGTGGTTTTAGGACAGATTATTTACCTGTAGCTCTCTAGGGTCATTCTAAAGGCATGAAATCAGGTATTTGGAGCAAAAAGCTTATCAGTGCCACAATTTTGATCCAAATTGGAATTCAAGCACAGATTTGGAATCCTCACATTGGAAGCTATCAGAAATTGTCATCTCTGGGTTGTTTTAAGGGCTTTTTATTTTTCATCATTTTTACAACACAACAGATTTATATCATACAATGTAATTTTTGATAACAAAAGATAAGCAATACAATTTGTGGTGCTTTGTAGCCTTATCCATCAGCAAGGAGAAAAATTACAGCAATAAGTCAATATATTTGATTAAAATATAAGGGAAAAGGAACAAAAGTTATTGATCAAACTCAGCATTGGTTGCATTTTTGGGAAAAATGATTAAAAGATACGCTGACCAGTGCTTTGCAACCTTCTCCATCAGTGAGGACAAAACTTTCAGCAAGAAGTCAACATTTTGATACAAGGAAAAGGGGAAACAGTGATTGATCAAAGTCAGCATCAGTTTCAAAGCTCTGAGCACAATTCAAATTGTATAGTTGCACTGCCTACATAGATGCCTTGGGTTGCGGAATCCAAGGCATCATCAGAGGTAATCCTTAGACAGACCTTGTACAAGGTTTTGGCCGAGGTAATCTTTTGCGCTGAGAATTGCCTTGGATCAAAACCTTGGACAGCTTCTGTCCAAGGTTTGGAATCCGATAATACCTTGGATTGGAAAATGTGAGGTAAATATGTTGGCGGTGTTGGTCAGAGGGTTAGAACCAGGTTTGACTGACATGGCCTCTCTACAAGCCATCAAATGCATTGAACAATTAATAGATCAAGAAAAATTCATCAATGAGATCCAGAAAAAGGTGGACTGACAATAGATTGAACATTGTCTTGTTGGTCTTGCAAAGAGACTGATGGATGGTCACAAGAGGACAGGTTTGCCCATTTGTTTCAAACAAATCCTTTTCTTCCTGAAGATTGGAACACTTCAAACCAAATTGTTGCATGTATTAATCCTGTCAGTATTGGATACAAAAGACAAGAAAGCAAAGAAGATGAAAAACTTACATGGCTTGATGTAAAATTAAAGAAATTTGAATGGATCAAAATCTCAACAGAATTTGAAGTTGGGACTGATCAGGACTGATCCACCCAAATGATGTGATCCCAATCCTATATGTATGTGGAAACTTGAACACATGTAATTTTTTTGCCTGGTCCAACATTTCACGCTTTGAGATACTACCCACTATGTATAGAGAGGCTGTGATGACAGCTCACTCATGGTTTCAACAGAAGAAGTATGGAAAAAATGTTTTAATCCAAATTTAACCCTTTTATACAATATCCCTCAGTGATACTTTTGGCAGAGATCTGCCACAAATTTCTTTACTACCGGCAGTTTGAGATGATGTGTGTTGTCTTTTCTCCATCAAGCCTCAAGTGGTGGGGGAGGCACAATTTTGGTGCGCTAGTACGCACCTGGTGCGGGCACATATGAGCGCACAGTTCTTTCCTCCGAATGGGGGTAGGCGTGCTAGAGCGTGCTCATGAACCCAAGCAGGTGATCTACAAGGTCTTCAGCTTTTTTCAGCCCTCTTATATACCCCCTAAATCATCTCAGATGCATCAATGTGCTATTTTTACTACCTAAAACCATCTTCTTCAGTCATCACTGCCAACATACTTGCCTCGGGTTGAGAAATCCAAGGCATCATCGGATGCATATCCTCGGATAAATCCTGTCCGAGGTTTCAATCCGAGGCAATCTTATGCGTCATGAAATGGCTCGGATCAAATCATCAGACAAGAGCTGTCCGAGGGCATAGACCCGAGAATACCTCGGATTGTGAGATCCGAGGTAAAAATGTTGGCAGTGCATGGAAGCACCTACAGCTTGGATTGAAAGGTCCCACAACCACAAATCTATTTTTTGTTTGGTTGATTTTTGTTGTTCTATTGCTGGTAAATTTGTGCAGAGGTGGTTTATATTGGAAGATTTATGTTACCAGGGATGTAGATGTGGGTGATGAGACATCATTAGGAAGTTGACATGTTGTCCATTTTTTTGCGCTGCTTGCGCCCTGTCTCATCCCCAGCCAAAACAGGGGCGCGCCCCGGCGCGTACTTTCTCCGAAGCTTGCGCCTACACTCCCCCACAAGCCCCCACAACATGAAGCAAGAGGGAGCGCGTTTGAATACAGGAAGAAATGATCTTGCAAACCTGAGACACTTCTCTTCTAGCTTCAGATCCCAGAGCCATACTTTGAATCTTGATAGAACTTGCGTCCCACCAGCTTTCAGAACAGAATTACTGATCAAGACTTGAGGTATCAGTATGTTGATATAGATTTGTGACACAAGTAGGGGGTGTCGCACTTCAGGATGTTCATGTTATGATCATTTTGTATGATCAGTGTTGGCTTCCTCCCTACTCAGTCTCTATCTCTTTGCATCAAATATCAATTTTTCAACAAAAACGAATATCTCAATGCATTCATCTTCATTTCAGAAATTGGTCTTTTTCATTCTTTTTTATCGTCCTTCCATCAACTGCGGAAGTATCTCAAAACGAGAGTTAGAAAGTTTGCGTTCATTTATCTTTTGGAAACTATGTATAGATGATTGTTCTCAGCACTAACCTCAACTTGAATTGACTTTGATGTCAATTAGATCCTGAAATAGTTCTTGGTCACGCGTTCCAATTTTTCAAGGATGAAGCGAACAGTGCCTATCCAATTGATTACCATACGATCCACACAGTTCCTCTTCAGAACCTTCGAACTACAACAGAAACACCGGATTTGGAAACTCATGGCTTCACTTATGTTTTGGACACGCCTGTTGCTGGAATGGAAAACATGGACAAATTATCTGATGAGCACCTAGAAGTCTTGACAGCCAATGCTGTTGAACTTGTGAAAAAGCTGTAAGGATTCCCTCGAAGAAACTATCCCTGAACAACAAAAAACGGCTCATCGATTTTTGCTTTAGGACAAAGGCGAAATTGGTATTACCCCATGGTGCTACTTTTAGAGATCACACTTCAAGATATACGAGAAAACCAATTCCAGTGATTCACTCTGACCTGTCACCATCAGGGGCTAAATACATGAAAAACAATATAAAACAACGTTTCTTGCAGTCGACGGATCCAAAGGAGGTTCAATTTGGACAGTACTTGCAGGAAGGTCAAGATGTTGTTATGCTGAATGTTTGAAGGCCAATTTACCCAGTCGAAGACAATCACCTTGGTTTTTGTGCGTGGAATTCACTCGTGGAAGAAGATGCCATAAAATCAAACATCATACCAACAAGTGCTGGAAATGCACTTCAGCCATGGAAGTACAGAAAGGGTCAGAAATGGTATTACTTGAAAAACCAGCAGCCTAACGAAGTATATGTATTCTTGCAACACGATGACCGCGCAGCCGACGGACACGGGATCAATACTCCACATGCAGCCTTTAGACTCGAAGATCAAGCGGGAGAATCTATAAGAATGAGTTTTGACGCTAAACTCATTGCAATTATTGATCCACCTGAACGACCACTTTCAAAAGGAAGTAAGCACACCAAATCAGTCGTTGAGAATTTCAAATGGAATGCATGGAGAACGCCCAAAAAATGGAATTCTGAATAAGATTTTGAGTCTACTGGAGGTTTTATGGAATCATTGATGCTTGGAAACATCAAACTTCTAGTGATCTTGCACTACTCATCAAACCTATGATTGATTCATTCATTTGTCACATATACTATAATGAGATTCTCATCACAATTTTCAACTTTGACATCAATGTTTGCCGATCTTAGCCCTTGATAAGGTGTAGCTGAACACCCAGTCCTTCTGTCAAAACACGCAACCCTTTGAGATAATTGCAATATATAATCCAATGTCAGTAATTATAATTAGATATGTATAAACTTCAACAAATGTTTTGGATTTTGTTGAATTACCAGTCGAAAATCAAGACAAGATACATGGAGACGAGATAAAGCATGCATCCTGGACAAGGTAAGTGTTACATTGAAGCTGTACTGTTGATGTAAGAGTAAGCTATGGAGGAGATGATCCAGTAAGTTCGTTTGCAGTATGTATAAGGTGAAGTTATGGTGTATCAAACTTGGAAGTCCTTCATTGGACCCCCTCATATATAGGTGCAAGTGACATCACCCCGTTTCATTGCACAGAATGTGAACCTGTTATCGTGAGTTATGTTAGTGCATAGCTTGCGTTTCAAAAGATAGGTATTTATGTAGTTGAATTCAGCTCAACATTGCGATATTACAAGCCGCACTCGATTGGGAGGTAGCAGCAGTGCAATTGGGAAGCGCGCTTTCTCCAGTTCCTAGACAACCGCAATTGGCGATGATCGAATAGTAGGCAGTCCAAACTCCTGTTTTTCCGTAAAAATACTCGTCAGACCAAATTTGATTAAAATGAACTACATGATGGCTTGACCATTATAGTATTGGTAACGTTCTCCGGCTGTGGTGTTTTGGCACTCGGGAGTAACTGCAGAGGGCCACGAGGCACTTGAATTTACTATGGGTTTTCCTTCACCCATCATGATGTAAGGGGTGGCAGAAGCAAAGGATGACGAGTGAACTGGTATCTAGATTTCGGGAAAAAGGTAAAATCAGAAATATTATCTAGATATGCGGCTGATAAATAGAAACCTTGACAAACATCTCCACAATCAAATGCTTTTCCGCTCGGCCAGTTGGAATTGATGAGTGAACAGGCAATAGAGCCATTACAAACGTTAGAGATCCCAAAGGCGTTGGGTTCCTGAATACTAGAAGAGATCGCAGGATTGAATAGCAGAGATCCGAAGGCATACGCAAAGGTAATGAAGAGATAATTAATTATGGCCATATTTCCAAGTAAGTTCAGTTTTGGATTGAGAGAATGACTTTGAAGCTAGTGGGACTTCTTTTTGGCTTCGTGTTGAGGAGTGGTATGGGTCTTTTTCCAGCCTGGCTTTCGTTGGGTTCGAAGCATAAACTCTCGGCTGCTCTCGGCTTGAAGGAGGACAGGATAGCTGACTTGGGACGGAGAGATGAAAATCATCACGTGCACATATCGTGTAAGTTTTGATCATTATACTCACATACTGAAATTCCTAACAAGTTACGAAAACGGGTCCTCGTTCTTTTGTAGGCTTTCTTGATCTATAAATATGTCAAAAGGTCAAACGAGGGCAACAATTCATATCTTCTTTGCCCCGGGTCTCACAACCATTAGTGACCCCTATACGGCATTATGAGCTCCTTTGAATACCTTGAAGGCCCTCATAGTCTTGTGATAGACTTGCACATCGACCTATTCCTGATCGGGCTCCACCTCCTGTTCATAGTCACAGCACCGCCAGTCAACACATGGTTTCCGAAAGAGTTCTACCTAGCCCCTCCTCTACTGGATGTTGATCCCCCTCGTGATTGAACTTAGCTACGCAAATGCGGGACTGCAATTCGGCACCTGGTTGCAATTGTGATGACCACGGCTAGTCAAAGGTGGAGTAGTCGTGGAATCCGGTCTGGCTTGAGGAATCAACCCTATAGGCAATTTGCAATTTACGCCTGTCGGCCAGAAAAGCCAAAAGATGAGTCGCGAAAGAAAATGAACTCGAAGAGAAATCATAAAATGTCGACGTGTCCCCAGCCTGAGGGTGCTTCTACCACACTACATGAGCCTAAAGAATAACATATATAGCTAACCCAAAGATAGCACACAGTTATGATAGAAAACAAAAATATAACAAAGTGAGTTCCTAGTGCGAGTTGAGGAAGACACGATTTGAACAAAACGAGAAACATTTACAATCAGATAAGGGAAACAAATTATCTCATCCTGACTAAGACTACTCTACTCATCTCGAGTCTATGTCATGGAGAAGATAAGCCAAAGTGCTGTGACTGCGAGTCTCTAACGAGGTATGGTCTGATTCCCGTGTCAATGCACCCACAGGCACACATCAACTCGCAGGAGTGTTGAAAGGGGTCAACCGAACCTATGTTCTCGTTGTGATTTTTTGAAGCTGTTGCTACAACACAGAAAAGATAATTCATTCCAACCTTGCGCAGTTCACCAGAGTGCGTTCACCGTGAAAAATATCCACTGATGACTGTAGCAAATCCCGAAATTGTCGCTAGCAGTGTCCCAATCAAATCCGGCATGACCATCAGGAATTGAAACCGTGCGCTAAGAGTTCATCTCGACACAGTGTTGGAGCCATATATCATGTGGCCAGCGAGGTCGACCCAGTGCTTGTTTTCTGGCTAGCCTACATATCTGACTTAGGGGAGTCCATCGTGTTTATAAGCCGAGTGGTCGTATAGCTTCTCAGAGATCGTAGTTTATCTTCAGCATATGCATATCATTTCAATCATCCAAAGGACACAGACCATAGATCATCAGAGATGAAGCCAGCTTTGAGTCAGACTTACAATTTTACGGGGTCCGCAGGATCCACAACTAACCATCGATAGCAGAAATCGTGATACAGAGTATGAATATCGTAGATGATCCTAATATCTGAGATTCAAAGGCCTGAACGTTTGAGGCTGAGAATAAATCCATGGATGATGTCGAGCTTCGAGTTGTTGACCAAGTTCGTTTCGATGTTGGATATATGCGCTGAAGGCTGGATCACACACAGGACTCTCACGAGTCACTATGACTCGGCCTGACTCGGCCCGGCCTCGAGATGAGACTGTTGTGGTGCGGTACATTAGGGATGGTGAAATACCAAAGTTGCAAGTCGAGTGCTGACTCCTGAGTGACTGTCAAGGAATGTCATGTGTAATCCAGAAGACCATCTTAAAGAACGATGAACTCGTTATACACACTAGCACTTCGTCAGGTTTCCTCTCTTCAAAATGAACTTACCAATCTTGAGCAATCAATCGCTTCCTCATCCTCGAACTCCAATACTGCTAGTAGTCATGGGCCAATCGTTGCTAGCTTAGCCTCACTTCAGCGGACAATTGATGATTATGAATCGATGAACAAAGGAGAAGTAGTGGAAGCGAAAAAGCAAAAGGCAGCCATGCGGATAGAAAAGTTTCGTGAAGATTGTGTGGGTCTGAGAAAGCATTTTGATCGAATCAAAATATTAGAGCGTCAAGCGGTGTGTCTGATGTTATGTCTTTGGTATTCATTCTATTCGACCAAGAAGACTAATAAATACTAATTGAAACCATTTTAGAATGAAGACAATCAAAGTTCGGAACTTTTTGGGCAGTCTTCGACTACCTATCGCCCCAACGCTTCTCATCCACCAGGCTCGAACTCTGATGCACTGCATAGTCCAAATAATCTATATCGAACAAATGCGGCCATGAACAGAGGTATCACCAATCGGACAAATGCTGCACTAGATGAGAATCAGTTTGTGAATCAGACAAACAATACTCTCGACATCTATATTGCACAAGGCCAAGCAATTCTCGGGAACTTGGGAGATCAACGAGATATGTTGAAAGGTGAGTCCTACCCTGCTCAATATACCTCCTATCCATTTTCAAGGCCAATAACTGATAACTGATACGTTTCATCCATCTTCTCCTACCGAAACGGACCCTTTACATCTTAGGAACTCAAAAGAAACTGAGATCAGCTGCTAATACTTTGGGTTTTTCAAGGGAGACAATTCAATTCATTGAACGTCGATCGAAAGGGGATTTCATTATCTTTGGGGTTGGAAGTCTTTGTACATTTGTTTGCTTTTTCTACATTTTAAAGATCTTTGGTTGAGCTTCGCCTGGCTGGTCTGTGAGAACGATACAATCATATTCCGCCGAGAGCATCCAAGTCACGATCAACTAACGTATAGCTTCCATCATGTAGACCTGTCTTTTCACACTTCACCTTTCACCTCTCACTTCATAGAGCAAACTCTTTCTGTTTTTGGTAGGTATACCTCCTTGTTTTTGATTTATAGGCGTGCATGTGATAAAGACAACATATTTGAACTTAAGCCATGGGTTTCCAGACTGATGACGAACAATGATGAAAGCTGCGCTAAATATCATTTGAGGGCATTGACAAAAACAGCCTTTTCCGGCCTGAGCGAAGTCATGAGTCTGGACTGGGACATGTACCAGCAGTGTTGACGGAGAAATGGGGTGACTACGATGTCGTGGTGTTCTAATCTACAATTTTGAAAGGTCTAGAGAAAGACGTAGAGAAAGACATAACTTTGACGTGGTGTTTGGTGCTGTCTCTTCTTTGTTCACCTTGGCCTGTAGAAACCACTGAGGGAGCTCAACCACATCTTAAATGGGTCATGCACTCTTACACCATCAAGATCGAACAAGGAAAGAATTATTTATTCAACAGATGATATGGATTGGCGCAGAATGAGGAAAATGAGGGTGAGTCGAATCAAAGCTACTTCATTGAGAAGATGGCTACTTGATTACCCAAATTGTTCATACCAAATTGACGCCCGATTTTTAGAGCTTTTTGTTTTCCTGGTTTGCTCCTTGATGTGTTTTTGTTATCTGTCTCAGTGTGATTTATCACATATGCAGATTATGATAGTGTGGGTTCAGTCCTATATTACAATCACGAGAAACAAACTCCCGGTGTGTTGCGCTCGGGAACAGCCTAGCGCGTGGTCACTGGCGTGCAACTTCAAGCCATCTAACTTGAGAGGGATACCGATTTGAAAAATTGAATTGATCATCGGATCATTGAACATGATACGTATATATAACCTGATGGGCAAAAGTGGTTGGAGACCAGACCGGCGAGCATCCTTCCAACAGGAACTATGGCACGCAAGTCATTTAGCATCCTTTACTTCTTTCCCTGTCTCCCCCTCGCCACCTCAGATGGGAATAGACTGTGGGATACTCAAATGGTGAGGATGCCAGCGGGAGAGAGTGGGAGAGAATCTTGACTGAAATCCATGTCGGCTCCATCGGGTGTTCGATTATGCTCGATCGATGATGGAGCTGATATCATGCAGCTTGTCAAATTTTTGGCGTGATAGATAGACTTTGACCAGCTTGGACCTCATCTCCTCTCGAAATATCCATCATTCAGTGCAGTGTCTCAGGCCCCACACTTTTAGGTCGTTGCGCATAGAGGGTTATTTCTTATCGTCTCCAACAATCCTCGCAGATCCGGTGGCATCGCCTAACCTCAAAATTCAATCTTCCCTTTTTATACCTTCTGAACCATTTCCTACTCCCTGCACCATCCCATATTTAGAGTCGATTCAAAATGCCACCAGAAATGTCGGACGATAAGCTTGAAGAAAAAATCACTGCACCGTCAGATGCTCTACCTTCTGAAAACGCCTCTGAAGAGAGAGCACACGAAAAGACTGAGACTTCGCGTCTGCAAAAATTCATCAGCCAATTTGACAAGTGGGGACTTGAACTCAATGGCATCGAGCGCATTCTGCCCGAGCATCGCGTACAACGTTCAACGCGTGATACGTAAGTACCACATATCTTGTTTCAAGACTTAAAAAACATAACCGGATGGGTTTTATCTACATTACCTTTCATCTGGCAAGAAAGCTTCACTATGTGGCTAGGTGCGAACTGCAATGTTGTCACCTTTAGCCTTGGAACTCTCGGAAGCAGTGTCTATAAACTAGGCTTTCGCGATTCTGTGATTGCCATTGTAGTTTTCAACATTTTGGCTATAATACCAGTGGTGAGCTGTTTGCGTTTGAAATCAGCCATACATGTAATTACTAAGGATGATCTCTTGCATTCTTGCAGGCCTACTTTTCGACGTTTGGCGCTCGAAGCGGATTGCGACAACTGGTGTTCAGTCGATTTGCGTTTGGGTACTGGACATGCATGATTCCTGGGGTAAGTGTGTCTCTGATACTTATGCTATGTCCTCGTGCCGAAATTCAAACCAGTATCACGATCCTTTAGGTCTTGAATATGATAGCGTGTCTTGGTGAGCTTTGGACACTGTGATATGCGAAGGCTGGAATTCATTCCGATTTTTTTTATTCCAATCATCCCTTTTTCAATCAATCCTAGGATGGGCGACCGTGAATTGTATAGGTAAATGACAATACATATATCACCATTATAGCTGGCCTCTGAGGCCACGAATTCTCAGTGTGCATTCAACAAACTGATCCCCATCTACACTTTAACTGGTAGTCGGTGCTCAAACAATTCACGCGGTGTCTAGAACGCATCCCCTACCTATATGGGCTGGTATTTCTATCCTTGCAATTCTGACGTTGATCCCTTCATTTTCTGGATACAAATTCGTCCATGTCTATGAGGTATGTCATTACCTTCAGCTTGCACCACATACGACCAATCAGTTGAATTTTTCTACCTCCACTGTATACCTAGCGACACTCTTGGATAGCACCTATGATAATATTTTTTATAATACTAGGCAAAGGGAGAAAATACATGAACGCAGCGAGATCAGACCTAACAGGCAATATTGAGATCGCGAGCGTTTTCAGCTTTGGAGCATCAGTCGCTGGGTTTTCGCTGAGTTGGATAAGTTTTGCAGCTGATTATACTGTGTAAGCTCTGTGCAACTCTTGTTGTTCCCTTGTCTCTTCACACTCTGACCATGCTGATAGACTTTGTGCAACAACTCTTCGTTATAATTCAAAGACATTTACCCGAGAATACTTCCTCCTGGAAAATCTTCTTTGCTGCCTGTTGAGTGATCCATTTTATTGACTGTTCAAAAGAAGGGATGATGAAATATGGATCAGATCTTCTGTGGAATCAGACCTTTATTTTGACAATTTGAAAAAATAGTTTTTGGAAACTTAGTGCCATTGGTCCTGATCGAGATACTTGGTGCAGCTATGATGACCACCCTTCTCAAGAATCCCAGCTGGCGCGACAAGTATCAATCTGATGGGATGGGTGGCTTGTTATCCGCTGGATTATCACCGCTCGGTGGTTTTGGTCGTTTCTTGACTGTCTTACTTGGCTGTTCTGTGGGTATGTTTACGCGAGTGTTTGATGCGAGACCTCAACTGATTCATTTGTTAATTGATACTCACATTTCTAGTTGCTGTGAACATTCCAATGCTTGTGAGTGCTGTTGTGCTCCCAAAAAAACAGTGCTTATCAATCAATGCCACTTTCGTCAAAGAAACTCTCTTAGCAAATGCTTTGTACCGCACTCAAAAGTACTCGTTAGCGCTTACAGTCCAAACTTTTGGACGAAGGATTGCGGCAATTCCTCGACCGCTGATAACCATGGCAGGCACTGCTGTCATCGTGACTGCCGCACTCATAGGCCAGGCGCAATTTGAGGCATTTCTGGACACCTTTCTTGTCTTTGTGGGTTATTGGGCCATGATATTCGGTGTCATAGTAGCCCAGGAACACATTATATTTCGCAGATCTCACTGGTCAAACTACGCATTTGAAGATGTGAACAATTCAAAGCTATTGCCACCAGGATTTGCTTCTGGATTCGCTCTAGTCTGTGGAATTGTGGGAGCTATTCTTGGGATGTCTCAAAAATGGGTGAGATGGTATCATCCTCCCAAAGTATGGACTAGTGCTGATGAGTAGATATTCTAAATAGTTTACTGGTCCAATCGCACGTCTGCTGGGTCCAGAAAAGTCTGGCGTAGACCTTGGTTTCCAAGTATCCTTGATCTTCACTACCATGGTATGTGTTTGCTAAATTTCAAATATATTTACAAATTTGCGGTTCCTCTTAAAATCCCTACTTGCATACTGACTCCAATGGTCGCTTGAAAGACTTATCCCCTCCTAAGAAACTTTGAGAAGCGGAAATTTGGACGATGATGACAAATCCTTCCTCCGCTGGAGGCTTTCAAAGGTGCATTTTGAAAAAGTTTCTTTTGAGTGGTGTTGAATGTTTTCGAAAATTGCAGTTGGAATCAGATTGATTTGTGTTGTCATTTTTACTTCACTGAATTGGCAGCATTCCATTTCTAACTATTTTGATGGTTTTTGAGGAAAATGTCGACCATCATTTCAAAAAGATATTTGTCGCCAATGCTGCTTTTGAATAGCAATCCAAGTTTTTTGTTGTGGCTGTGAGATGATTAAGCGCCACTGGAGCAGCTGAGCCAGGATACGTCATGCGGTCGCAGATCCCTATCACCACCCGGGGCACTGCTGTTTTGCTGAGAAACTTATAAATGTCCTAAAAGCAATTTCCGGCAACTCTGAGGCACTCTCAGACTTTAGACCACGCCCCTCAGAGATATTGTCCGATGCCTGCTTTCCAACGACTATCAGCGCTTGGTTCAAAAGCTCTTCACAGGGTACCCAGGATGAGTATATAAAGTGGCTCTATCCTGTGCAAGTGGAAATATCCTCACACACCCAACGCTTTACGCACATACATACTTTGAGAACACAAACGACCACCAATCTGAACCACCTACTACATACTTTATCCAATTCAACCTACAAAAATCACCCACACCATGCACTCTAGATTATCTTTGATCGTTGCGCTTGCGATTTCCACCTTGATCACCCAGCGCACCATTGTGGAAGCTGGAGTGTGCCGCAAAAAGGCTTCTAAGGGATTTCAAATCTCGGGATACTACCCTGTAAGTTTTCTCACCTATACTACTAGCTCAAAATATATGTTAGGCTGACACGCCACGGCGAACCTGTTTTTTCGTCCCTGTAGAGTTATCGAGCAGGTTTGCTGCCCCCAGAAAGCATTCCTTGGGATCTTTATAACCACATTGATTATTTTGTTGCTGTTACTTCAGAATCCCCATCAGCTGAATTTGTGTTTGACAACGAAGCCAACATAAAAGCAGTCGTTGAGGGTGCTAAAGCTCACAAGGTCACAGTTTCGTTAACGATCGGAGGATGGACAGGTAGCAAGTACTTTAGCTCTCTTGTTAGCACTGACTCCAGCCGTGAGACCTTTGCAAAGACAATCTCTTCAACGTTGACCAAGTATGGATTTGACGGTGTAGACCTTGATTGGGAGTATCCAAACGCGCCTGGAAACGAGGGTAACATCATCTCTAAAGACGACTCGGCTAACTTGCTCAAATTCTTGACTGCTCTCAGGGCTGCCATCGGATCCAAGAGGCTTACTGCGGCAGTCTCCGTTCATGGGTTCATGGGACCAGACGGACAATACTTGAAGGACCACAAAGAATACGCTAAGTTGTTTGATTTCATCACTATCATGGCCTACGACATTTATCTCCCGGTTGTGACCCCTCTCTTTGGACCAGGAGCCCCGTTATTTGACACATGCAATGACCCCAGCTATAAATTTTCGGTGGCTCAAGCAATCGACACCTGGACTTCAACTGGCTTTCCTGCTTCCCAAATCCTTTTAGGTATTCCTGCATACGGTTATCAGTACACGCTATCTAGCTCGACACTTGACCCAACTAACTTCTCTGGTAAGGAAAAGAGTTTGTTCTTTGGCCCCATTGACAAGTCGGCTCAAGCTCAAACGGTAAAGAACGTGGCCCCTACTCCAACTGGATGCGACAGCCCATTGGAAGGAGGAAACTTCATTTTCAAAGACTTGCTCACTTGTGGATACCTGTCTCCTGATGCCGCTACCGGACAAGGAGGATTTGAACGTCACTATGATAACTGTACTCAAACTGTAAGTCAAGATCATACTTTCTGAAGCTCAAAACAATATAGATTCGTTACTGATGCCTACATTCTGTTTTGCTTTCCTTGCAGCCGCTCCTCTTTAACCCATCCACCAAGACACTCATTGCGTATGACGACCCAACCTCTTTGACAGAGAAAGTCAAGTATGCCAAATCCAAGGGAGTTGCAGGTGTGAATGTTTTTGACGCCAGCGGCGACACCCCTTCCCGAATGCTTCTGAAATCAGTAAACCAAGCCTCTAAATTATAAGTTGTATTGTTTAATGTTTCTTGATGATCATGTGTATATATTTGCGTTGACTATTTGAATGAGAACTCTTCTTATTTCACGTACAGCTACCCTACGGCTTCATCATCCGCTGCCGAGGTCCTAATCCCCAGAAAATACCCTACAATAACCGTTGATGGGGGAAAATTGCCTGTGGATTTGAAAGGATATCATAAGATACGTTCTTTGCCTTGACAACACCTGAAGTCTGCTGACTCTTGAAATCTTCAGCTCTTCGCTCATTCCTATCCATACTGACCAGGTCCCAGCTTCCTATTTTGTTCCTTCTAGTCTTCCATGAATATTTGTGTTTCTTACCAACTTACTCATTATGTACGCATCAATCCTCCAAGAGGTAAAATATAGGCGGTTTTTGACGAGATCTTAGATCAGTTTTATGGAAACACCTGGCGAAATTGTGAAAGACTTTGAGCTTTGGAATATCTCGCGCAATTCCTTCTGCACAAACCTCGCGTTTGATCTTCCATCCACATATGTATCTTCCAATTTGATCATCTCATCAGATTGGATGCATATGAGAGCACCAAGGATTCATGATCCTCAATTTATGGCTATTAAATGATTTGTATTGAATTTTCCTGCTCGTGGTAACGATCCCCAAATAATATAATGTCTTTCAAATGAAGTTTGACTGCGGATTTATACATACAATTTCTCAAGCTAGCTGCTACATGAGGATACAATATGATTACATGTTATTTGAATAATCATACCTTTTTTATCATCGACGGGACAATCGAGAACAATCAATAAGAAGCAAAATCAGTCAATACATATAATACTTGTAGAATAACTCCAGCATACGTACTTTCTGTAAAAGGCCTCTGAGTCACTTGGTACCATACCATCCTTGGCACCTCGCTTTCTGAAACCAGCCCGACCTTCCGCTTCAAGTGCAAGTCGAATCTTACGATCTTCGGTAAGCCAATGCAACGCAAGTATTAATAATTTTGATCCTATTCGATTGGGATCCAACATCTTTTGAATGATCTCCGTTGGAATATCCACAACGTGTTTCGGATTATTGGGATCAAGGGGCCATTCTTGGGCAATAGGAGCCACAGTGGCCCCTAATTGCAAGTGACATACATGCGTCTGGAGGATAGGAAGTCATTTTGGTTAGTATTCCGGAAGATATCCTTGAACAGAACTCTGAGAAGGTGAAATGAAGTGTGGTATTTACAGGAAACGTATCTAATCCATCGAAAATGTGGGTAGCATAGAGTACTGTGCATCCCCTTTTGACAGTATCTTCGACAAGGAATTCGAGCAATTCCTGTCGCACCATGACGTCTAGATCAACCGTAACCTGTGATGATTCAGGGGAAATCATATAAGCAATCAAAGACAGGTTCAAATTCTACACCGATTGATGCGTACCTCATCTAGTAGTAGTAAGGACCAAGGAGCCATCAAGCCTTGTACAATCTGAACTCGTCTCCTTTCACCATCGCTGAGCTCGTGCATATGCCAATCCAAATCGACATCGAGAATGTCCAGAAGCCGATCTCGGCGAGCCTTGTGTCTGTAGCCACCAACCGAATCTCTATTGTAAATATTTAACATCAATATAACATCAGATGGTTTGGGGTTTGATGATCAAGCCAGAGGGTCTGATGACGTAAGACAGACTTACAGAAAGTGTGATACAATGAGATCAGATCTCACAACCGGATTGCTGGCCCATTCAGTCCCTTGAAGCCGGATAAGTCATCGGAATAATCAGCTACATGATCCAAACCGTTGACCATGATACCCATCTACTGACCAAGATAAGTCACGCCCTGTAGGAAAGGGAGCATAAGTTGAACGATCTGATATAGGAATCGGTAAACTTATGACGGCCAGATGCTCACCTCTGGTGTATTAAAGAAGACATCTTGTCCCAAGACCTTGGCCTTTGATTTGGTCAATCGTTTACCTGCCAAGATCTGTAGTAACGTGGATTTACCTGTGTAGTTAAAATGAAGCGTAGGGTGGGTAAGTCAAAAAATCGCTAGACTTCGATTGAAGCAGTAGCAGACAAAAGGTTGTGGTAAACCCACCAGCTCCATTCGCACCGATCAGGAGACACCTCGATCCAGGTGTCAATTTGAGATCAATACCTCGTAGGATTTCAGGTAATCCTTCATTGAATCTGAAATGAAGGTCAGTGACATCTATAGCAGGTGTGGTTGGTGATGATGAAGGTTGCATTTGTGCTTGATGGTGATCGAACAACAAGCCGGTTGGTAAACAAGGGGGATTTAAGTACTCCAGGCTCAGCAGTGAGCGCCGATGTGTATGTATGTCTTTCTACATGTCCATTCTATAACCATAATTGTACCATACTGAATCTGATCATCGGCCTTTTTATCCGACAAAAAATTTCCTCATCCCTGGATCGTCATCGATGCATCAAAGGGATCCCAAAGGGGTCTCATAGATGCTTCGTCTTCATCTTATCTTGCAACACGATATGTATCGGAGGTCTAGGAAGAAGGGATCTTAATCGCTGGACCATAAGCTTTGTAGTTTTGATATAAATCACTATCGAGTCATCGGCTTGATATCGGCTTCCTGTTTTCAGCCTGAAGGGTTTTGGAAAATTGTGCATTTGTTTGTGAACCTACACAGCACAACATGCTCCGATGTGCTCAATACAATCGTTTTATTGAACCTCTCAATCGGAGCATAGCCACCTCGATCGAAAATCAAGGTGAACTGGGATTGTCATTCACCATTGGTCTCCAAATACTCGGTACCTCGAGCTTGTATCGCATGTATAAAGCGCTGATAGGCGCTCATCGATCACACTCTCGCCTCTCGCATTTGATATTCTACGGTAATGAAGGGAGTATACACAGGTGAAATTCTATAACGTCGTCCAGCGTCGTCCAGCTTCAGCTGTGTGGCGGTTTGATGATCCACGATTGCAACTTTGAATTTTGTACCTAGAGGAGAGAGAACTGCTGAGATGGGCGATCGCTTAATTTGCCTCCTGTTTAAAGTTCAGAGTATTCTCATATTGATTGGCTGTGGATAGAGAGAACGCTACGAGAACCACAAAGGGTCAAAACCAGACATTTCTCAATCATTTTTTGGGCTAAGCAATCGCCTTGAATACCATTCTTTACTATCTTGATTTCAACTTGACATTTGTCAGGTTGTTCACTAGTACTCGCTTTCTTGTTCGCATCCTGAGAAGAAGTTCGAATAGGATGGACTTCCGGTCCAATTTGGGTTTAGCCCTCCGTCTGGGATCACTTATGTTGGTTTTAATTGCGAACTTTGAGCCACTCATAGCTCGGAGAACGTACCCGGGGGCAAAGCAGCTCAAACAGCGAGATCTTCTCAAGCAAGAAGACCGACCAAACACAAGTTCACTTCAATTTAATTCTCCAGAAGCCCGTAAATTTTACGTGGACGGAAAGAATATCACCTACGTAGACTTTGATGCTGGTCCAAGGTATGCCTCTGTACTTCCCAGACTTATTTGAGCTGAAATAAACGAGGGCCTCCTTTTTTGCACTTGCGATCGTTGAAAATAAAGTTATGCAGGCCTCATCCCAGTCTCTAGCAAGCCGCAAGAAACACGAAAACTTTTCTTCTGGTTTTGGCCAGCTGAGAGTGAACTCGGAGAGAAAGATTTAACATTTTGGGTGCGTTTCTGGACAGCCATCTAAAGACCCCATGTTCCTACAACTTGACTTATCTCCGGATGCTGTCAGACAAATGGAGGACCAGGATGTAGCTCGCTAGAATCTTTACTTCAGGAAACAGGACCTGTAAGTCTTCAACGGAGACAATTCATTCAGTGCAAAAATAACATGATTGTTGATGTCAAACGTTTTCAGATATCCTGGCAACTCGGTCAGGCGAGACCTGTCAAAAATCAATTGTGAGTGATCACACCTTCTGATATCTTGAAAATCATCCACAAGGATTACCATACGTGAAGAAGCCATCAAAGGTCTATATAGCTGAGCGACATTTATTCCGCAAAACTAGCTCATGGAACAAGTTGTCCTCGATGTCAGTTTCTCTTATATGTGGCAATTCCGCTGCATCATCAAAATTCTAGGATATGTGTGTTGAATCAAGTGATATCTAGGCTATATGTCGAACAGCCAGTAGGAACAGGTTACTCGGAGGGTGCTGTCCAAGCTCACAACGAAACCGATATTTCAAGGGATCTTTTTGGGTTCTTCCAGGAATGGCTCAAGGTGATTCAGTCTTGAATGTCACAATATCGATCATCTTCAGATGTCTGATTTATCTCACTCATATGAACAGGTCTTTCCAGAAATGAAGGAGAAAAACTTTTATCGTTTTGAGTCTTTTTCTGTCACATTAATCACATCAATCTATAGTCCACTGAGATTTTGAAATATCTATCTGCACTCCTAGTCACTGGAGAATCCTATGCGGGGCTCTACATCCCTTACCTTGCTGATTATATCTATGCGCGTCAAGCGGAACTCGACCTCCCGTTACAAGGTATCTATATCATAGACCCTGTCATCGGCTAGTAAGTCAAAATTTTGTACACTCTATTTCTCGGAATACAAAACAGGTGAATTGATTGACACGATGTCCGATAGCAATGTGATTCAAACCGAGATCCCTGCTTGGCCAATGGTACAGAGATACGAATATGTTTTCTCTCTCAACAGTACCTTCAAGGCAGAGCTCAAGAATCTACATCATCAATGTGGATACGCAGATTATATTGAAAAGGTAAACTATTTCTATTGCTAAACGTACGGCACTGCTCTGTTTTGATAAAAGACGGGTGTGTTGACTTTATCATCTGGACTGCTAGTATGATAGCTTTCCTCCTCCGGATCCCTTTCCCATACCATCCGTTGGAGACTGTACGTTTCAGGAATTCTAGCTTTTTAGCATCCCGCTTGCTGAAACAACAAATTATTGCCGTCATTCGCTCTATGTTTCGAAACTAAATACACCCGTGGTAGACGAAGACTACAACCATATCAACGAGACATGCGCGCTCTGGGAAAAAGTGAGTTTGTTCGAAAATTTGCACACTTCATAATATCAGGACAGATTTTGACCAGCGGGACAGATATACAACGCTAGCTTGCTAGTCAACCCAGGTGATTAATCCAAAATGCACATCAGAGCAACTACTTGGAGCTAAATACGATTGATCATTTTCCTTTTCCCGTAGCTTTTGACATCTAGTACGTTTAATTTGCCTACACTTAAAATCACTGTAACCTGATAGATGACTCTGTCCCAAATGGCAAAAGTCATATCTTTGATACAGAGCCAATCTTGTGGGATGTGCTTTCAGGTGCGCCTGGCGCGAGTCAAAGTTGGCCCGGTCAAACTGGTGATCCGACATACTTCAATCGACCTGAGGTCAAGCATCTGCTTCACGTACCTGCCAGTACAAACTGGAGTGAATGTAGCGACAAGGATGTATGTCTTCCGATACTTGATGATATTCTTACTCCATTTACTGATCGATACTCGTATAGGTTATAATTGGCAAGGACATGTCGGCGCCGGTCAGTATGTCAGTCTTACCGGGGGTGATAGAGAAGAGTAAACGGACAATCATCGGTAGGTTCAGTCGTTATGTCGTCTTTTCAGACAAAAAGTAACCGGGGTTATACCTTTGTTTTTGTACTAGCACATGGAATGGCGGATTATGTTCTCATTGCGCAAGGGACACGAATGGCAATCCAGTCAGTTGGCTCCTCCGTTTGAAATTGTCAAAGCAACAAGCTGATCGATATGTTTGTGCAGAAATATGACTTGGGAAGGCGAACAAGGTTTCAGAAACCCAATCACCGATGAATTTCTAGTTCAAGGCCAAGGAACTATGGGACGCTGGGTGAGGCCTGACTTTGAACTTGGATAGTGATGCACCATTGTTGACGTCGTTTAAATTCTTTTAGCGCGAGGAACGTGGATTGACATACGCAGAGATTGAGCTGAGTGGCCATATGCTGCCTCAGTACCAACCTAAGTCGGCCTATCAATTATTTGAATATCTGCTGGGCCATAGGAATTCTCCTTCATCCTCTTTGGTGTAATGCTTTTCTTCCAAATTTCAATCCCTCGTGAATCGGGAAGCCAAGAGAACATTTTGGAAAGAGTTTTTGAAGTAGTACATGATCAATGGAGCACGATTTATTCCTCATCAGTGATTCGTATTGATTCTTTCCGTCAACTTCACCTGTGTATTCATTCATATCAACACTAATTCTTTATATTTATTTTCATGAAATGACCAATTTCAACGAGGGAATTTGTCCTATGTTGACTTCATTCAGAAGCATACAGGAAAAGTCTCTCGTCTTAACTACTCAAAGAGTTCTATTTGATAGACATACGAAGAAAAGAATGGAGTTAATTATTTTGAAATGGTTTGTGCAGGGAGAGATGTCTCAAGTTTCAACCTTCTTTGGCATCAAGGGCCTTTTGAATGTGAGGAAAATTTCTGCCTTGAAAGAGGCGTGTCATAGTGTTGGTTATTGACAAAGTGGGCTTCGGGAGGTAGGGTAATTGTGATGCAATCAAGATACCTATCATCCATGACATCAATGCAAACATATACACATAGTTGTCAAAAAACAAAGAATAACATCACAGAGAAGCTATTTTCAGGGGTTTTCAACTTTTTTTTGCGTAATTTTTATAAATTCAGACAAGTTGGTTGTATAAAATTTCTTTCTGAAACCAATGTATTTTCAATTCAGGACACCTGTAATGCTTCAAAAAAATTACGCATATCTTACAACAACAGGCAAATTGTTTTAGCGTAACAATATGCAAAAAAGCTCTTGAAACCCCCTATTTTAAAGGCTTGGTATGATGATTTCAGAAGCATTTGAGAAGGGGGATCACCACACACGTCAAAGACCCAGCAAATCCCTGTGATATTGTCAATTTGTACATAATGTGCATCTTGGATCTTCACACTGTAGATAATAGGGGGTGTCAAGTTGCATTTTTTAAGGTATTTTTACAGTGCAATAGGGGGGCTCAGGTCAAAGTTTTTTACTACTTTTCCTGTAAAATTTTTTTTGAGCAGCAAATTTACGCAAATTTGCGTAAATTTACTGCTCAGAAGGAGATCCGAAGGAAATTTTTACGGTCCTTTTTTACGAATTGGGAAAAGTTTTTACAGCACGGTACTGTAAAAAACTTTCCCCAATTTTTTAAGAAAAGGCCGCAAATATTTTGACTTGAGCCCCCTTAATACCTTGCCCGTTGTTGTAAAATACAGTACATGTAAAGATTCAGGACACCTTTTTAGGTGCCCCAAATTCTGCTGACTGTATATCTGAAGGAAAAAAAGACACCATAAAATTTTACAAACTTCTCTGTTTTGTAAAAGTTTTACGCAAAAATTTCTCAAGTTGAAACCCCCTCATGTGTTTCTCCACAGTGAAAGATGATTGCATTTATCACAAAATGATTGACAAAGAATTGTACCTGTAATTGTCAATTTTGGCCCAAAATGCTTGAAAAATAAAATGGGGAGAGGTACAATGCTCTTTATCCTGGAAAGTTTTTTGGAGTTGCTTGAATTCTTTTACCCATCATCAACTTGGCCAGCAATGTATGGTGGGTTTCCTGGTGTTTTCAATCTCAAAGAAGTTCAAAAAATCCAAAAAAGTCAGGAGAGATCAGAAATCCCCTTTGTGATCTCACCTGATTTTTTCAGATTTCCAGTGCCTTTGCCTTGGATAGATCCAAGGTATAAAATAAACAGTTTTTCAAATAAATTGTAAATGCATTTTGGGTCCCAAATGCATCAGAGCTCTACACATTGTCTCCAAAGAATGTACAGATAATGTTGCATCCTTTGTTGTGTTGCAAATTTCTTTTGGGTTGTTTTGGAGCCTTGTACATATGTCAGTAGCTGTTGTGTAGTCTTAATAACACACATGTGATACACTCTGAGCCAGTAAAATCCTAAACAAAATGCCCAACAAAGGGCATATTGCCCTCTACTTTTCATTTCTTTCAGATGTTTCTTGTCACTTTTGAAGGCTAAATTTAGCAGACCAGTCCTGTGTTTCCATGTGTTATTTCAGGAAAACCTTCAACATGACCAAACTTATTGCTCGAGTTTTTCTGCATTGGCCAAAGTCTGCTGATAGGAAGAACACATTGGCCAAAGTCTGCCAGTAGGAAGATCATAGCACAATTTTACTTACCTGATTTTTTCAGATATTTTGGACCAATATCATGCATGTCATTTTAAATACTGAACTCAATCATTTTTTGCCATGGAGAAAGACACTATCTACCCAGTTCAACATGGTTGGCATGGGTTTCAAATTTGGGGCAGTCCCAGGCGCAAATTCTGAACTTCCCAATGGCACACCTATAATGGGGGTACCGAGGCATGAAAACCGCCTAAAAAGCAAAAACATTAAAAAAACTCTGAACAACATCAAAGATAGCATCTTTTAGATTTCATGATACTGCTGTAAGTAATAAAAGTGGGCATTTCATCAACAGCCATTGAGAAAATTCATTGAAAAGTTCATCCTTGTCCCAATCTTTGTTCTCAGAACTCTCATCTAAAAAACTAGTGTTGGGTTGTTCTGCTTCAGCTCAACTATTGGATAATTTTGATTCAAAAAGGGTATGTATATAAATGCTCTCAGTATCATCCACATGTCCTTCTTCCTGGTCCACTTCATCCTTGCCAAGACTTTCAGATGGAATCTGGAAACCTTAGCTTCTAAACAAAAACAATTCACCAATAATCAACAAGTAACTGGGTGGAATAGACATGAACGTAACATAGGCACACCAACCAAAGTCAATCTGAGCCCCTAACCGGCACCCCAATTGAGGATAAGGCATGAGCTCCATTGTGTTGGAACATCAACTGAGAGCCTGTTGATGTGATTGGTGGCATTTGGGTTATCAGGTTCTTGGCCATCAGGGTTGTCTTGTTCCTGATGTTGAAGAGATAAAAGCACCTAATCTTGCAAGGCAATGTTTTCTTGATATTACGCAACATCAATATCAGAAGTAGTCCAAACAAGTTGTATGACAGTTGCAAAAGCTTGGCTTTGTTGGGGGGCCTTCTGTGTGTAGATGGCCAGGCCATGAATACACATGTAAAATGTTTTGAGAGATACAGAAGCATTTTCAAGGGGGTCAATAAGCATTGCTAAAAATGTAGGAACCTGATATTTATCTGGATTGGAATCATCTCCAAAGATCTCAAGAACCTCTTTGGCAGCTAAGTTGATAACACAACCACAGTATCCAAGCAGCTGGTCATCTTCAAACTCCACATTGGCTTGTTCTGAAATCAAATGACTGATCTTCTTGTTAGCACTTGCAATGTCCATATTCAAGGCCAAGATCTTTGAAAAAGGATTTCATTTTCTCAAATACTTGAGAAATAGTTTGGTGAAGTTCTCACCATCATGTGCACCTGTAGTGGAGTAAGAACAAGCTCACATCAGTCGTCAGTGCATCAAACAACATCAAGTAATGTTGTAAGACAAACCTTCAATCTGTGACATTCCAATCACAACATCCATCAACTTCCACTCTTTTGAAATATAATGACTAGTGATCCCTAAAAACATGTGATTATTTGGTCAGGTCCAGGCATCTTGGGTGAAAGCCACATAGGATGATTCACCAAAGCATACATTGTTTATGTAGTTATCAAACTTGTGATAGAGCTTTCTACAGTGATGAGTAATAGCATGGTATTGTACAAGCATCCTGTTGATATGGGGATTTGCAAGTACAAGAGGCTGTCTGAAAGATGGCTTGTTGACAATGGAGTAAGGAAGATCACATTTGGCTATAAAATACAAGATCACTGTTTTATGGTTATGAATGTTGAGTGTATCTACTGGTTTGACTTTGTTTTTTTTTAAATTTGGTGATACTCAATTGGTTCCCCAAGTTTGATTCACTATCTTCCGTGATGTTGTGACATTGTAAATGACCTTTCATAGACTTTGTGCTTTCAATCACATCTTATTTCAGCTTTCCATCATATACATTGCCAATTATAGGGTCAGAGAAATTGCAGTGGTTTTAGCTGTGTCCTCTTTTTTTCCAGGGAAATTTGTAAAGTATCATCAAACAAAACTGACTCAACCTACATAATGAAATTTCTCTATTATGAGATTTCTCTATTGGTCTTGACATCTTTCTTTTTTGTCATTCAAATATTACTTCAACCTTTAGCATTGAGATCATTACATATAATGTTGGCCCCCCTCAGTATTTAGGAGCCCCTAGGGTAGTAGGGTTGACCTTTGGGAGGCCCCAAGCATATCGGGGAGTCTTCGGGTAGGGTAGGGGGGAGCCTCCTGAGGCTCGGGCTCGGGGTAGCCATTCCCCGCATTTTTTTTTTGGCTCGGGGCTCAGGTTGACCCAAGTCTCCCTCGCTTTGAAGTTTGATGGGTTTATTTGAGTTTTGTTCTGTTTTGTTCGAGGGATTTCAAACACAATTGATGGGAACTTGTGCATGGGAACGTGACTGGGAACGTGACTCCCTGAGCCTGACAGATACTTTTTGTATGAAGTCACCCTCCATGAGTCTTCAATCCATCCACATATTCCTTTTCGAAGATTGTAAAACTTGAGAAGATGGACTACAAATACAACATATCGTCATTCTTTTTGCTCGCCTCACTTTCATTGCTCTTACCTTTTGTCTACTCGGAGCCATCTTTCTCATTCAGGACGAAGCCTCTGGTTGGATCATCCAGACTTGAGCGGCGTAATGATTCCAGCTCGCTAAAATTCAATTCTCCCGAATCGAAGAATTCTACGTCGACGGCAAAAATATTACCTATGTGGAATTCGATGCTGGCCCGAGGTATGCATTTTTGTTTTTGCCTCAGAGTCTGTCACACTTGACAACGTTCTGATTGGGTGGTATGAAATTCGGCGGTGGGGAAATCAAGCTTTGCAGGACTTATCCCGGTTTCTAACAAACCGAACGAGACACGAAAGTTATTCTTCTGGTTTTGGCCGGCTGAAAGTAAAGTCGGGGAGAACGATTTGACGTTTTGGGTGCGTTTGTGTGGACCTGGCGCTTTCTCTGATTAAGCTTGTTTACACCAGCTAATTTTTCTTCCGATCTCGTTAGACTAATGGAGGTCCCGGCTGCAGCGCACTGGAAGCTTTACTTCAGGAAAACGGGCCGGTGAGTCCTGATTCAATCAGAGCGCTCGAGTCGCGGCCGCGAATGCTGAATGAGTCACAATCCAATTGCTGGTCATTAATCCGACAGATCTCTTGGCGTCTTGGTCAGGCCAGACCTGTCCGAAATCTATTGTAAGTTTTTCGTTCTGATGTTATCATGCTTTCTGTGCGGATCTTAGTAGCTAAGCAAGATCCCAAATTATCTTCTCGCATCAGCTCATGGACCAAGGCATCATCGATGTCAGTTTCTCTGCTATCGAGCGAACGCGCCACATGTATCATCGATAGGATACGAGATTTGATGCTGTGTTCTTCAGGTTGTATATCGAACAGCCAGTGGGAACGGGTTATTCACAAGGCATCGTCGAAGCCCACAACCAAACAGACATTTCGAGAGATTTGTTTGGTTTCTTCCAGCAGTGGTTAAAGGTGTGCGATATCGTTGTTGAGTCTGAATGCTATGTACTACTACTGATAAGTATTCACGTCTCTCCATAGGTCTTTCCAGAAATGAAGGACAAAACCTTTTACCGTTTGTTTTTTTGGTTTGATTGATCACGTAGATTTGTGTCATCCACTATTGTTCACTGACACTTGATTTGTCCCGCGTACAGTCAGCGGAGAATCATATGCAGGACTTTACGTCCCCTACCTTGCTGATTACATCTATGCACGTCAATCAGAACTAGCTCTTCAGTTGCGAGGTATTTTTATTCTATCGCCTACGGTCAGTTAGTAAGTGGATATCCAACCCAGAAGAATTGGATAGGCAGAGGGGCTGACAAGCTCCTGGAAAATATGGCAGCCCGGTGGTTTCACGGCAAATTCCGGCCTGGCCACTAGCACAAAGATACGAGCCAGTATTTGCTTTCAATACTACTTTCAAAGCCCAGTTGAAGAAGCTACATCACGAATGTGGATATGCGGATTACATTTCAAAGGTATTTACTTTGATTCTCATACATCATTGTGCACATCGACGGTCTAATCCAAGATGTCATCTATATTGCAATCTGATATAGTACGACAAATTTCCACCTCCTGCCGGCCCCTTTGCCATACCATCCGTGGGCACTTGTGAGTCCCTTGAAGTACAACCTTACTATTGCTAAAATCTATTTATGTCTTCTGCATTGTACCTGACTTCTTGCGTCCCTCCCTACGAACATCCACTGTCGAATCTGGAAGACAAATCTGGGACTACCATTAACCAGACTTGTGCTATATGGAACATGGTTTGTTTTCATCCATTCTCTCGCCTATTTTGTCATGTCATGCCAAATTAGTTGCAGTGCATAATTACTGACCAGGTGATACAGATGTGGAAAGCTAGTATGCTCGTCAATCCAGGTGAGTAGAGAATGTCTGTTGGTCTTTGTACTCCGATATCAAGCGCATGTCTGGGGTTCAGCTTGAAACTGACATGAGTCTCAAATCCAGGTTTCAATCCTTAGTGAGCATGACCTGCATAATGTGAAGAATTATGCCGATTGTAATGATGATTCTGTCACCAAAAAGTCATATCTATGACTCCGAACCAGTGCTCTGGGACGTCCTTTCGGGAGGCGGGCCCGACAGTTCTCAATTATGGCCCGGACAAACTGGAGATCCCGCATATTTCAATCGCACTGAAGTGAAGTCTATGCTTCATGTACCTCTCGATTCAAAATGGCAGGAATGTACCGATAACGACGTAAGGCATTTATCACTTACCTATCTTACCCTGTATATGGTTTGCTGCCTTTTTCTGACTCGACTAAATGGTAGGTGATGCTTGGTGATGATACGTCCCTTCCGGTCACCATGTCAGTCTTACCGGGGGTGATCAAGAAAAACAAAAAGACTATCATTGGTGCGTGTTCCATACCAATCTATATGGCTTACTCATTCACACAACTCACTTGGTAGCATAATGCTCTTTCTGTCTTAGCCCACCCAAGGGCAGATTTCGCCCTCCTGGCACAGGGTACCAGGATGGCCATTCAGTTCGTCTATCCATGATTATTAAACCTTGGATTAGTACCACAAAGAGCTGACGTGAATCTTCTTGAAGGAATATGACTTGGAACGGAGCACAAGGTTTCCAAAAGCCAATCGAGAATGATTTCATTGTCAAAGGGCAGGGTTCTTTAGGCCAATGGGTATGTTCTACTGCTATTGCCTGGGCGATGAGACGGCCAGATTGACATTATTACACAAATTTGTAGACCGAGGAGCGTGGGTTGACGTACGCGGAAGTTGAACTAAGTGGACATATGTTACCTCAATACCAGCCTAAGGCAGCGTATCAATTGTTTCAATATCTACTGGGTCAGGCGGATTCGCCTTCTGCATGACCGAGGTTTCCGGATTATGAAGCAGTATGGGCTGCGTTATATCCCGTTGCAATTCTTCATGTTGATAACGGGCTGCAGATCTGTATAAGAGTTATCCATAGGAAACCAATTGCAGATGACCATTGCTTCACTGTTGATGTTGTCTCTCACTGCCTTTGACACCAGAAGCCATTTCTTCTATGCTGGTATGATAGTCTTCGTGCGACGCCAAATTTGTTCCAGATTGTCTTGTCATAATGACTTTATCTACTTACCATCTTTTGTTGGGGAGAATGGCTTCATGCCCCGCGCTGACATCTCTTGTTCTCTATAATCATTGGACCCTGTTCATCAAGCACAACCAACACCTGATGGTCGGGATGAACTCCATGCAAAGAAATTTAATATCGTCTAGCCAAGCTCAGCATAGATGTCTCCTGGTCACTGACTCACACAGAAAGCTTGACGTAGATGCTAAGCAGAGTGTTGATGGCATTTCGATGAATGCTGCTTGTGTTTTGCTGCCTAGCTCAAGACCATTCTGCATAACGGGTTCCTCAATGAAGCTCATCAAGTGGTGTTGCGCGGTTTGCTTCACTAGAACTCGAAGCAATGCTCCAAGAGATTTACAATTGGACGCGTTGTTGTGTTCACCTACACAAAGTAGCCGACCTGGTTCAAGCACGAGGATTGTTTCGAACAACAGACTGAAAGTCGCTAGTCAAATCAACAGGCGATGAGTGCAGACAAAAGTTCTTTGCCTGCACATAGCATGTTCGTCCTGCTGAACTGGAGCTGATTTGAAACTTTCGCATGTCTTACCATGGCAAGAGGTTGATCTATATTCAGCCTCAGCGCCTTATAACACGAGCGCCCTCTTTCCAACGGCGATTTCAAGATCTTTGCTCAACACGTTCTTCACATCTCAGCTAGGTGAGAAGCCGAGCGAAAGATTTCCCATATCTTTTGGATTCACGATGGCCAGTCTATATCACATGATTATATTCCTGTTGAAGATGTCGGTTCTACATGCTCACCAGGATAGACGTCAGTATTGAAAGCAGATCCCGTTCTTTGGCTTTCAGAACAACTCTAACTCGCTTGCACAGGCCAAAGACGTATGGATAACAGAAGCGAATATCGCCTCCCGCGTCATGCGCAATCGGATGTGTATAACTCTGACAAAATCCACCAGCCTGCCCAAGGTGAGCACCATAGAACCTTTCCTACATAGAGTGACCAGCTTTTGTATGTCAACAGGATCACGGAGTCATGGCGCTTCTACTCTTGACAGGAGCGATTCCCTTATTGTCCGCGATACCTTTAAGCCTCGGCCTATTCGCCCCCAGTGCCAAAAATCCTCTCATTGATCTCCCCGGGCCACATGTCACTCTTGACTACGGCGACTTTCAAGGCGCTTCGAGCGGCGGAGTTGATAGCTTCTACGGCATTCCATTTGTAGGTTTTTCTCTCCATCGGTACAGCACAACTCAGATAGTAGAAAGCTCAGAATGATGACGATTCTTGACGATTTCTTCAACGGCGCCTCTTGAAAGGCTGAACCTCCACTTGGAAATCGACGACTTACCAATCCGATTCCACCTCTTGGCCAATATCCCAATTTCGACGCTACGGTTTGTCCATCATACCCTGGTGCAGGCTGCTGAGGACATGAAATGAATAATACTTATCATATCATGACTCTTCCTCATGTGCCTGGCAGGGACCACCGCCCGCCTGCCCACAACAATCCATAACGGGCGGAGGAAACATCTTCAATGATGCTATTGGCTTGGGAGCCGACATTCTCGACAAATTGCCGTTCTACGCGCCGGGCATCGGAGGTCACGAGGATTGCTTAACACTCGATGTGAGTTGGAGTGCTCGTCAAATTTGGACAGCGATATGGACTCCCTGACCTTGTTTGAACCAGGTTCTTGTTCCGAAAAACACCCAGCCCACAGATCGGCTTCCAGTGATGTTCTGGATATGTGAGTACCATCCTCTCCCAAGATCAAGAGATGATCTCAATACAGAGTCATCCATGAAAATCTGACCAAGTTCACTCGAAACAGTCCCTGGCGATTTTACTACCGGTTATTCTTCCCTTTTAAGAGGAAACAGTTTAGTTGAGAAAAGTGTACAGATGGGTCAGCCTGTTATCTTTGTGGCCCCAAATTATCGTCTCAACGTATGTACACTTTGCCATCCAATCTACCATATCTGTTCACATCAAAAAAAGTCTTTTACTGTTTTCCTCATCGATCGTCTACTCGGATACACAGGCCTTTGGATTTTTAGGTGGACGCGAGGTCGGGGAAGCTGGGGTTGGAAATCTCGGCCTCAAAGATCAGCGCTTGGCCATGAAGTGGGTTCAAGTGAGTCCCATTACATTTCCTGATAGTTTCACTATATATGAACTCTGAGTCTATCCTTCTGTCCTTCAGAAATACATTTCTGAATTCGGAGGCGATCCATCCAAAGTCACAATATTTGGCGAATCGTGTGAGTAGAAATGAATGACTCTTTTCTCAGAGACTACAGCCCTGAATTTGTGTTATGCAACTTAAGCCGGAGCGATCGCGGTCTCATACCATCTTCTCATCAACAATGGTGATAACGAAGGTCTTTTTCGCGCTGCGATCTGTGAATCCGGTTCAGCCTTCCCGGTAGAAAGTAAGCCATCGACACGCAAAAAAACTACAGTCTTCTCTTACTCATCGAATTCTTTTTCTTGAAAGCTTTATCTTCTGGCGCGGGTCAACCAATTTATGACAAAATTGTCAATTATACCGGATGTGCATCTTCATCAAATTCCCTAGACTGCTTACGTGCAGTAGAATATGAACATTTATTGTAAGCAATACCTGTTGTCGAATAATTCCCTAAAACATAGCTAATCAAACTCTGAACAACAGTGCAGCTGTGAACCGGATCCCAGGATTATTCTCGTCTGGATCATTTCCTTCGCCTTTCTCACCCTTCATCGATGGTAAGACCACCTTTTAGCCTTCATTTTGTTCAACCCTCATCCGCTTCCCCTACCCTATTTATCCTTGTATTGATTAAAACTATGATCGTTTTCAGAAGAATTTGTGACTGCAAATATCGACCAGCTTTTATCTCACTACAAAAAATTTAATGTATGCCGTACAGATTTCAAAAATGATTTTAATACAAAAATCAGATCACACATTTCAAAACTAATCTCATTACAAAAATAATGTATGTACAGATGACCCAAGATACAATGGTAAAGTGATATACACATTGATGAAGCCTTTGGGCAAGAAAGATGCTGGCAGCGTAGTCAGATTGTAAGGGATCTATGTCAATTTTGACAAATGAATCAGGTTACGTAAATATACATACAGATTTCGAAAATGATTTTAATACAAAAATTTACATAAGTCTGGAGTGTGTAACCAAGCTCACAAATTTTAAACATGGCGTGTTCTGGCTCACTGTTCATCGCAACTCATCAACACTCAGATCTTCATCGTTTTTCTATCGAATTAATGTACAACTCGCGATTCCATCATGAACCGATCTAAATGACCACATCACACTCCATCTTGATCACCTTGAAGATATTTACAAAATCTCACAATGTCTAATCCAGTAGTTCTAGACCCGGATACTCCAGGAGTCGGAAAGCAAATGATGCTCGATTGGTTACGCATACATCATCCAAAACGAGCGGTTAGTGGCTCTCTTCATAAATCTGACATTGCAGATATTGTGCGCGAGATGCAGCCTCATAGTAAGTACATCTCGCTTTGAACGTTATGATCTTCATGAAGCAGAGAACTTGTTAAGATTCATAGCTGATATAAATGATCTCACATCCTTGCAAACCAGTATTCCCAAAACCTAAGAATCCATCCTCAACAAAGCTTGGCGTCACACAATCTGGATCTAACACTGCGACTCGCAACTCAGAAGCAGCTGGATCTCGACTTGTTACCGACTGTAGCGGTTCTGGGTTGCTAGACCAACAATCACTTCCGTCACAAAATCGACGTTCGAGAATGCCCTCAAAGCTCAGTTTGGCGGAGACTGGTCATCTGGGGAAGAGATCTGTATCCTTCGAGGACAAACCCCAAGCAAAAAGACGAGTTGCAAAAGGTACATATCATCATAGCACAAGGAGACTAATCATCAAAATTCACATATCATTACTTTATTGACTCTATAGGTGTCCGCTCAGTTCAACCAACTATTGTCGAACCCCTCAAAAAATCAAAAGTAAGTCTCTTTCCTCACAATTATCGCCTTCTAGTATTCATGAGCCACGCTGACACAGGCCTGTAATTTACCATCCCTTTGTGTACCTTTCTGGTGCGAAGAAGCAGGTTATTGGCGATGGAGATGAGCAAGAAGAACCCAAAGCGCCTGGAGCATCTGCCTCTTCCATTACAAATGTATCACCTTATATTCCCAAATCCGGTAAACCTTACTTGAATCCCACGATTTTTTTAGACAATGATCAAAATACCTTGCAACTCGCCCATCCGACACCACCAGCAGAATCGAATTTGGAAGATACGGACGAGAAGCTGATTGATGTACAATCAGATGTGAAGGTTGTTCCAAACACAGAAGCCGCAGGAAGTGCTTGCGACTTGATGACGTTTTCACAAGGTGATGTCTTCGAAACAGAAAATATAAGTAAGTTTTCTTGCTCACCTTTTTCAGTTAAATGTATCAAAGTTTGAAGTCTTTTCTTGCTGGGTTGCAGTGACAGGGAGTGAGATATGCCCAATCACCAATCATGGAAAGCAGATGAACGGCGTGGATGTGTTCCTGCATGAAAGACAACAACAAGACAAAAGTATGTCTCACTGATTGATCTCTGCGTTCTCCCGGCCCCAATTGACATGGAAACACTTTAGTCTTTGCTTTAGAGGAAACTATAGCTGTCTTGACAAGAAAAGTCGACACAGCCACAAAGTTGGCTTCGGAGGTTTTAACTGGACAAGCAAAAGCAAAGTCACAAGGTGTGTTGCATTGGTTTGAGTATCTCAAACATATATTCTGACTCATGGCACAATCTGCAACAGACAGTGCCCTTCATAAACTTCAAGAATCGATGGTATTCTTGGAAAAGAAGATATCTACATTTAATGATGTCAAAGATCAAGTTACTAGCCTGGGACTCGAAGTGAAAAGACTTCGAGCGCAGTTAGATAAAGCCCATGACGAGCTCCAAACCCAGGAAGAGATTATTACAAAATTGATAAGTTTGCAAGAGACGTCGGACAATGAAGAATCAGGAGATGATGAAGAGTCGGACTTCTAATGTACACGAGTGTTCCTATCATAATTAGTGGATACCCTATCAAATAAAATATGTTGTATCTGGAATTATTGTTTTTACGACTCCTGAAAATCACCCAAATACCAATACAAGTTTTTCTTTTCTCTCTCATATCAGCCCGATGCTCAATACAGGAAAGCATCCATCACTTTGAGTTCATCCAATCAAAAAAAATGATCAATCTCAAATTGATCATGGGTAATTCAACTAATGTAGTGTATCTGTTCATTGCGCATCTGAGGAATTTTTGACATTCAAATGATTTCTCAAGTTGTGCCTTGGTCAGTGTAAAATCCCTAGCTGCATACCCAATGACATTTTGAGATACCATGAGATGGACGCCAATATATGTCCGGACTTCATCCTCTGAGTGCAAGATTATGTCAAAAGGTCCTCAAAGTTCTTTGAACCTTGCAATTTTGTATCATCGTATGTATGTGTGCATTGGTACCTTCCTCAATATTACGGAAGAATCCGTGATGAAGGTGCCTTGTGATTGAGACTCTGAAACACAATTCACGTACATATCGCCATTTGTTTAGAGATTGCCTTGGAGTGAGGACAGCGGTGTTAATTAGCATAACAGCGTACGCATATGCAATTTGTCAACATAATTCTAATAAGAATCTTCGACAAGATTATGTAACGTAGTGTATATAAATTCATTTCTAGATACATTGATATCGGAGTTTGGCTTGAATTAGTGATCTTCGAAAACTCACTTCCTAATACTTTGGTCGTTACAATGCATATATTAATCATTAAACATGAGACACGAGGCCCACGGACTTTGATAATTATCACATCAGAAAGTTCTAATTCGATGAATCAGGTCTATATAGACTAAATCAAAGAAAGCACTCTTCCAACCGGGTGTTCATCCATATCTCCCCAATCTTAGATATCTCTTCATCTGATACATCATCATGTCGTGTCCAATCCAATATCACATTTTCCTACCCAGTTATATGCTTGAATATGTCGTTAATGAACCTAAACCTATGATTGATCCAGACCTTTTTCTAAGCAAAGCCACTCCCGCCCAAATTGTGGAAGTCATCCTTTCGTTTTATCCGTATTTCTCTTTCACTCAAAATGCAAGAGAAGATCATGAGCTCCTCCTGAAGATTTTTGTCGAAATGATAGCCCCCCGTCTAAACAACATAATCATCCCTGAAAGCCCGACCACAAATTATATTCAAGCCAACCTGCACAACCCAACAACCGACGTTCATCCCACCAACAGATGGGTGAATTCCAGCGCTGATATCGACGCCAAACGGATCGAATATTTCAACAATCATTGTCTACTGAACATCAAGAACGGGCACTTCCGTCATGCGGCCCTAGATCTTGAGCGATTTGTAGAGAAGTACGATTATCTCAATCATGCCGAGCTCGAAGAGCTTGTTCATGCTCAAGATAATGCCCACGAGGATTTCCACGAAGCTGCGGATAACCTTCGAAGCGCCCACGAGTCCGTCGAGGCAATTCAGCTTCTTCTACGCGAATCCAAACTCTCACCTACCTCAGTGCAAGAGCTCGAAGAGAAATTAAGAGGTGCAAGAACCTCATTGGTCTCGTATCAGAGAGCATTTGAAGCTGTGGCAAAAGATGGCGCATTCGTTCAGGCTTTGGGTAATCATCATAGGTATGTTCTCCCTCACAATCTCCTGTATGAATATCTAGAGTCTACTCTTAACTCATTATATCCATAAATTAACTTGTAGGAAGATCCTCGAGAAGCATAGTACTGGTCAACATTGAAGTCCTCATATGCAACAAAGATGTATGTAAAACATTTAAGTCTACCAACCATCATGACATCATTGTAATCTGACGCTTTGTTTCTTTTGATTTGTTGCTTTACCTTTTCTTTTCCTATTCCTTCTCGGTCTCTTTTTCTCTTTCTTTCCGTTTTGTTTTTTTTGATGTCAGAGTTGTATATCATGAGACTAGCTTTTATGAGATGAATAAGTTGATTAAATGACATACGGAACAGCACAAGGATTAAAGGAAACAATGTGATAGACCAATTTTAGTATGTACAGCATTATGTGATGCAAGTTAGGGCAGGTTGATGATCAGACTCCGGCTTGATAATGATACATATAACTCTATATGGGTTGAAAAATTGATGCGGTGCTTTGTTCACAAAAAGATGCGCGATCAGCTCCGGGGTCCACTTGTTCCAAGGACGATATTGGAGAGTATCGTGGTTGCTAACTCAATGATCTTTATAATTAGGTGAGCAACTGTGCGAGTCACACCTTTTCTCAAAAGAAAAGGTGTGACTCAACCTTTTCTATGAAGAAAAACTGGGACTCGCATGTTTTCTCATGACAACAAATCAAACTTATAATTTTTGTCGTGTATATGACACCAAAACTCTCCCTGTTCGAATCTCATAAACTCCCAGCTGTTCTTTACTTCTAGATTGGTACATGATCCAAATTGATTTCAGCAAGTCACACGTGTTTTGGATGTATGAGAGAGACATTTTGAGTTGAAAGAAAGACAGGAACTAAAGATACAAATCAATATCAATGTGAAAGCAAAGGTACTCTTCATCCAACTCATTCCAATGATAACAATGTATATCTATCAACCATTAGATCATATTCAATAGTGGCATTGTACCTCATAAAATAAATGAATCAGGCGAATCAGAGTCTTGATCGTATTCTACTTCAAAATCATGAGATCGAAGTCCTGAAATACGTCGGATTATTCTTGCATGCACTCTTAGTGTTGAGTGCGCAGAGGTCATTTCCTGCTCTAGATCTATCACGCTGCTTTCCAAATCTTCAACCTTGGACTTAAGTAAGCCAATTTCTCTGTTGGCGTTGTCAAGGAGGTTTGATTGGCGCTCAAATCTAGCAGCTGAAAACACAAACAGAAGTCAGCCAGTGTGTTGGGTTGCTCACAATGAATATTGCAATTCACATACCGTTCTTTCTTTCTTGTTCCGTATGCTGAAACATCTTTTCCTTGATGAGGGTCATCAATGTGTCGATTGAGCTTTCAAGATGTGAAATTTTCTCTTCGAGATTGTGTACTGTGTTTAATCAGATGATACAGTGAGAAATGAATATCGCAGTGACAGTAGCTCAGACTTACTGTCAATTTTTTCTTGCGGCTCAGTTTGAAAGACGCCATCACTAGCTGTCTGGCTCGAGGGAGTAGATTGTTGCTGAGAATTGAGGTCGGACACCTCAGGCTCCTTCTTGGTGTCGTGGATGCTGGTTGACGCTTGAAAGGAAGGAACCGACATATTGTCATGCTGGTCAGGAATGATTGGTGCGGTTGCTTGGGAAGACAACATTCTTGATGGCTTTGGTTGTTTTGAAGACAGAAATACATGAATATACAAGATCGGCAAGACCTATCAACCAGGTCGAAGTATATAGAGGTAATCCTATAGAACACTCACTTTTCTGGTTTGAGTCATCTTGGACTGTTCTCGAGTTGGAGTCTTGGCTTCTGTTGGACCTGTTACATCATATCTGTTACCCAGGGGATCAAAAATTGAAACATCAAGCGTATTATTTGACCTACAAACTCCTCTGCGCTTTGATGGATGTAACAAATCCAAATCTTCAGATCCAGAACGCTTCCCCAGCCGGTGATCGAATGCGAGTGGAGAGGCTGTGGGAGAAGATAATCGAAGCTGTTGAAGTTGAGGATATTGATCCGATTCATTCAACGTGGCCACTTGGTTTTCTGAAGCTGGATCAAAGTCTGATGATAATCATCGTGGTGGAAGGCTTGTAAGTATAGGATGACAACATGACAGTGAAACAAATGAAAAAAATTGGATTTGACATGCATTGAGGCTGCTCCACTTCAACTTGCTGAGAGGCCAATGTTTGACTTGTGCTGTATTCAACATCGATTGAGGTGATAGGTGACTGGTCGATCATAGTCTGGGTACTACTGTTTGCAGAGGTATCGGTGTTGCGCGCAGATGATTCGGTATCTTGAGAGGGAGTCGCGTACATTTCAACAAAGATTTTTTAATGTAAGAGGATATTGTAATTCGACAGAAAAATGAAAAAAGTATAAGATGTGAAAACGTTGACGGTGTTGGAAGAGGACCAGACTCATGAAGGCCTACGGAGTCGGAGTCGAGATTATAACTTGATTGTGAAGGTAGGAGCCTGAGGTATCATGAGCAAGTTGAGTCAAAGGATGAGCGGGCAAGTTTCAAAAAGGGGATTTGTAATGTATTTCGTAATGATTGAGCGGTTGCTTTGAACATTGGTATTAAAGGGGTGGGGGTAGGGTGATAGACCTAGTAGAACTCGGTGGCTCGACTTCAAGGAGCCGAGGTTGCATGATGAAAGGCCAGTAATCGTTCGTGTTTGTTCGTGGGCAGGCCGAATGCTGAGTGATATATGCCCGATGCCGTTGTCGTTTGTGATTTTGGTGAAAATTGGAATCCACGAGATGGTTTGAGAGTCAGTGTAATACAAAGAATCGACTTGGATTTTAATTGGATATCCGGCCCGAAATTTACTACAACCTTTGTAATCCTGTCAATCTAGAAGTGTTTCAACATTTCCTGACTTTTCGTATTACAATATATTACTTATAATTCTTACTTATTACAAAAAGTCAGATCGTCACAACCTTTGTGGTATCTGAACAACGGATCCAATCAGGAAGGACTCTTTCTTACCCCAAGCTTGGGATGAATATGCGAAAATGATCTCAGCACCTGTAGTCATGTCATGTCATGCAGATCAGTTGCCCACTCAAAGTTCGTCCTTTTGGTTCCCAGTCATTTCATGAGCTCTCAAGTAAAGATTGTTTATAAAAGCATCTGATGTTTCATTACGTGGTTATTTTCCATCACCATCATTCCATCATTCGTACCCTACTCAACTGCTCTGCAATCTTTCTACTTCTAAAATCTTAAACTCATTCTTCTGCACACAATCATGCGAGGGTCTAGTGTTCGACGGAAGCTTCGCTCCTCAGCAGGCGGCGAGATGGCTCAAAGCAACATCGATCCGCCCGAATCAAGAGACGACAATCCTTCCAGATTGAAACGCAAACAAAGCAGTGTGGATGAGGATGAAGAAGTAGTGATACCTTCGAAGAAAAAGAGTAAGTATGATTCGAGTAAAGTCCTGATGATCAATTTTTGGGATGGCTTGATGATGTTGCGCTAGCTAACCTTGACTTCCGTGCCAAATTGTCCAGAACAAGACCTTGAAGAGGGTGTTATCTCGGTTGGCGCAAAAACCTCTCGAACTCGTCTCCTGCAGCTTCTACAAAACCGTCTTGTTTCGAAAAAAAAAGGAAGACTTTCGAGCAAAGCACCAGAACCCACCTCATCAACCTTAGATATAGCTCAAGACCCAGGCGAAAAATCAGCAGCAGAGGATCAGGCTGTTACAACCAACCCGAATGAAAATTCCATACAAGGATCTTTCACCTTTTTGGTGAACACAAAAGACAAGGAAGACAGTACGTTCGTTTTAACATCAATTTACTTTGTACTTCTCTGGCGCTACTGCTTATGGGCGCTTCAACATATCTAGTACCCTCATCAACCTTAGATATAGCTCAAGAACCAGGCGAAAAATCGGCAGCAGAGGATCAGGCTGTTACAATCAACCCGAATGAAATTGACTTTCAAATTTACAGTACCACTGAGCTGGAAAACATGTTGCGTGACGTTGGCGTGGACACCTTTGGAATGGATAAATCCAAGCTTATCAAGTGCTGTAAAAGTTATGAAGAATTGAGTACGTCTAATTGATATATATATTCTAGTGTAAGTGTACTGTATCCGCCAAAAACTGAAATTATTGGGCTTCGAGTCATACTCCCCGTGACTGATGTTCCTCCAAAACCCTCAAATTCCATGCAAGGATCTTTCACCGTTTTGGTGAACACAAAAGACAAGGAAGACAGTACGTTTGTTTTAACACCAATCTACTTTGTACTTCTCTGGCGCTACTGCTTATGGGCGCTTCAACATCTCTAGTACTAGAGCGCGTATCTCCCGAAAGAGTTGCTTCGACATTCGTAATGGACAATTCAAGCCTTGAAGGTGATTTTCTATACTTTTCCACGATGTCAAAGTCAGAGTAATAATGTCTCACCGACTTAACAAATTATTGCAGGGAGTTCCAGGTCCAGGAAATCCAGCTACAAGCACTCACCTGAACATCTTCCCAGTTTGGAACATGGAACCCTTCCGTACCCTCGGCCCCGACCAACGGACTTGTCAAAAGAGAATTGGATGCAGCCAAAGTCAAGGAAAGGTAAAGAGAAAGAGCGAAGAGAGTCTGAGAGCGAATATTTACCTGAAGACGATGAGATGTTTGAGGATCACGATGAGATGTTTGAGGATCAACATCACGATCCTGACGAGAATGAAAATCCCACCACATCGAAAGGTATGCAGGATGAAGTAGCTTCAGAAAAAGAAGCGACAGATGAGGAGAGTATGTTCCAAAATTCTATCGTGATGATGTCGAACTTTGCCATCCAAACTAATAATCTATCTCAACAGCCTCCAAAACCTCACTTTCTCTCCAAGAGCTCACCAAGTTATGGAAAGAAAGCAGAGCGGCACTGGTGAAAGCGAACAAGAGGATCGAAACCCTTGAAAGTGAATTTAAGAGCTTGTCAAATTTTGTGAAGACGTCTCTTGCAAATCACGCTGAACAAGAAACCAGTCAGGCACGCGGGGGACGCACGGCGGTAAGTGTCTTCTCTTTGGTTGGCATGAATGGAGTTCATTGATTCTCTTTCTGCACATATCAGGCATGCATCCGTTTCCATATTGAAATGATGTTTGGACTTAAATCGGCGCTGGATCCTCTTCCACCTCCAGCAACCACCGAAGAGCAGGAGGAATGGGATTGTGAAGAAGATCTGGACGAGATTGTTATTGACCTACACCAGCAACCCGACCGTGAACATGTGGACTCTCACTTCGACCCGTGTTTCCCGTATCCAAATGGCCCAGGACATCAAGAAGCTTCACCTCAACAACTCTCAGTTACATGGCAGTTAATGAATGCAGCTCACGTCAAATCTTTTCGCCCAAACTTGTCAAAACCGCCATCTTCCCAAGAAAACAAACGTATATGGGGTCTCTCAGAGAGAATCTTCTTTAAACTGGTGGATTTGGGAGTGTACAATGGAGTATCTCTCGATCCAGACAATGTTCCATACATAAAAAAATGTTTCTTGTCACATATACAGACGCTAATGAAAAGGTATGCAGTGTTTATGTTGTTGCCTACATCACCACGCTGACACAAACAAATAATCAAAATTGGACGAGTTGCAGATATCGTCAGCAAACATGGGACAGTGAACGTAAAGAACGCATGGCTTCAAGTATACGACGTGCAACACGATCATGTCGTGTACGTATGTCTTGTGATTAATTCTTGAATGATGGTGACAACGGCTGACCTCACCTTTAACATTGACCTTTCAGTTGAGAAAGATGCGGACCAAGGTTGCGCTTGAAGAACAACCCTTGTGGCCTTTGTTGAAACTCATCCCGACCACTTGTAGCGATGATGAGACGGATGTCGAAGAGGGGCAGGCTTTTACCCCTGGCAAAGGTTTGATTTGTGCTCGGAAACTCCTTTGGCGTAGCATGGACCTTGAAGGTATCCTGATTCACTTGGACGCGCGCAAGGGAAGAGTGGATCAAAGCGTTCCTAGAGGCTCAAATTCACCACAGCGAGGGAGACCATCTCGCCCACGTATCCGGCGTGACAACGCACCAGAAAGTCTTATAGAAGCACCTGAAGGACTTCCCAAAGACTGCTACTCAACAAGCTTCCTTGAAAAGCTTGGCTCAAAGGGTCAAATTATGTTACAAGTCAAACCCGAAATCGGTTTGACTGGAATTATCCAAACTTTGGAATCACTTTGAACAAGGGTCGTATTTTTTTCATGTTCCTTCCCACGATTCATAGATGGTATTTGTAAGTGCATAACCTTGTCTGTTATTTGGACTTTAGATTCACATCCAACCAATGTTACATTTTTCTCTCGTGCTGCCGCCTTGATGTGAAGCTGAGATTTGTACATAGACTTGTCTGCTATTTCGACTTCAGATTCACATTGCTTTTTTTCTCGTTCTTTTCCTTCACTTAAATATACTATGAGTAATTACATAACCTTGACTGCTACAAATGTTTTGATTAAAGAAATCTATCTGGACATAGAAACCAAACCTACCGTAGCAATCTTTAAGTTTGAGTTAATTTCCCCAGCCTTGAACATTACCCATGAGCAATGTGCCACAATTTCGTCTAATCTCACAATACAGTCTTCCGTTGGTCCCCATGCGCGTAAACAAGTTTGGGTGTGGAATCCTTTTGTGTGACGAAAAGGATTAAACTTTTCAAGAGAAGCGGGTATTTGAGGAAAACGTTGCACATGGAGCCATGTATCAAAGATATTTTCTGAGCGTGTTGGAGACCGGCGATGGATGAATATGGAGAATATACGCCCATAAGCACAAACACCAGTAGTACCTATCTTGAACTCAATAAAACTATCATTTTGACTGCTGCTAAAAGAAGAATATGACACAGAATTATGCATCATCCGCTTATAAAAGAACGCCTGAGGCCGAAGTGATTCATATGCCAGTGCGTCATCATCTGAAAGTAAAGACAACTCTTCTGGAACCATCCACTGGTATTGCAGATCTTCGTTGTTCAAGCGTGCAGCTAACTTTTTGAGTATATCGGCTCTGACAGGCTGCATATTTGAGTTTGAAAGGCGCTTTGGTATAGGTTCTATGGGTTCATACAAAGACCGTAATCTGGAAAGATAAGGCTTGAGCGCATCCGGCATTTTTTCGTTTTCAAGAAGAGCAGCAAGATTTCCAGCTCGTGAGAAATTCTTGATAAAAGTTATTGGAAGCTCGCCTAATTAGATAAAAAAAATGTTTGGTGAATCTTATTCTTTCTTGTTGAGCACAAAAAAAACTTACTTATGTGATTGTTGTGACAGCCTTTCAGGATGCTTCCCATCAATCTTTCAAAAAAGAAAGACCACCAAGTGCGCACTGGACCAAACTCCTCAAGAAGCTCAGACAAATGGAGAGCCATGTGATGGTTTGGAGCCAAGCCACAATGTTCAAACAATTCAACACAGCCTTCGAGGTAGTTTTGAATATGATGCTCATAGCTTTTGATGTGATTTGATGTCATTTTGCGTTTCAGAGCAAGATTGACAAGTGACACTAGGTGCAGAAAGTTCCGAAGGAGAGACATCTTCACGTTATCTTGATCAGCCCACAATGGTATAAGGATCAGTGGTAATTGGATTGAGAAAAGATTTCTCCATTCATCCGCCTTAAGCTTTCCAAATGAGGCTTTTCCCAGAACAGGCAGAGCACGCTTGATCCATGTAGGAATATGAATATTTTGAAGCCGGCAATTAATATCTTCAAGCATTGTAGCATCAAAGATTATCTCTTCAAAAGGGGGGGCCTCCCATCTCCCATTCCACCCTGATTCACCTAGAATGTTGTAGTCTTCATCACTGGGAGATGTCTCGTTCCCAAAAGAAGTTTCACCAATATTAAAGCCTTCTTCATCCTGATCATTTGGTTCAGCATCAGCATCAGTGTCTTCTTTTTTTTTATCTGAACTTCCTTCTTGATGTTTGTGCGCTTCAGCGTGTTCATTGAAAAGATCTCGAAGCTCGACATTTGTTATTGGCTCCACACCCTCATTAGCATTATTCTCATCTTTCATTGCCCAGAATCGTCGAGTATGCCATGCCAGAAGACCAAGTAAGAGATTATGCATAGAATCTACTACATGATAATCTACTATGTCCCAGTATTCAAGTTCAACAAGTACTGAGTAACGAACACCGTGGGTCTTGAAAATTTTTTGCCGCTCCTTCACGGTTTTTGAATCACGGGCCTGAAATGCCCATACTTTGTGCTGAGCGCATTTTCGTGCTTTCCATTTTGTTTTGTCGAAATTTTCAATGTCTTTCTTAGTGATAAGACATTTTGAGCAGAAAAACATGGCTGTTGCACTCGGAAAACCCAGGGAGCGTCTGAGAGCTGGTATATCAGCTATGAAAGGAAGCAGTGCAGCATGAACCAGACGCCCAGATTTGTACATATGAGTTCGTGAAAGTAGGAGGCCCGGATTCCATAAAGTTTGAAGTTCATTCACCACTGGACGTAGGATCCAGTTCATTTGCTCTAAAGAGGGTTCTGAAGGGCCGGGTGCAATACCAACTACAAAGACGTTCTCAGGTCGGTGTCGAATTTCTACAGGAAGCGTCAGACAAACCATAACAATGAAGGTTATGGACGCGTGATGCCCGCTTGTTTTATTTCCGTAGGGGTTTATTGCATCAACAAACATTCCAAATGTCAGATTTCCACTGGTTCCAGTGAATTGCTTTCCATCCGGACCTTTAAATTCCTTCCAAACTTTTGATTCGTGAATGTCGCCTATGGGATTACTCGGATCAAATGGCTTGCAAGACTCCACCAAAGACTCGTCTAGTAAAGATTCAATTTCAGGACGAGAGAGAAGGCGCGCAATCCATTCTGAAAGGCTTTGGAATGCAAATTTTCGCACATGAACTGATCTTCCTCTCGATAGTTTGGTCAATTGTTGTCCACAAGTTTTTTCTTCAAACTCAGCAATATCAGGTACATAATTGTGAGCTGGAGAAGGTGTTGGTGTTTCAGTGTTGACCTGCTCGGGTGGGCCTCCAGGAATCGCAGAAATTTGATGAGTACAATTTCTCGGAGTGCGTTCCAGGGGGTACAACGCAAAACACTGTTGACAGCAATTCATCTCGATTAGATACGGATCGATCTTCAACCAGGAAATCACAGTTGTGATTGTTTTTGGGATCCGGCACAGATTTGATACATCCGATGATTTTAAGGCCGCAGGAGTGCAAAGAGGATTGATACCGTGAGTCAAAGCTAATTCAATTGTAATTTTCAGGCAGTCCAAAATCCACGACGCTGTAGCCATTGATAAGTTTCCAAATATACTCAAGAGAGCTACCATGAGGGCGACTTGAAGTAGCAGTGGATTTATAGCTTCTAATGTAAATGTATGAAATCGATCTGTTTGACCGGGTTCATAAATGAATAAAAAAACTCAGTTCTTAGCTGTTAATTAGAGCTACAAGAAGTGTTATAACATAATGTCTTACCACAATTGTATACTTTAATGATTCCTTCATCTCGAGCTTTCGAGGCAGACAAACAGACTTTGGAGGCGACCAAAGGAGGTTCGTCAGAAGAATGTGAGGTAGGATTATCGGCAATATTACTAGTTGATGGCTCGTGTATTGGCAGGCTTTCGTGAAAGGAGCGTGAGGCTCTCTGGTGGTAGTTTCGGCTTGAAGATTCAGCATTCAAGTTCAAGCGTGCAAGAGGTTCTGCAAGGATATCTTGATGGATTTGAGTTGGAGGAGATCGAGTCGTCTGTCCTGTCTCTTGAGCAAGAGACCTGGATATTGCTTTCTCACGTTGTTCTGCCAATCGATGATATTCGAATGTCTCCGGTACGAGTTCGACACCGTTTTGAGTGACGCCATGAGCATCTTCGTACTTCGCGAGATAGCATTTAAAAATTTGGCAGCGACAAGGAATTCGATGCGCATCTTTGCTTCTGTTCGTTTTGGGAGGCATGTCAGAACAAAATAATGCAATTCAAAATGAACCGGAATACAAGTCTTTGTATTGGCAAGCGATTTATTTGTGGGAAGGATCACAACGGTGGAAACAGGTGTCTTCGAGGAGATTTCAGGGTCTGTTCAAGTGGTAAAAGATGAAGCCCCGGCACGGATATGAACTATGTGGAACAACCATTTTGGCCAGATGTTCTACTGTACAAAGATAAAAGTTGAAACATTAAAAAAACTAGACCAATGTAAGAGTAAATAGTCAAACATGGTCTACAAGCAAGTAGCTAGATGTATCTAGATAAGTACTGATAGATAGTTTCATTTTTCAAAAAGAAGAGCACCCGTTACACTGTAGTTATGATCTGATGACGTGTACATTGTTGGTCTGAAGGAAGCTGAATGTGAAAAGAGAAATCCTTCAAATTCACTCGACAAATAAGCCGAGACTGCAGTCAATAGATATATTGTGTCAGCAGACTTGAAACAAGAAAATCGAAGTAAAAAACAAGATCAAACCAACCTCGTGTGTGTAGACTCGATGCCATTCAATCAAGGATCCTTACGAAGGAGCGAGTAGTGAAACCCACGAACCAACATGCCTGGTTCAACGGGCTCCCCTAAGACAAACATGATGTAGAGATTGACCAGAACCGTGTGAGACATTGGAACAGAATGGATATACACGTGCGGAGCACGTTCCTGCAAGGTCATTCGGAGCTCCTCCATCACAAGATCTTTGACCATATCACGATGTACAACACTTGGTGTTCGAATAAACTCGGAATCGCCAGGTATAATGAGGTCCTTGTCCACATGTTCTCGATAAAGATAAAGTAAACCTCGGATGTCTGCACCTGCAGGTATCACAGTGATTGGTCGGGAATCTAGAATCGCGGTGGCAAGTTGGTCTTTCTTAACTCGTCGGCTTAGTGGGTTGAAATCCCTGCGAGCTGTGGACTCAGTTTGCATTGGGATAGGCTGAGGAGGTAGCATGTATGGCTTGAGGATAGGGTAGACTTTTTCCTTGAAGGCATTGTACAATAGGATTTTCTTGTGGTTTGGGCGAGACTTGGTAGCAGGATTAAAGTGAAGAAGAATTCGGTAGTAATCGTAGCATTTGACCGATTCCCACTTGCTTTCGAAATCGTGTTCGAGAAATACACGCATCTCGCTAGTCATTGATTGAATCTTGTAGTAGGTCTCGTTTGACAACCCGCCTGAAACCTTGATTGATGATTCGTGGGGGAGTGAAGAAGGAGGTGGGGGCTGATCAGATCCTGGCATCGGTGGCAGGCCGGGGGCTAGCTTCGAATCGTGAGAGGTGCCCTGATCGACAGGGGAATTTCCAGGACTCTTCTTTTTCTTCCCTGCCATCTTATTCGATCTGCCGAAGTCTCCAAGTCATAAATTTGAATCAGGTGTCATCGAAACAGAAAAGAGATTTCCCCGAGATCAGAGAGATGAAGTTTTGTTGGACTTACACGTTGATGACCAAGGATAGGTGAGTTGGAACACAAAGATTAACTTAATTTCCCGCTAGAGAATGAAGAATAATTGAGTGAATGATAAAAGATAGCAAGCGACGGATTAGCAAGATAGACATACACCGAGAATCTGGATATGGGTGCGAGCGAACTCAAATCACAGCTGAAGGGATAATGGGGGGGACTTGCCTGGACTGGCGAGAGACCGATATAATAGTGATCCGATGAGAGGACAAGACTCCTCCGAGATGGAAAATTGAGTGCCAAACAAGGGCTTCTGCAATGCAACGGCAGACTGATCCATTCAATCAAATCTGATGAGTGGGTCGTATCGTAGCCCGAGTCCTTTCTTTGGTTGTGTTGGGATCGAGAAGATATACGACATACATAAATTGAGGTCATTTTGTAACCTCAATTACATTATAAATGTAATGTCAGACACCGGTCATGTCAGGTATGTTACCAAAAACTTCCTTCCGTAAGATTCTATCCAATGTTCACACTTGGCTGTGGTGCCTTGATCGTCGTGAAAGGGATTGCATGATAAGATTGATCATTGAGATATTCTCATTCATCAACCACCTAGTGTTACATACGTAAAAACGGATGACTCAAATACAATTTATATTGATTTTTGAAATCTGTATGTATATTTACGTAACCTGATTCATTTGTCAAAATTGACATAGATCCCTTACAATCTGACTACGCTGCCAGCATCTTTCTTGCCCAAAGGCTTCATCAATGTGTATATCACTTTACCATTGTATTTTGGGTCATCTGTACATACATTATTTTTGTAATGAAATTAGTTTTGAAATGTGTGATCTGATTTTTGTATTAAAATCATTTTTGAAATCTGTACGGCATACATTAAATTTTTTGTAGTGTCTAGAGCTGTTGAATGTCAATATTCATGATTGCATTTGATACGTAGGCATGAGCTTCGAATCCAGTCACGTGTAAGTCGATCAGCGAAGCTGATTGAATGAGCAAGGAAGCTTTTGTGTGTCATCTTTCTTGAGAAGGCTGAAATGCAACTCTTGCCCAAAGGCCACATGGAGTTGCATACGAACAATGGAAAGAAGCTACCGAAAGCACTTTAGAGCCACAATGGATTTCTGAAGGTGTGATTGGTAAATCTTTCCTTAGAAAACGTTTTCAATAGTAGAAATATATGTCCGAGGGGCTGACCTAATCAACTTTGAAGCTTTTATGTTTGAGAGTAATCGACCATTGACCATCACCGATTATGCCTTCAATCGATCAGGAGTTAAGCATGAACACAACCCTGAGCTTTGGGATTCATTGAAACCGAATTTTCTTCAATACCTCGAAGAGATCGAACTGGAGAAGGAAAAGCGTAACGGGCAAACAACTTGAGATGGGTCCTTGAATTTTGAACTCTCTGATTCCGTTTGCTACGTATCAATGGAACCTTATATGGAAGACTCAAGGGATCAAATCAAGTCTTTTGTAATCTTTATTGTATTCTTGGTCATCTTTTTCTTCATACTTCTTTCCCCGACTGACTATGACCTTGGGTGATATTTGTACTTGTGGTGACTTCTTCAATACTTTCTTACACAAAACATAAAACATAAAAGGTGGTGGAATTTGTAAAGGCCTGTTTCGATCATAGTTAGTTTCTTAACCTGTTGACAGTCAGTTTTGAGCCTCAGCCACTGCGGGCCTGTGTAGACCTGTTTAGATAAAAAAGGCGCGCCTGTCCGCCAATTTGAACTTGTAGCGCTTCAAGGCATGGGTGCGGCCGGGCAAGAGGCAGATCCCTGATCATCACGTCAACGTGGAGCGAAAAAATTAGTCCGAACTTGAATCGGTGATCGCATCTTAACCAGTATGCGGTTTATGATTGTTTCAGCTTGGTCATAGCAGAGGAAAAAAGGCCCGAGATCATCACAAGCCTCACCAGCTCGGGAGGGGTAAGTTAGGAAGTGACTGGATCTACATACCTAGTATATTTGAGAGAGCTTGCCAAGTTAACATGGAAAGGCAGTCTAAAATCATGCACTTTTTACATGCTTGACATTAGGCAGAAGAAACAATTCATCCGTTGCGTTTCTTTGGCAAACAGCGGATCCTCTTAGCTCAACTTGTCTGCTTACTAGTTGTTGGAATGATCTGAGAGCAAAGAAAGTAAATAATGCAGCTTGTTAAAGACGCGAAAAACACTGATGTATCTCTTGCTTTCTATTGATTGCTTTGAATTTCCAATTGAAACTCGTATTTTAAGCCAACAGTCGGTCGGAAATGGACAGATACGGGTACCTCGGACGAAACCATGATAAAGACGATCGGATTGAAAGGGAAAAGTATCGTCAAGAAAGGTGCAGATTTAGTAGGTTCTTGGTTTTTGCAATCTTAACGTTTACGAAGAAATTGTGAAACATTTGAGAATTGGCATTGACAAAGTCAAAGAGACTTACGTAGAAAAAAAACAACATAACGAAATCTTGATGCGTCCACAGTATTCTTTCAGGACCAAATATTTAGATTTGCTTGAAAGCATTTTGAATGCTTTGGCTCAATCTAGACTTAGAATATGTCTTCTAATGCTACCCAAGCCAATGACGGCCAAGGACATGTTGAGACAATCGTCTCCATCCCGCAAGGCTTTGTCTTCTTGATGATCTCTAGATCGAACACAAGTTTGACATGACAATCGACTGTTCAAGCTTTCACAGATGCAAGACTCAGAGTCAAATGAAGGATTCCGGGAAGACCGCCTACAATGACACTGAGAAATATCAAAAGATGTGTCATGATTGACCATTGAGAATAAAGAAGTGAGAGGGAACTCGTTATTTCTGACTTGCCTCCTCCATACACAATGCGCGCCTAAAACATCCTTCGCCTCTGTTAGACTTTGTGAGATTGACTCATGTTTTATGATATTTCATTTGTTTTTCCTACACTGCTGTAGAAAACTGTCCATGAGATTTTTGATGTGGAGTCAAGACGCTTAGATTGATGCTCAAATTCTATCAACATATTTATCTTACTTCACATTGTATTTCGGTAAGGTTCTTGTGATCAGGTCGAAGGAAAGGGATGAGGTAGTGTGGTAGCTTAAGCGGGCAGAGCCATTTCAACAATTCGGACAATTTAAAGTGAAATATATAGCTTTTCATTTCGATTAGAATCGATATACGCTTGCCTTGCGACTTCCTTTTCTATTTCGCACACTTTGCTTCGTCCAGTTGTTCAAGATCAAGATAATGGAACCGAAGCGATAGGCCGTGCCAGCAGCGCTTCTGTGAAACTTGCACAGCCGAGCTTGAGGCTTTTGAGTGGTAATTAAACAAATGCTGAAATGGTTTTGTCAAGAAACCACTCATCTTTCTCAATCCATTGGGAAACTCAACAAGTGAGCATTTGGATCGAGTTACTACGCGTACCAGTAAGTATATGCGCTCAACAAAACTTGGATTGGAGATACTCTCTCAACACTTTCTTCCTTTATGAGAACTCCTCTGCATTGTTAGTATCTTTCTTATTTGAGGATAATTAGGTGTGGGTATGCAGGTCGGAGAAAAGTCTTGGTTTGATCAATCATATCACATGATATGGCGAGTCATTCAATGATCATTTCCAGCCATGATGATTGAGGTTTATTGTCTGTCGTGGGCCAGATCTCATTATCCACACATCAACATCCACGAGATAAGATTTGAAAAGTCCAAACCTAGACTCACTCTTACCCACATGGATGAGTTCATTTCTCACTCATATAATGCTATACCAAAGATGGATGCTATGTCTATTCATCTCTGCATGGCATGCTTGAATTGCCAAGAGCTGTGGCATTGAATATTCCTCGGATATTTGTAGCATCTGAGTCACCATGAGGTTTAAAGTTGTCGCACACTTTCGGCGATTATCGTTTTTCTACCGGATTGGATTATGATATGTAGTTTTAGTACCAATCCTCATGCTGTGTCGGGGAAAAAAGGATTGGCTGTTTCTTGATCTTCGCAAACTCGGAATCTTCAGAATTCACAGGTGTCGATATCCTCCACCAGGTATGTAGTACGTACACGCCTGCAAAGGACCATTGCATCAACTTTGACATCTTATTACACATCTCATATCTCCTTCCATCTTGCGGGGTGTGTATAGTGGACGCGCATGCACCGACATCGCTTTTTGTCCTTGTTCGATTCTCCAATAGAACGTCCTTATGCTCCACTCGGAATATCGATACTGCATTGAACTGAAGGGCCTCCAGCTTTCTTCAGCCGTTTTCACCTGCCCATGACACGTATCGGACATCCTTCATCGAGGTGGTCGACTTTCAGAAGATCTGAGAAGACCCATCGGAGAAACCCAGCTCACAGCTCTCAACTTCAAGGGAAGGGAGATGAGCAGTCTTAGGATAACTCTTTCGTTGTGACTTCAAAGTCTTGATCGTCTTACCTTACTAATCGGAAATTCTGGGATCATGACCACGTAGGTGGATGTGAAAACACATATGTACATAGAATTTTAAATACAAAATTAACCTCCTTCGCTTAAGTAACATGCTAGTCCTGCATTGGAGGGAATGGAAGACGAGAGGAGCTCAAAAAAAGCAAAGAGATAGAGAGGAGCAGGCAAACGGGTTATGCGATGATGCTCACATTCTTCACCAACGAACAAGCAATTGGAAAGCCGACCAAATAGCTCTGCCGGTTGGAGTAAAGATTCTTTTCGCTCTGTCAAGTTTGGTACATATTGATTAGACTGTTAAGTTAGAAAAGAGAAGAAATTAGCACCGCACTCGATTAAATCTTTTTAACAATCATTATTGATTCTGAATTTGTGTGGAGTTTTTTTTTCTGCTATGGTCGAATCTTTCTTCTCTCTCTTACCCTCGGCCACCCCAAGCTCTTGTCGTTCTCATGGATGAAATATGGGTTCGAGTATGGAGTGGTCTGGCCAACTCCTGTGCAGGCTAGATCTCTATAAAGACTATCGTACCTGTTGTTCTCTTTCATCGTACCATTTCTCCATCGCTTTCAAGAATCACTAAATCTGTATACATCTTGACATTTCCATAGAGTCTATTCCTCCACCACTCCACCACTACCTCCTAGTGCCAGATCCCTTCCTTGGCTATCTGCAAAGTCCTTTCAACTTGAAAAGCTTCTGGCTTTTCGACTCCACATTGGTTTCCTCTTCTTCGTATCAGAGTTCATCTATAAATACCGGTCTTTGATACTTCTTCATATCTCATAGACCTTTCTACTGTATCTCAACTTTTAAAATAATTGGCAAAGTTTTGTAAGGCCATCGATAAATTTTTGAATTTCCTCAAGATATTTACTAGATCTCATCTTTTTTTTTCTAATTCACTCATGCATAACCTTGAACCTAAAGAGAATGTTTGTATTGAGATTCCTGAACTTGAAGAAGGTTTAAGACTTGGGAACGAAATCCCTCAGCAGAATCGACCAGTAAGCGTACATTTACCGGAACCCCGACAACCACATCTCTCAAACAGATCTTCTAGTTTATCATGCACTTCTACGATCCTCACCTTTGAACGTGAAAGACATGAGACAAGAGAAAAACCTACAAGTCTTCCAAAAGAGTCAACTGTACCGGCTACTACTACAGTAAAAGTCACTCCTTGGTTACGATTTCGAACTTGGTTTACTCCTTATCGTCAAATCTTAGTAGTCGTTGTTGTATTAAACTTTGTTGGGAGCACTCTCGAAATTGCAGGACTTTGGCCAGCGGCGACATGTTGTGTTGGGAGTCTGGTAGTCGGTAATATACTCTGCGCAATAGCCATTCGTAGTGAATGGACCCTTCGGTTTTTATACTGGTTAGCCATCAAAATCTTTCGTCCTTCCTTCCCTATCCGAATGCGGACGACAGTCGTCGGTCTTCTATATCATATCGGTAAGTTTTCAATTAATCAGTATTTAAACAGTGTCTTATTTTTGACTGAAAAGGCTCAATCTCTCCCCGTGGTTCAGGTGGACTTCATAGCGGATGTGGAATTGCAGCTTTATGCTGGCTTGTGTCATCTTTTGTTCATCACATACGATTTCACCAATTATATCATCCAGCTGTTTTGGCTTCTTTATCTGCTTGCGTCCTTTGCGTCTCTATTCTCTCAATCAGTGCTTTCCCAGTCTTTCGAGGTCCATACCACAAGTAAATACATCCCTACTTACATTTTTTGGACTTCAAATGCTTACCGATTTATTCGCTTTCCACTCTCATCAGTGCTTTTGAAATGATTCACCGTTTTATGGGCTGGTAAGTATTTTCCCCCTTTATACGCAATAATAAATGAAACTCAATCAACTGAGACTAATCATGCTCTCGAATCTTGTGTGTTTTGTTTTTCAGGATAGGAATCTTATTCACTTTGACCTTTGTAATACTTTCAAAATTTTGGAATGTATATTCACAAGAGTGGGAAATAGATTCAATAAGCTTAGCTACTTCACCAGAGATGTGGTTCTTGCTGGCTATTTTTCTTTTGTGAGTGTTTTCTTCTAAAAATTACAAAATCAATGATACATTCAAATTTCTTGCCAAGGCTGCAGAGTTGATATCTTTGGTTTTCTTTCTTTTTGATTTTTTTTGTAGTATCTTTGCTGCATGGATCACAGTGGCTAAAGTTCCCGTGGAGCACTTGACGGTGAGATTCTCTCGAAAAAGACCTTATAGAAACTTATAATTGTTCTGAACCAGTTCTCTTCCTTTGTTTATAAATGACAGGATTCTGTTACTTCTTCGGTAATTCGACTTCCCGGAGGTTTAACTTCAGGTCTACACACTCGAATCTCAAGAGGTGGGCTAAAAGAATGGCACATCTTTGGCTCTATTAGGTTCGTGAGAGTACTCAAAGATTTGGTGGTGATTTTTCATAATCTTAGTTTGATTTGTTTGGTTCAAACTAGTGAAGGAAAAGATGCAGACTGCCATTATATTGTGGCTGCCGTCCAGGGCAATTTCACTCGAAGCTTGAACACCGAAAGACCGGAGAAGCTCTACACCAAGCGATGGAAGGTAAATGATTCGAAGAGATATGCGTTGAGAATATAGCATTGATCACTGATAAGTAAATGATTTATCGGACATCGTCTTAGCCATGCGGATTACCATACTTCTCAAGGATGTTCAGACGAGGAGTAGCGATTTGTACAGGATCTGGTATCGGGGCTGTAGCCTCTACTTGTATACAACACTCAGATTGGTTCTTGATTTGGATTGGTCCTAACCTGGAGAAGACTTATGGAGAAGAATTGTTGAGTTTGCTCACAACCAAAATTCCGAATGAACGTCGTATCATTTGGGACACACGTGGACCTCGTGGTAGACCTGATGTAGTTTCAGTACTTGAAAACATTTTTAAATCATGGGATGCTGAAGGTGGGTTTGTAGATTGAAAAACTTTGTGTTTATAATTTCTCTGATAGTTTTTGGTCCATTGTTTATCAATAGTGGCACTCTTCATTGGCAGTCCAGCGTTGAACAAGACAGTCTTGCAAGCTTCTAGAGCGAAAAAAATACCACTTTTTGTTAGTGAAGTCTCATATTGTGGACTTAAAACTCATGTCTTCTAGCTGACGTTTGTTTTAAAACAGGGATCTATATGGGACGCATAGGATCCAAAAACAATTCTTTCAACTCTCTGACCTTTTACTTTAGAATCTTTTCAAATCTCATTCATGGACAACTTTTTAAATCTTAGAAGATAATACAAGATCTAACATTTTTCTTTCATTTTTCTTTCATTTCAATTCTCAATTCATAAGGACAATTTTCTTTTGGCTCGTTATGTATTACCATTCAATGTTGTTCAAAAGCTTTCTCTCTCTTTCTCTTCTCTTTCTCTCATCTCATCTCATTTCATTCTGTTACAAATCATAAGTTTATAGGTATTTTTTTCCGGACAATACATTGTATGTATAAAAAACGAAAGAGATTACAAAATCATACCTATCATAGGTCATGATTGTCTCCGTTGAGTAAGTCTTTCAAGTGTATCATGTAAATAGATCATCTGTCAGTTATCCTCTTTTTATCAATTTGAACTCTGGATATTTGTATACATAGCAATGGAATTCAAATACGCATGTGCCTCTACTTGACCTGAGCTACGATGTGATCAGTCAATCCGAGAAGATAGCTCTAACATGAAGGATTGAAGAATCGTCTCTACTTGCCTGAAAGTTAAACTGTATCAAGTAAATGTATGATTAGAATTCGGTGGCTCGATACAGGACCATGGAATGTGCCCATGGATGTGTCTGACCCAAAATCCGACTTTTTTCATCAAGTTTTTGGGCCATAGAAGGACTACACTAAGTATACCTTGTCGACAAGTACAGGAGCGCAAACGATGCGCCTGGATAAGGGCTTTCGAATCCACTAGATTTTAACCCTGTAGCACCACTGCTTGCCAAGCTAATCCAATGCACCACCCTAAAACATCAAAGTCGGATTTTGGTCTTGAGTGGCAAAAAAAATTGTGCCATTGATCATGGGTATCGAGAAAGTTAACAATGACTTTGAATCTAACTTGTGATAATCGGGTAAGAGAAAATAAAAAATCGCGTTGGATTCTGAAAAAGTTGATGGACTTTCAGATCAGACCAAACTCTCGACCTGAAATGTGTATTTATGCCAGAGTGCAAGAAAGATTATCAAATGTGATCCTTACTTGTTTTACTGTTCAGAACTGGGAAATCTTGTATGATCAACTTATTGCTGGGGCCTCTTGACTCTTATATAGAAAATTGTCAAACAGGGTAGAAATGTTGATTTGATTGGCGTCTTTTCAGATCACAAAGGTACATAAAGGCCTTGAGTGATTGATCTGTCTGCCAAGGAAAAACAGTTTGAGCGTATGAATCTGGTGGCATCGGTCGATGACAATTTGTGGACACGGCATGGGTTAGCGAAGGAACGACTTCAATCACCTGCCAATTGTAACGATACGAGTCTGTGAAAGAGAACAAGTTGAAGGAGTGTGTTTATTCTCATCAAGTGATCGACAACAGTTATGAGTAAGATACATGAAGGATTGAAACTATGATAAAGCACAAGATCAAAAGTAACAAATGAGCCTAGATGATGAAAGGATGTGAAACAGAGAAAAGAGATACAAGTGAAGCAGAAGAATCAAACGCGGGATCGAGGCGATGAGCTAGGAAAAAGACAGATCATGAAATAGCTAATCATTCATGAGAACTTGAAGCAGTAGTACTAGCGGCAGTGTAAGTAGAACCGATATCTCCAAATCTGATGTTGGAGTACTCAACCGAAGCATCGGGGTGGGCACCTTCAACTGTCTTGGGCACACCTGAAGCCGGATCACAGTTTCCTCGAGACACACCAGGTTTGTTTCCCTTGTTGAGAGGATAATTGGATTGTAACCAAAGCAAGTTGGCATCGTGATCGTCTATTAAGAGAAAAAAAGAATTAAGAATCAGTAATAGAACTAGAACTAGAAAGAATTGAATCTGTTGGATCAACTTACCCCAAAGACTCATGACCAAAACCATTCCTCTTTGCATTGCAGCACCCATAGCTTTAAGACCACCTTTAGCCGTAAAATCATTCTTATCATCAAAAAGTTTCTTCTCAGCTTCACAATAAGCATCAGTGATCGAATCGAATTTCTTCAATTCAGGACCACGACTACGAGAATTACCAATGACTTTTCCATTTTGAACATATAATCGACGGATCTCAACCAATTCACCAGTTGCAGTATGATCTTTAGTAATGAATTGAGTGACGACGGTAAACTTTTTAGTAGTATCGATGCGTTTACCAGGTCCATAGAATCCATGATTTCCAAGTCGATAGGAAGCATAATCACATCCATCCTTGTCACAGAGTCCACCATATCTGTTTGCTGGACTATCACCACATAATGCTCCTGTACAACTCTTGGGACCAGTAAGACCTTTACAAGTATGAGCAGTGAAAGCTTGAGAGGCTGAGTTGGCTTCCCAGATGTCCATCTCGTAACAACAAGATCCAACACTTCCAGTTCCTGAATTCATGTCCGTAGCAGATGGTTTCCAATTCTCAACATTAGCCTAGATGAAAACGAAATGAGATGTTAGTAATAAATAAAATCAAAAGAATTTTTTTTAAATAAGATTGATTCTAATCTTACCTTTCCATCAATGAACTTGACATCATGAGGGCATTGAGCATCACAATAACCCGTACCATACTTAGCACCAGCCTTGTTAGTTGGAAACTCTTTCAATCCACCATCTTCAGACATCTCAGCAAAGTAAAGAGCTCCATTGATACCACAAGGTAAGTTACTAACATCTACATCAAAGGTGAATTCTTGATTCTTAAGTTTAAACATCTTATACTTATCATCACCAGCCATCATATAAACTCGAGATCCGATGTTAGTAGAATAAGGACCATGAGTAACAAACTTCATCTTGAGAGCGTCACCCGTAGAAGTGATACCATAGGTTCCAGGATAATCAGCTCCATCAAGTGCACAACTCGTTGCACACTTTGTCGGATCACTACAAAGCGTTTTATCCCAAGTTTGTCCAGTATAACAGTTACTTGAAGTATTGGCTGCATGAAGCCATCGCCAATTTGCATCGAGTGTAACCTTTGATGCGGTTTTTTGACAACCACCTCCTTTGGTACAAGTCTGGAAGGAAAGAGCAGGTGGGTTTTCAGCTGTGTTGGTTCCGGCTAATTGACCTTGTCCGAATCCAAGAAGATGAACAAGTACAGCAGCAAAAACAAATGACATCTTGTTTGAAGAAACCATGATGGATGGATGCGAAAGAGCAAAAAGTAAAAAAAGTGGATGTAGGTAAACTGCTTAGCAGACGAATCAAACGTAAAGAAAAACTTGTTTTGGTAAGTGAAAGGAGTATGTGGAAAAACTTGTGTTGAGAAAAAAGTTGAAAATTTGAAAGAATTGGTGCAAAGTAAATTGACTCAGTCTGATGAATGAAACGATATATGAAAGAAAGAATGAGGTCTGAGGAAAGAATCAAAAAGCCATCCACTTTGACCACGTCTTTATACGAAATTCCACTACATATATTTCAACGTGAAGTAGCTACTTTTTCTCATTCATCATTCTGTAGGGTCAACATTCAAGATGGTAGGCAGGGTTTTTGCTGAAAATCCTTGCGGATCATCTTTTGGCGTATAACGACAGACCCTAAAACCCAGCGCTGCGCTTATTGTATCATCACACAATCAGCTCGAATATGATGTGACAGAAGTGAAGCAGATCAGAGAAGATCCCTTTTGTGGTGGTATGCAATTAAAGTCTAGGCGACTATAGAGAGGGACAAGGTGAAGTATGTACCAATCACGAGTAGTATCGTTGCAATTGAACCCCTTGGTTGTACTGTCGTGGCAAGATGAACGTGGCAAAATATCAAACTTATCCCAATTTAGATATCAAGAGAACCTGGCCTCTTCCTGCATCTGTTTAAGACTTTGGTTATGGATAGGGTCAAGTCATCAGCTGATCTTCAAATTCTTTTAGTCTACCCGACTTTGCAAAAGACTTTTACGGAATTCACTTGGTGATTGTAAACTGATGGTATTCTCAATTCTACTTCAATAGTCATCGACCGTGATCTGATACTGCCAATAGACCAGTTCTCGATGAATGTATTATCCTGGAGAATGACACTTTAGAAATCAAATCCCGTCCTTTCTCTGGGGTCTAATCTTTCCATCTCTTTTGATTGCCTTGAGGATCCACATCTTCTCCACCAACAGTTTCCAGGACCGTTTATCCTGACCCCACGAGTTTTGGAAGGTTTCTGTAAGTCACATAGTCCCTGTTTCACACGAACCACCACAAGCAAAGGATCTCATTCTTTTCAAATCGGTTTAGCCACGTGAGATCATCGAACCTTTCTCTGACACTCGTCCTTTGCGACTTCAATAATCTTGAGTGTGATTGTAATCCAGTTAAAGCCATGAGTTCTGAATAAATTGATCATGAGCCAACTTGACGATCAGATCAAGACCTCAGAGCCTAAACCACCACCAATGGATCTCGATCCTCAGAGCTAACAACCACATCCCATCGATCTCCCTGTTCATCCTTCTGATCCTCACGCAAAAGTTCTCTTAACCTATCCTTTAAAACCTTTCCAAGAAAGAACCTTTCTGAATTCGAATGCGAAGTCAAAATCACATGAACCCCACGCGCATTTGCTCTTAAGACTTCATGCTGTTCAACCAACCCCCCCAAAAAAACCCATCATCAGACTCGAATCTCTCTTTTCATCTGATTCTTGTCATCAAGATTGAATCAAGAAGGTGATTTTTTTTGGAAGTCATTAGAACACTTACATGAGACATTTCTCCGGTCAGAAACACATCACAGGATGTTCCAAGAGCTTCACAGATCGAAGCACCTGATCCAGCACAAACACCCACTGATCGAATCAAAGACTGACCAACACTAGACCGAGCAAGTTGAACTACGAAAACCAGATTGCTTTGTAAGATATCAGTCAAAGTTCTTGGAAAAAGATTAAATTAAAGTAAGAACCAGGATTTCGAAAAAATGAAAAAACGAAAAATTACAAACCATGTGAAAGATTAAGTCCTACTTTACACCGATTAACGATTTCCATTAAACTAACTTGTTGATCTGACTTAAATGTAACCCTACGACCAGAGCCCATTCCGATCCCTTCCAAGGGAATCCCATTAATCAATTCACCATTGATAGAAAAAATTTCATGATGAGAAGCTGGATTTGGATTTGGATTGGATGGATTGGTTGAAACGATTTGACATAGATGATCATTGATACCACCGATGACTGAATCTAAGCTAGTATGTGGAGAATAAACACTAAACCAAACCAAAAGAGAAAGCAAGATGAGCTTATTGTTTTGGTTGATGAGAAAAGATTTAATGAAGTTACCTAATTCCATTGGTAATACAATTCAATAAGATTTCTTGTAAATGATCTTGAGTAGTAATCGATTTTAAAGGTTTAAAGATAATCGGATGATAAGTTACAATCACACCAATCTTAAAACGTTGATCTAAAGCTTCCAGTAAGACTGCTTTAGTTAAATCAATCGTCAATAATACATTTGTTAATGATTTGTTTTCAATAGGTGATTCGATTAAGATGCCTGTGTTATCCTATTGAAATGAACATCAAGTTAAGAGATTAGTTGGTGATGATGGTTTGGTTTTTGGATAAAGGTCTTACCCATTTTTCAGCTAATGAAGTGGGTGATATCTTGTTGAATGCTCGTTGAACTGATTTAAGAAGTCTGGTCATCTTGGATCAGTTGATGAACTGTTTTATGACAAAGTCTTTGAAGAAGTGATGAGTGTTACATGTAAGCATTCGATCACTATATCGAGGTTTCATTCTCTTCTCTCTGTCTCTGTCTCTGTCTCTGTCTCTGTCTCTGGCTGCTTGATGAGTCATGACCAAGTACTAAAAACCTCAAGATGTTCTTCAATCGAATGCTTTTACTGATCGGTTCTGGTTTATTCTTAAACTCAGCTTACTCAGTTTATGCAGAAAGAAGTTTGTAATTTCTTTCAACAAATCAAAACCAACATCAACTTACGATTCAAATGCTTTTTCTTTTTTGATCGATAGTTCTTTTACACGGTAGTACAACATTAAATTACATTCCATCAACCAATGTACTTCTCTTCTCTTCTTGAACCCACACCGAATTCTTTCTCTCAAAAAACTAATCATCATCATCTTTTTCTTGTTCTTTTCTAGCTAATCATTCAATTATCAATCTCATTCATAATCATAACAATCGGAATCATACTATCATCTCCAAACCTACAAGACATCTATTGGAAAACTCAACTAAAGAAAAGGTAATCTACATCCTCTAAAAAAACCTATCAAACCCACCAAAGAAAGAAAGACTGATGATTTTTTTTGGGGCGGTTTAGATCTATTGATGAATTTGATTCGAAACTTGGATTTATTAATCTTCAGAATCGATCCAGTATTCTTTTAAAAAACCATTGAAAAAAATATATCTCTATCTCTCTATCCTAGGTTTTGAGTTAAATGATCAAGATTATAAAAGTGATCTGTTGATTGAAATTTATATGATTTTCTTGTAGGAGTGTATGAGTTTAAACTTATGATAAACTTAAAACCCTATGTTGTAAGATAGTTATAAAAATGTCTTTGGTTATATAGTAAAGGCTTTACAAATGTTGATCAGTTGAAAATTTAATCCTGGTCTTTTTTTTTTTCTGTTTTTTATATTTTGGTGTGATGTGATGAATCGATAAATAATGAAAAAACAAATGAAACAAAACATTGGTATATGGTGGCATTCATCTTGATTTATTTGTAGTTGGATCACAATTCTTTTTAAGGTTAAGTACAGAGTTTGGATTGAATCAATTCATCATGAGAATGATCGAAGGAGATAAGTAATCAATGCTGAGTCAGAGACTAGAGTGAGTGCGATTGAGTATGTAAGCATTTGTGAAATCTGATGGAAATTCAAGTTGACATGTTGTGATTTGAAATTTCAAATTACCAAATCTAAATTCTACTCTTCAGATTTACCGTATCACTTCCATCACCCATCACTCATCCATCCACTTCTCACTTCTCACTTATGGCGACACTTTCTCAATCTCAACAATCAAATCAAAATCAAAATCAAAATCAAAATGAAATACCTGATAACTTATACACTTATGCTTTCTCGGTAATCTATCATTCTCATCTGAATCAATCCATCAAACTGACTTTTACTTTCACTTTCATCATTCGATATCTAGTCACTTCCACCTAGAAAAGCTCATAACACTCTGATCGATCGACTCAAATCAGCTAAACATTTCAATGAAGAATTATCAGATTATTTTAAAGATCGATTATCCATCGAAGATCAATATGTGAAATCTTTATTAAAACTATCCAACAAACCAAATGGAATCTTTAATCTTGGAAATCAAGCTCATTCAAGTATCACCACCACAAATGAAGAAGAAGAAATCCTGGGTGGGATTTCAAAAATCAAACAATTACTTCAATCTGAATTGATCGATATCATGGATTCTCATGCTAAATTCCAGATTAAAGTTCATGCTCAAGTTGAATCTTCATTTCGTAATTTCGATACTCTAACTCATTTGAATTGGTCTCAGATCACGAGTTTAGAAGATAATTTAAATCTGACCATTCAGAATTGTGAAGATTTAGAAGCTAAATGGCATAAATCTAAAGCTAAACTTAATAGGACGAGTAATATTAAAAAAATTCAAAACTTACAACTTCGTTTAACAGAAGAACAAAAGAATTTAAATCAAGCTAAACAACTTTATATTGATCAAGCTCCTATGATTTATGATTCTTATCAAAGATTCGATCAAACAAGACTCTTGAATCTCATTGAGACTTTAACCAAGTTTGAGACCATTCAATCTGATCATCATCGTGAAAAACTCGAAATCTTTGAACGATCAATGTCCAATTTAATCAGTTTTAATTGTAGAGAAGAAATGGAAAGATTTGTCATTAGAAATGGACTTATTACTCAGACTGTAGCTGAGCCTCGTTCTCCTAATGGTGATCATCTCGATTCTCAACATACTCCTAGCTCTCCAGGATCTCATTACTCAGCTCCTTCATCTAATCCACTCAAACCTCGTCATCCTTTACATACGTCTGCTGATCGGGAGCATACCACTGCTCTCGCTGAATTCTTATCTGCAAGTCTATCTGAACCTGGTCATCGAACTCGAAATCACATGACATCCTCTGCATCTACCCATCATCCTAATCACACCTCAATCAATCAACTTACTACACCCAACGTCTCTGCTCCGGTTCGATCGGATACCATGGAAGTGGACGCCTCCACTTGTTCCTTACCGTCACGCGATCTATATGTGCAACGTCAGCCATGTCAGTACACAGCTCTTCTTCATTTGAATTCCATCGCTGATCTTTCAGTCAGACCCTCTATATCCAACAGCTAGCAAATCGATGTCCTACGCGCAACGAGTCGGTTCACCTGGTACTCTAACTCGCCTACGTACTAGCCCTTCGTCTCGATCGATCAGTTCAAACGCAAAGCCAGGTTCATCACATTCTCTGACTGACAAGATCTTCAGCAAATCACGTTTCACCAATCTCCTTGCGCGTAACTCGGGGGATGAGTCCACCATCTCACAGGCAAGACAATCATTTGCAGCACGTCTCGGAGAAGGCCATCGATCGAAAATGTCCCACTCTTCTTACAATCTTCCAGGACATTCGATTCCTGCTCGTCCAACTCATCATCGAAACTCAAGTGGAGCTAATTCAACATCCGGCCCATGTCAATCTAATCTATACAATATGTCAGAAATGGAAAATGGAGTAGAAGAAGAACCCATTGAAGAAGAAGAACATACGCCTTCTAGAAACGGAAGATTAGGTTCATTACACTTGAATTCATCTACAATTCTTCCTAAACGGAAAGCGTCTCGTTCGGCTCCTTCTTTACCTCCTCCTTTACATCCAGATGAGGTTCCACCTCTTCCAGTGATCTCGAATACACTTGACCATACAAGAGTAGATGCTGAAGGTTTTACTATTCCACCTGATGATCGAGATCGGAAGCCTTGGGAGAGTCATCATGGGAAATCATCAGAGGTCTTGGAAGAGGAAGAAGATCCTAATCCGAATCGAGGAAACCAAGGGGTGTATAAAAAGTAAATCTTTTAGTTCGATCATCATTGATTTAAAGAATTCAATTGACGTGTTTTTCTTCTTCTTCTTCTCATTCTAGTGTCAGAAACAGTCGATCAACAGGTGCATTAGGTGCTTTAGCTCAAGTTGCTATTAAACCCACTTCTTCAAGTCCGATCTATGAATCTGATTCTGAAAGAATAGCTGCATTTCAAAAGATTCAAAACACACTCTCATCTGGTCCCTCTCAAAACTCTCTTGGATCTTCTACCAACCGAGCGATTTCAAAACGTCGATCTGCATCAGGTTTAAGAGGTAGAAGAGCTGATGGTAGAGGTATGACGATATATGATGCTCCCAAGTTTACTCAATCTGTAGTACAACTTCAACGAAGCGGATCGAATCCAGTCCGAGAGAACAGTACTGAAAACGTTTCATTGAGTTTTGTAAGAGATGCCAAGATGTTGAAGAAGAAAACAGAAGAAGGAATCCAATCGAATTCGAATTTAAGAAACCCGAAAAGGGTGGGAACGAATCCGTTTATGTCGTCTATTCCACTTTCTTCACCGGTAGAAGAACCTCAAGTTTTAAATCAGAGTGATACAGAAGATGACAGTTCGAAGATCCCTACCTCTGAATCCTCTTCACAACCATTATCACTTTCTCAACCTCCTTCTGCTTTATCACTTTCTCAACCTCCTTCTGCTTTATCACAACTTCATTTCGAACCTCATCATGGAAACAAAAGAGCACTAGAGAAGAGTCGAGCCAATAGTGTGGTGTCTTCAATGTCATATCAAACTGCCGGAGGCTTTCATTTCTCTTCCAATCATCCATCCTCTAGTCTTAATGGAACCAATCCGTTCTTGAATCGATCCTTTTCACCCGCCATTAATCATCTCAATGGATCTGCACCGAATCATCCTTCAATCTTTTCGTATGGAGGATCGAATCAAGTAGGAAGAAGTTTGAGTTCAAGAGATTTACCTAACTATGCTCATCATGGATTAACAGGTATCATTAAAGAAACTTTAAATGTTTTGATGGATCAAGGAAGGATTAGTAAACTATTAATATTGGGAGAAATCAAATTAGTTTGGAGAGGATTGATTGATGAAGCGCCGGAAGAAGAAGAGCGAAAGAATCCAAGATGGGTTTATTTTAAGATACGTAATTTTGATCGATTGGAAAAAGTGACTTGGATACATCCATCGATTCGAAAGATTGGAAATCGAAAAGATCATCATGGAGAATATCTTGTGGATTTCAATGGGATGAAGAAAGAAGAGATGAGTGAAGGAGGTAGAAATGGATTGACGATTATAAAGTATCGAATTTATTTTGATCAACAAGGTTTGGATCAAGAAGACGATGATCAAGAAGATTATGTTCAAGCTTTCTTGCCTGTTTTGGTCGTGCCTAGATGGAGAGCATTTAAATCTAAAACAGAATTAATTTTAAGCTACGAAAGGAATATGAATTTTCAAGGATTTTCTAAAGATCAAGATCAAGATCAAGAAGAGAAGAGAGGAATCGAAATTGAAGGATTCGAAATGAGTAGTATACTTTATAATCCGAATGATTTCCAAACCAAACCTTCACATTTGATACGAAAAGAAATCGAAAGTCTTCAAGTGATTCCAGCAGGAGAATGGGATGAGAAAGAGAACCGGATGAGATGGAAGATAGGGATGATTGATTTGAACGGGAGTGTTCAAAGGATTGTAGGAAGGTTTAATCATCCTACTAAGAAGCATGAAGAAAGTGGGGAGAGTGAAGAAAGGAAAGAGAATGAAGAATCAGATGGAATCGAATCTAATGAGTTTGTGAGAAGGAATTGTGGACCGGTTCAGGTTAGGTTTAAGATGAAGGGAAGTTGTTTGAGTGGGATCGGATTAGAAGTTTTAAAGAAGAAAGGAAAAGGAAAAGTAGAAGAAGGGGAAGGGGAACAGGAAGAGGAAGAGCAGGAAGATGGGGAAGAAGGGGAAGAGCAGGAAGAAGATGGGGAAGAAGATGGGGAAGAGCAGGAAGAAGATGGGATAAGGATTGAAAAGTTTGAAGATGTGCTGATGGAAGCTGTGTGTGGGACTTTTTTGGCTAGATGATTGGGATTTATTGATTTTTTTTTTTTGGATTTGATTTGATTTGATTGAAGAGGAAGGTAGTCAAAGAAGGTATAGAAAAAGAACGGGGTTTGGGGCTTGAGGTTTGATGATGTATAGGGGTTTTGGATATAGATTAAAAATAGATGAGGAAAGAAAAGAAAAGAGTAGAATAGAATAGAGTAGAATAGAATAGGAAAGAGAAGAATAGGAAAGAAAAGAATAGGAAAGAAAAGAATAGGAAAGAAAAGAATAGGAAAGAAAAGAATAGGAAAGAATCGAATAGGAAAGAATCGAATAGGAAAGAATCGAATAGGAAAGAATCGAATAGGAAAGAATCGAATAGGAAAGAATCGAATAGGGGTGGTTTATTGGGATTTTCGGAATTCGTTTTTTTGTTGATTCTTTATTCTTTATTCTTCATTCTTCATTCTTCATTCTTCATTCTTCATTCTTCATTCTTTATTCTTTATTCTTCATTCTTTATTCTTCATTCTTTATTCTTCATTCTTTATTCTTCATTCTTTATTCTTCATTCTTTATTCTTCATTCTTTATTCTTTTTGATTTGATTTGGTTCTATTATTTTTTATTTAGATTTCTAGTTTCTTTATAAATTCAATCAATCATAAAAGTATATTGATTATATAGTTTAAGTATAAGATCCTTCATGACTTCTTTTTCTTTGTAATCAAATCGTTCTTTTTTTCTTACATCTACAATCTTTTATATCTCTACAATCATTTTTATCTCTACAATCATTTATCTCTACAATCATTTATCTCTGCAATCTTCTCTTCATTTATCTCTACAATCTTCTCTTCATTCATATATACAATCTTATATTTTCTTATATTTCTGTGATTTGTGTATATATGTATATAATATCGGATATATTTCTTTGAAATCGTTCTTTTTCTTTTGCTTGATTCTTGAAAGGTTTTTTTTTTTTTTGGTTTTATGAATACTGATGATTTAACCAAAACCAAAAACAGTTGTGGGTTTTTTTTTTTCATCATTATTGTTATTATTTCTTATCATCATATGTAGTTTTTTTTTTGGTTTTATTTAGGTTGCAATTTATTTTATAGATTCAATGGAGGAATGGTTTTTTTGGTTTGGTTCTTGATTAAGAAATCTTTTACAATTTTTCATAAGTTTATTTGATTCTGGTCATGATTTTGAGCCGTACGGAGTCCGGATCATATTTTCAAGCAAGTTTTGCTTGAGTGCCACTTGTTGTAGTACCACTGTAAATTGACCAATTTGAGATGTTGACTGGTTCATACTCAGTATATACATACACGCTCGCTGAGCCCATTAAAATCATTTGGTCATAGTATTTATGTATTAGAATCAAACCTGGCTGGGTCGGGACTCGGAAGAGGTGCTTTAAGTTGCAGGAATAGTATTGGTTGGTTGGATGAAGTTTCTGATTGAGATTTCAAGGAGAGTTTTAAATTCTAGAGTTTTAATTGACTAAGTGTGTAGTGTTATGTACTTAAGAGTACCAGTTGGATTTCTGGAACCTAACCGATTTGAATGATTTTATTTTTTTAAAATTTCTCATCACTTCAAACCCAACCTATCTTTGATTATTTTATTAAAAATGTCACAAACTTCAAATCAGGATCACTCAAACCTAATCAACAAGAACACTATCACCACTACTGCTGAATCAGAACTACCAACCAATGAAGAAAGTCTATCAATCTTAGAATCAATTCATCAACTTCAATCAACTTCAATCAACAATAACAATAGCAATAGCAACAGTAGTACTCCACTTCAATTCACTTCAACTTCTCTGGCTGATTCAATTCATCAACTTCATTCATCTTTACTATCAAACTCAACCTCATCTGATCCTAACCTTGACCCTTTTCTAGCTTCACTTCATCAACTAACTTCATCTTCAACTTCATCATCTACTCTCATCACAACTGCTCCCATCGATTCCTCACTTCCATCTCTCGAAATACCTACTTCGGAAGCTGAAGTTCATTCTCAACTCTTCTCTCTCGACTTTGATCATTCATCTGTACTAGACGATCATCAACTTCGTTCACTCCTCTTTCCAGATGAATCGGATCCTCAACCACAAACTCAGTCAACTAGCTCGCTTCCTGATCCTACCTTTCACCCTGATATCCTTCTCTCAATACCTTCACAATCTCCAACTGCTACTCAGCCTTCTGAAGAGTTCTCAAACCTACAAGATTCACTCAAGAATAGCACCACTACTACTACTGAGACTCAAACCGCTTCAAGATCTCAATCTATACCTCTCTTAGACCAATCAGAAGCTCATCAAGACCTTACTCAAGAAAGACTCCCTACTACTACTACTACTTCCAAACAAATCAAACTTCCAAAAGCAAAACTAACTCAATGTAATCAACTTAGAGAAACGGCTGAGAAAGCATTAGAATCGGTATGGGAAATCTTGGGTGAATCTGGTTTGGAAGACCAACTTGAGATCGATTCGAGTTCGACTATCGAATTGAAAATCACTCGTGGATTGGATCGACAATTTGGAGAATTACATGGTAAATTGAAGTTTGAATGAATTGATTTTTTTGAAAAACATAGACCGATGGCGCTCATTTTGAATGATCTCTGTTCTTGATCGGATCACTCATCTTATACCAATCCAATCCCTTCTGTATTCCATCTACAGACGCTAATCAAACCGAACTTTTTTCTTTTGAATTGACCTCTAGCCCTTTCAGCCCCGTTCAAAATCGAAGACCTAGCCTTAATCTGGCCTCAATGTATGACCAACAAAGCCTTAAAACAATCATATCATTCAGGACCTTCACCGGCCTATTTTGCCATTCGAAAAGCGAATATTGCATTTGTGATTGAATATATTTTGTATGCTATGCCGGGTGAAGAAGCGTATGGAAAGAATGATATCGTCTTTGCTTGTGAAGGTTTCTTGCCTTTGGTTTTGGATCGTGGATTGGTTCAGGATGAAGAAAGTTGGAAGTTGTTTAATGAATTGAAAGTTCAAGTTGAGTGGTGGAATTTTCGTTTCATGGTGAATTTGATGAATTTGATGTTTAAAGATTTTCTTGCTTTTTTTTGGATTGGATTAGATTTATATTCAACGACTTGATCAGGGTGGTCCAGAGGAAGCTAATAGTCGTGTGTTACCTAACTTGTTTGTGGAGAGCCTTTCGAGTTATTCAGGTGTGGAGATTGAAGCTACAGTTGAAGCAGCCTTTGAAGCCTTTGCCAATCAAACCAAGGCTGAGGTGAGTGAATTGATTTAATGAAAAGTATGAAACCGATTTTGAAACTGATTGAGAATCATTGACTTGATCTTAGCTTGTAGCAGCAGAAGCGGATTTAGATCAACTTCGAAAAGATCATCCTTACATTCCATTTGCGATCTCTGCACTTAGGTTATTAAGAAGATGTCAAAAGAGATTAGATGAAGAACAAGAAAGATGGGAAGAAGGATTGAAGTTGAAGACTAATCGATTGATGATGATGACAGATGGTGAATTGAGTACCGTTCAAGATGGTCAAGTTGAATTATCAATGAATTCTAAAAGGAAAAGGAAAAGGAAATCAAATCATCGGAATCCGACTTTACAAAGAACTGATGATAAACATTCTGAAGTGGAAGAGACGCGGGAGATGTATGAAGGGATGGGAGATGGATCTTTGTTGCAAGAACAAGGTGAGAGTCAGATGGGATATACCGATCATCATGGATTACAGTCAGTCATTTTTTTTTCGAAAGCAAAAAGCCTAGTTCTTTTTACAGATCATGATGGTTTATTGATTCGAATTTAATTGGGATCGGTAGTCATGATGATATTAATGTGGGACAACATTCGAGAGATGATGAAGATGATCCAGATGGAGATCCTGAAGGTAAAGGGTAAGTCAAACTAAACTGACCGAAAAAAACAAGAAAAAGCCGATTGAAAAAGTCAAGAGATGAATTGAATGATTTTTTTCGATTTCGATTTCCAATCAGACGATATAATCCATATAGATTAGGTAGAGGTAAAGGACCAGCAGCAGCACCTAGAAGAAGATGGACACAAGAAGAATATGAATTGTTATTAGAAGAAGTTAGATTACATTCTAATAAGTATGATTGTATGGCACAAATCATTAAACGACATGGGAAACATGGAGAGATCTCAGATGTATTGAGAGATCAAAATAATGTGAGTTTAAAGGATAAAGCCAGGAATGTAAGTGAGAGAGAATTTTTCCTTTTGTGTGTGAAGCGAGGATTGGAGGATTGGATTTTGATTGATTGATTGGATTTTTTTTTGGGGGGGGAGGTTAGTTGACAATGGAATGGTCTAGACATGGGTATCCAGAAGATAAACCATGGTTGAAAGAAGCTTTTGCAAGGTTTGCAGTCAAACCACGGAGTCATGGACAACCACATCATGGTAGAAGGATTGGAATTGAAGAAGATATCAATATGGATCAAGAAGAAGGAGAAGAAGTCGTCGAAGGAGAAGGAGAAGATCAGCATGGGATTAGGATGGGAAGTGGTGAGATGGTCTTGGATCCTCAGATGGTCTTGATGGATCCGATTAGTTTACCTGTTAAGAAGAAAAGTAAAAGAAAAAGAAGGCTACCCGAGGGTGGTTTGGAGGAAGTTGGAAATCAGGAGATCTTGGTTAGTGATGGTTTGATTCAGGTTTATGGAGATCGAGATCGATTGGAAGATAGGTTTGAAGATGATCAGGATGTGGAAAGGTTATTTGATCCTGAGTTGTTGTTGGGAAACACTTCGAATCAATTAAATTTAAATCAGAATTTGAATTTAAATCAGAATTTAAATCAAACTCAAAATGGGAATGGGAATTTGAATGATTTGTTGGTGATTCCGGTTTCATTAGAAATAGAAACAGATGTACCTGTTGATCCTTCATTGATTCAATTGTGATTGAGATCACTATATTCCTATATCTCTATATCACTATATCTTTATAAATTGATGATTTTCATTTTAAAAAAAACTCATTTTTTTTTCTTTTTTTTTCTATTGGTATTCTGTACTGTAAGGATCATGAGTTAAATGTTCTTTTCTTCTTCTTCTTCTTCTTCTTCTGCTGTTTGCATGTGGGCATTTATAATTGTGCATGGTTTGTATGATTAGATTCTTAAGAAGTTGAATTACACAAGAATTAAAAAAAACAAGAAAATAGATTGGATGGTTTTGAATTTTGGAAATTGAAAACAAAGGATAGGATGGATTTGAATTTTGGAAATTGAAAACAAAAGGTAGGATGGTTTGGTTTGAACTGAAGGATTTGAATTGGGTTTGGTTTGAATTGAAATGATTGAAAAGTTAGAAAGTTTTTAAAGAAGAGGTAAAAAAGAGATCCAAGAATTTGGAGGTTTCTTGCTTTTTGTTGGTTGAGAGGTTTAGGTTTTTATACTGCCACCTGGCACCATGAGGAAGAGGTGAATTGTTAAAAAAGATAAAGAAGCTTCATGTGAAGTCAAGATCTGTTTCTTCAACTAAAAAATCATTTACATAGGCTTTTTTGGATTTTTTTTCTGAATGAGTTATGGGTTGAGTGAGAGTATATGTAGAGATGTACAGCCCTTTGCATAATTGATGACTTTGAAGAAAAAAAAAACCTTGAGTTTTCAAATGAAAAACCTCGAGTTTTTTTTTGGAAAGTGACCAAGTTTTGTCAACAAGCTGCTGGGTTTTTCAAAAAGTCAGTGAGTTTTTTTTGGAAACCTGGCTCAGTAATTCTAAAAGAGAAAGAGCTCACTCAGTTTTTGAAAAACTCAATGAGTTTTTGAAAAAAAACTCAAGTGTTTTCTCTTTTTCCAAAGTCATCAATTCTGCAAAGGGCTGTATATGTATATAGAAAATCACACCGCGGGAATTAACTCGTTTGAAGCCCGATTGAGTGAAATTTCGGTGTCCGGGTTCGAAATTTCCTCAAATCAAGAAACTCGTTCACAACTTGTTAGCATTAGGTTTGCCAATTTCCCTCGGGCTGTACTGTGTACTCTGCTGGCCCCGTGTATGTACAGTCACATGATAAAATAACAACCCCTTTCACCATTACTCGCCTTCACCTTCCTTTGTCAAGCCTTGATCAACCAGATACACAAGAAAGGAGTTCAGTGGGGAAGTGAGACAGCCAAACCGTTGGAATCAAAGGTTTTGAGAGTGCTGTGTATGTATATGTATTGTAGCGTACTCGAGGGAAATCGGCGAACATAATGCTAACGAGTTGTGAACGAGTTTCACGATTCGAGGAAATTTCGAACCCGGACACCGAAATTTCGCTCAATCGGGTTTTGAACGAGTTAATTCCCGCGGTGTCATAAATTAGATTATCACATATGTATTTAAGAGTTTTGATTATGATTATTTAAGTGTGTATATGTAGTAGAAAATTGATAGAGGTGATATCAAAATGGTATCATTGATGTTTGAGATACAATTACAGTTTCTCAATAAGATATGTTGATTGATTATTTGGTTAAAAGATGGAAAGTCACTTGTTTTTTTTTCAACAAATTTGATGCTTTGATCAGAAGTAAAACAGCTTGATCTTTGCTAAGAGTTGAAATCAATAATGGAAATCAATTAAACACTAGAAGGAGTGATAAAGCCCAAAAGTTTGAAAGACACTAATATTACTAAGATGATACTTTCTTCTTTTTGGGGAACTTGGCCCAAGACTTTCTAAGCTTACATAGTTATTTTGGTTTCTGTAATTACTATGTATCTTGACAATTCAAGTTTAAATAATCATCTTATCATTTTGAGGTTCATTTGTAAATCGTCTTGCTTGGTTTATCAAATTGATTTCACTTACTACATATCATTTCCTTTTCACTTGATTTATGTTTGTTTGCCAGTGATTTCACCTGATTGTTAATCACTCTCTTTCCATCTCACCACATTTTTTCAAAATACCAGATTCTGTTCATGAACAATACAAGCCTACAATTTGACTCAGATATGATGTTTGAATCTTACTTGAAATTGTAGTTGATCTGTGATGAAGGATGAAGTCTTGATGAGACTACAAGGTGAGAAAGAAAAGTGAAGATGAGAAGATAGGGAAGAATGATTGATAAGGTATGTAATGATCTAAACAGTTTGATGTGGTCAACAGCTTTGATCACCAAACTTCAATCATGATAACATCACAATTCAGTTTGATTCTGTACACATTGGATTGCTCACATTCACCAAAGAATGACAAACAAGTTTGATACATCTATATGTAACCTAAGCAGATCTTTAGAACTTAACAGCTTGTTTAAATAAAATTCCTCAAGAGAATCAAAGCTGAATGAAAGTTTTGCAATGAACAGAATACATATATTCATCTCTTTCCAAAAATCATGTTAAAGTATGCTGAGCTTTCAGAAAAACTTGGAGTAATTACAGCCATTCCAATATTTCTTGTTGCTCTGTTTTGAAAAAGAAAAAGTGAAACTCGGTGAAACCTAAGTTTTTACTTGAAAAAACTTTGAAATTGGCTGTAATTCAATGGAAATACAGCCAATTTTCAGGTTTTAACCAGTTAAAACTTAGGTTTTGAGCTCATAAACTTTTTCTTTTCGAAAATGTGAGCAACAAGAAATATTGGAATGGCTGTAGCTCATTGAAAAAAAAATAGTGACTTGACAACTTACTCAAGTATTGGGTGAAAACTGGAAATATGTCAATCTAGACCTGATACTACTAGTACTAACCCATATCAAGTAAGCCTTTCAAAAGACAGACATGTATATATACCATGCACGCATTGTTTGAATTTTTCATCATTGTAAAATGACACACATATAGAGTTGAAATAGATTGACAAGAAAAAAAGGAAATCCATCTTGATCTTCTAATCACAAGAGTCTCTTTCTCTTTTCCAGTATACAGTTGAACCAGTCTAGTCTCAACCACAGGCTGGCCCCAGGTCCGGCCCTGAGACCCAAATTTTGGCCTCTCCAGAATACCTTGGAGGACCTCCGGAAGACCAGACTTGAGCACTTAAGTATTGAACTTAAGTACTTAGGTACTCAGGTTAAGTACTTGAGTACTTAGGTTGAGTCTTATGTACTTAATATTAGGCCACCTAAGGTACCTAGACCCAAATACTGAGGTTTTGGGAAAAAAAAATTGAAAAAGAATTGGCCCATCAGATCAACTTTTCAAGTCATTCCTGACAATAACACCATGTAATAAGCCCAAAAATGACTTATTACATGATGTTTATCAGTATGAGTCATGTGTATAAATTTCTGTAACAAAGTTTTGTTTTTGCAGAGCGGTTGTGGTTGAGACTACACTGGTTCAACTGTATCCTAATAAAAATATTGCAAGAATTAGTATGTTTAGTAATATAGACTCAAGAATACAAAAAACCCATTGCCTACACTTTAAACTTTCTTATGTAACAGATTTTTTTAGGCAAACCAAGTTGTAAAAGTATGCAAAAAATAAGTTTCAGGTGATAAGTTTGGTGGTTTGATTTGTTGAGTGTATCTAGATCTTGAGCTTGGTTTAGGCAATGTTTTATCCAATGTGATAGGTAATAAATGAATTTAAATTGTGTTTGATGTTGGTTTTTAATTTGAATTTGTCATATATTTTGTTTACCTTTTGATTTTGAGTTTTGACTGATTTATATAAGTTTGAAGTGGAATTCATTTAACAGATCATTGGTTGTTTTTCTAGAGGAAAGTTAGATTGTTATTACCTCATTATATCCCCAACTCAACTTTTTTGTAAATTGTCTTTGAATTCTTTCAGTGACAGTACTCTCATCAATCAAGGAGCGGATCTATTTATATAGTCTGAAAGATTATATCTTCACTCACATTGTCATGTAGGATGCAACTTTCTTCTGTTGGTGTTAAGGGGTGGATTGGAATTGAAGGTTGTGAAGGAGTTTGATCAGGTGAGCTAGATGGTTTAGGTACATACATAGGTAGGATGGCACTCAAGGTTTCAGTATAACACATTTTTGGTGGTTGTGATGAACATGTGTTGGGAATAAAAGGAAAAGAAGTCCTGGATTACAATTTTGCATGATGCTGCAGTGGTATTTGAAGAATTCCAAAGGCCTCTTATTGAAACATCCAGTGCACTTCCCCAAACAGCAACATTTCTTGTCAAAAAGTGTTGGCAGGGTTTGGTTTTTGATATATGGGGTATATTTGTCAAAGGTTATTGAAGGGTTTACACCGCAAGATTATTGTGCAACAGATGGACCTTCTCTTTTGGCCACTTTCTTGTGGTTCTGAGATAATTTAATACATTAGCAGTTAAGTACAGGTTTATTCTAGGAGGTGGATTTAGTGTTGCCAGTTGTGGGGTGCAGACAGAATCATACAGATGATATTGTCTTTGTGGAGCAGATGCTGGTATGGGCTTGAGGGATTGGCCTTGGGGTGACACCCTATAAGCCCAGTCAAATGGTACAGAGACATTAGCCCTGGGTACACTAAAATTGATGAGGCCAATCTCATGGTCAAGTTGATAAAACCACCACATCTTCCAATTATGGTAATTGTCAGGTGTTGAGCACTTTTGTTATGTAAGAGCCCAAAGTTAGAGATTGGAAATGGATGGATGAGGTGTTTGCAAAAGTTATACCCCAATAAGCCAGGAATCTGTGTGTGCTGTTTTGTACAACATCCAAGTTGAACAGACAGGACAAAATAGCCCAGTCAAGCCTTTAAGTTTGGGGAGTGGGAGGAAATTTCAGTGTTTGTTGGCCAGGGAATAGTGTGCACAAATGAGCGTTTGGGTCACCATTCTGAGATGCTGAAAAGCAGAATCTGATCAGTTCAAGCTGAGGTCTGGAGGAGGTAATGGCAATTTGTGGCAATACCATTGTTGTATGGAAATGTGAGGTGGTGAGGAATAAAATTTGGTAAGCTTTTGTTGAAACATGGAGGCAATGAAAAAAATGCTGAGCTTATGAAAGGCCTCATTTTGTGTTTGTGAGATCATCCTGTAGGGGTTTTGGACTTGAGTATGTTTGTGTTTGCTTCTTTGTTGAAGGCTTGATGTGTGTGATAAAAATCAAGCTCACCTTACAAGAGCTGAGAGAATGGACTCAATTCAAAACATACCTAGAAAATGAATCACAAAAGTGTCACTTTATGCCAAATTACCATTTATCTATGGTGGGAAACACCAAAGATAAGGAAAGGCTCAAGTAGTACTTTTATATAAAGAGCTCTAAATTGCATGTGGAGTTTGATTTCATTCAAATAGAAAAAACATGAAAGTTGTTCACTGAACTGATCCTAAATGGATACTTTTGAAATGCTGTTGAAAGTAGCCTGGGCTCCTGATCAACAAGTTGAGAATTTGGGGCTTGCATAGAGTTCATAGATCAATCGGGCTTTTCCTCATCTTGGGTGTCTCCGAGTCCCACCATATGTTCCCTTGTTTTTTTCCTGCTTCATTTTCATTTCACCTTATTGTTCATAATTTGGGCTTGTCAATCACATGAAGGAATTATTTTGAAGGCTTGGCAGTCCTGCTCATAATAAAGAGCATGAAAGGAAGTTAGTTACCTTTAACCTACATAGCGTCGTTGCCAACCGGGATGCAGTACAGGGAATCAGCTGCTTGGGGTTTATTGCACAAGGAGAGATGGGTGTCTTTTATATAGACATCCATCTCTGCAATTTACAAATAAGGTAATAAGATAAAAAGGGTACAATGTACAGATATCGAAGACATCGAAGTGAGGTAGAAATGGCCGGATCCGGTCTACAACATTGATGGACGAATCCGGCATGGATTCGTCAAAGGAAAAAAACACAAAAGAAAAATAGAAAACGCCGCTTGGAAAGCACAAGACAAAAGACAGGAGAGAACAAAAGGAAACAAAGGGATTGGATTATCACGATAGCTTAGTTAGTGCGATATTTAAAGCCAAAAGCACTTGAAAGAAGTGTATTTGCACATGTGTTTCTCCTGGAATTGAAGGTTGTCTGATCGACATGTAGGAACGGAGAAAGGTCACAGCGAGATGAGGAAAGTGAGGGGATTTGATTGGTGAATGATGATACGAACTGAAGTTTGAAAGGTTAACATTAGGGTTAAGTGATTAGATGATAAGATATTGAATTTAGGTAGTTTCTGACTTGATTGGAAGTCAGAAACCGATTGAATTGGATGACAAGTTTCTTTCAATCGAATTTCCATTTCTGATTCCCTTCGACTTCATTCGTCGCACTTTACCATTCATCGCATTGAGCCTTTTTACTATTTATATTCATCTTCTTATCAATAGTTTTCTTAAATTGAGCCTTCGAAAAGAAAGTAAACCAAGCTAAAACGAACCATCAAACCAGTCGATTCACAATATATCACCATCTCGTTCTTGGATAATGTCGACCGAACAAGCTGTTGTCTTAGCTGAGATTGACCGTCTTCAAGGTTGGGTCCTTAACTTTCGGAGGAGGTTTAATGAATGTTTGGTTGGCTTTTGTAACTTACTGACCCTTCCTTGGTATTTTGATTTAAATCAGGTACCATCAACCAACGTAAAAAAACCATCACCGAAGCTCAAAAAGCATCCAATCAGCTAGCCCATATTCCAATTAGTCATCAGTTCCCTTCTACCTCAAGATCTACATCTTTTAAACCTCGAGTTCATGATCCCTCTCATGAACCTAGAGTCTCCCTTCAATCATCAGGGCCTGCTATCCCACTAGTGACCAAAACTAGCTGGAAGTTGGTCCCGAGCTCCAACCTAACATATAACCCGAGGGCTAGGAGCATGGGTTCCAAGAAGCTGATCTTGAACAAACCCACAACAGTCGCAGCTCAAACCATTCCTCAATCAAATCATTCCAGGGCGATACCTATCAAGGTGCCCAGCTCTGCAGTTCTTTCTTCGAGTACTCCAAACGTGTCTCTTTCCACTCTTCCTCAGAGTAGCAGTACTCTGAGCTCTACAACTTCCAATGTAGACATTCCTCAACCAGAGAACAATACTTCTTCCTTCTCCACTCTTCACACCAAAAACGAGCCAATTTTACCCTCATCCAAAACCCCGGTAGCGCAGACTACATCCACCCTTAAAAGCATGACTCTGTCCGCCTCCTCCAAACCCTTTGTACACAATTCATCCAAATCTTTTGTCTCCTCTTCCAAATCTTTTATATCAAATTCCACGCAATCACTTTTGAGTCCTTCTGGTAGCGAGGTAATTATCGATGGGATCGCTTTTGCCCGAGATCCTCGTGGTAAAAAACTTGTACGGAGCACCAGTACGTGAAAATATATATCGTCTTTTTCCCCATTTGTCTCCCTTGCTGAACATCTCACTTGTCCAACAGATGGCGCTGCGACCCCAAACAAGCCGAAAATAGACGTACCTTCAACTGTTTCTGCACTTGATGGTCAAGTTCCTGCTTCTACTAGTACACCACTCAGAGCTTCAATAGCTGGAACGACATATGTTCGAACCAAGTCAGGTAATCTGATCGCGTTGAGTGCACTAAAGAAGCACCAGTCGCAAAAGATTGAAGAAGCCAAAAAGGCAAGATTAATGGTGCTGGCAAATGGACTTTCAGCCAAGTATGCTACCCAAGCCCCCAGAAGGCATCCCGCATGGGAACCTAGAATTGGCCGAGGTAGAGGGTGCGTAGCTCGCTTCATGGAGTCTTTGATGTCATTCATTAATGTCTGACTCCGACAACTCTACTCTTCCTTGTAGTTCGATGACCATGAAAATCGCAAGACCCCCACGGATGAAGAAAGAAGAACAATGCCGCTTTTTTGCTAAGACTGGTTCAGCTTCACTTTCCTAGCCAATTTTTTGAACACTCTTACCTATCCCTTCACAAAACACGACGTGGATAAACCTCTAATCACCAACATAACAAACTGACTAATATACTTCTGCTTTATACACGGTTTATACCGTCTTCTTATGTCACAGGTGCCTGTCGGAAAGGATTGACATGTGTCTACCAGCACGAACCTTCGAATGTAGCCATCTGTCCTCGCTTTCTTCGTCGTACATGCGCAAATCCCGCCTCAGCTTGTCCGCTCTCTCACAAGCCCAATGCCCACAACATGGAGCATTGTAGTCACTTCCCGAGATGCAACAAGCCCGATTGTCCATATCCACACGTTGAAACGCACACTTCAACAGTCTGTAAAGATTTTGCAGAGTTAGGATGGTGCTCGAAAGGAGCTCAGTGTAAAGATCGACATGTTCGAGAATGTCCGGAATTTACAAAGGATGGCACCTGTTCTAATTCAACTTGTCGGTTACCTCATGTGATCAATAGAGGAAAAAAGCTGAGTGATCCAGCACCAGAAGAATCGGACTCTGATGAAGAAGGTTCACAGAGTGGTGCAGATCTCTTTTTTACAGACGTCAAAGGCAAACGAAAAGCCAATGATTTTGAAGAACAGGATCCTCATGGCTCTGAATCGCGTCGTGCAAAAGCACCCAAACGCCATTCACCTATACCAAAGTCGGACAAGACGTCACAACACAAACGATCGAATTATGATCAAGTAGCCAACAATGAGGATTTTGTTACGTTTGCGTTGAGTGATGAAGACGAAGAACAAAGTCAACTAGGATCAGAAGATATAGATGAGAATTTAGAAGAAGTAGCTAGTAGTGTAGATAGTGAAGAGTTAAAAAGTGTGATGATGGACGAAGCATTAGAAGCCGAACTTGAATCGATGACAGATCATCTTTCAGAAGAAGTTGCGATCAATCCTGTTTCTGATTCGGTTTCGACTTCGCCACGAAAGATTAGAAGAAGATCAGATTTAGAAGAAGGAGAAGAAGTCGAAGAAGGGGAGATCTTTGATGAAGATGATGAAGATGAGCCCATGATGAGTTCTGAAGACGAAGATGAAGATGAAGGGATCGAACGACAATTATTAGGAGATCGAAAACCATGGAGATGACGTCGATACATCCAAACAAGTCTGAGTATGTGTAAGTCCAACCAAGAATCCTCTTATCATCCTTTCACTTTGTCAAAATTCCCTCCTATTCTACCCCTTCTATCTGTACCCCTTCTTTTGGTGTTGCAAAAAAAGGTGTGAGACTTGGGATCACCTGGTGAACACCTCTTGACGGTCGAAATGGCAACTTGTCATACGCTCCAGATTTAAAAAAGAATAAAACACTCATTTCAATCCTCACCTCGTGGTGGTCATCTATCTATCAATCATTACTGTATGATCCGTAGCAATACGATCATGAAACGATTTATCGTTTTTTAGATCTTTACAACAGGATGATCTTTTTTCCCCAAAAAAACAGGCTTTTTTTGTTGAATTTATATATACTCGAAAGCAAATATCATCGATTTCAGATTTAACTCTTTTCCAAGGACGATATTGTATTTCCGGTACGATTAAGGATTCGGGATTACAGATTTTATGCATACAATGATTTTATTTCATTTTTCTTATAGATAAGGTACTTTTTTCAAAAAATAATAAAAAAATAAAAAAACTTCATTTCTTTTCAAATATATTATTGTGCGATTTTTCTGGTTTTTGTTGTTGTAAAATGTAATTCTTGAAACTCTTCTATTTGAACTTTTGATAATTAAGATGCAAAAAAATGGATTTCAATTGAACAAAATAAACATAAAATCGAATGCAAAGAATACTAAAAAAAAATGAATATCATCCCTAATGAAAAAGTATCAAAATGCAACATCTGTGTGATGCAATTGTTGAAGTTGAGTCTCGGAAGACTGATTTAAGATTAAAAGATTTTTTCAAAGTGATGGGTTCAAATTTGGTTGAAATGGACAATATCACTTCAACAAGGCTCTATGAGCATCGTTATGGGAGGCTTCCAAAGTGGTCAGGTCATGATTGGTCTGATTCTAATGAGGACCATTTCGCTAGGTAGATCCCTCCTTCCTCAATTCTTCAGTTTTTTCTCCTGGCATTATGTTTTTGGAAAGAACAGCATATGGCTAGGTACTAGTAGCAACTGCTATCTTCTTGTTTGGTCTATGTCAATGGTAATATTAGTACCAAATCCGGTCGTGCTAGCCTATTTTCAAGTTCATCGAATTCAAGTTTCTATTGTCTCTTTTTTATTAGTGAAGGATTTCATTCATTGCGACTGTGTATGAAGTTGATTACTTCAAATTTCAAAACATTTTAATTATAAATTTCCTATTTTGTTCTGGGGTTTATGAAATTTACGGAGATGGAATGTTTTTTCGATGAAGGATATAGTGGTGTTGTGCTTGTTCTTTGCACAAACAAAACAAAATCCAGAGGAACTTCAAAGACACAAAGGCCCCCAAAGTTGAGTGCCCTCCCAACTGCCACAAATTCAATGCATATGAATCACTGATCAAAGTAGTGTGGGTAGGGAAATTGAACTATTTCAACTCTTCGCTTATCTTAGATAGATCATAATTGAGATATTCTGTTAACATTCATACTTGGGAATGATTAAGGGAGTTCAAGTTGAGAGGTTTTATGTATTTTTATACTTCAAGAACTTGTTTGTTTTTGTAGAATATGTGCATGTTTGATCAGTTAAAGATGAAGATTTTTCTTTTTGGAAAAGTTGTCCAAGATTTTGAAAAACAAACATAGAAATTGATTAGACCTCAAACTGCTTATTGCTGCCAAGCTTGCTCTAGACAGAAATGGGGCTGGAAAATGACACATGTTGAAATAGTATTTTATGGTGTCTAGTGTGATAGATAAATGTCACATTTCAACTTTGCAACCTTTTTTTATCAAAGAATTACTATGCAATGATTTTTTTTACCAGGATTTGCTTAAGCAAACAGGCACTAAAAGCATGTTGAGGTAGATTTTAATGTGTCAAGATTCTTTTTCTTTCTTTCTTTTGACTTGTGAATCAGATTTACAGGTTTTTAAGTTTGAAATTGGTATAGTTTTTATTTTGACAGAAAAGATGTAACCCTTCAAATGAGAAGTGATTTTGAAGATTGAGGGTGAAAAAAAAACAAGACAAAATATTGAAGAATTTGGTTTTTTTTTGTTAAAGACAGGTGATTTGATGTTTGAAATAAATTGAGCCCTTGTCAATTTCTTTTGAGATCCTTATAGTGAATTTGATTCAAGTGTAGATTGATTAGCTAAATTCCTTTGTTTTGTAATCCTATTAACATAAGTCCTTGAAATGATCTATAAACCAGAGAATAAGAAAGTTCAAAAGTCAGCTCATTGGTCTGTGATGGATCCTTGCTCGACTTGAATGGAAAAACAAATCGAGTTACGTTATAGGCTTCTAGGTATCTATCCATACAATTTGAGATCATTTTCTGTACAAAGAAAACAGCAGACAAAGAGAAATGTTAGTTTGTGGAATCGGGTTGAGATCTTGTGGAATATTTTTACTTGTTCTCTGGCTGTCAATGTCGCTGAAGGAGATTGAATACAACGTGCGTAACTGTGCAAAAAAAACAATCAACTTTTTAGTTTTTGTTGCACCTCTGAATTTGTAAAGCAGCAAAAGAAGTGCATGTACCATTTTTCATTGATTTTCTAATTTTATACAAACAAGTTCACAATAGGTCTTTGATCAGTAGTTTTTCAATCAAAGAAGATAAGAACATGAAAAAGATCAGAGAGTATATTTACATTGATCAATTCTTGAGCATTTGCTAAAGCTAATTGTTGAGTGACTTCTTGTTTAAGTTGTTCTGATTTTATGTTTGATGTAGTTGATGGAGTTGATGTTGAAGAAGGTGAACTTGACCAAGAAGAAAACATGATGGTTGATTTCGATTGAGCTTTGGATTGGAAAAGTTGATTTGTTTGGTAGACAAAGTTCAAGTTACGATTAACGATCAAATCGAAATTCAAAATCAGAAAAATCAAAGTGACAGTGAAGAGGTTATAAGCATATGTTTGTAACCCATTTTGATATGTAACTGACCATCCTGCTACTCCAGGAGTCCAGATCGTCAGCATCCACTTTTCAATTTCTAGAAAACTTCAACATTCAACATTCAGCATTTATCAACTTGGAAACTGATTCGATTAAGACAACATGAACGATTCCAATAGTCTCGATTATTATAAAATCGTAGGAGTATCAAATCAAGCAGATAGTAATGAAATCAGAACTGCATACCGAAAAGCGTCATTAAAAGTTCATCCAGATAGAGTGAGTTTCTTATATCTTGAAGAGCATTCCATTCAGCTTCAATCATGATCTAATTTATTGTAACCTATCGATTGCGTTTACTTAGAATCCAGATGATCCACTCGCAGCCGAAAAGTTTCTTAAATTAAAAATCGCACTTGAGATTTTATTAGATCCAATCAAAAGATCAGAATTAGATTTGAAACTTTCAATTCAATCATCTAAAGCAAAAAGAGATGAAAAATTAAATTCGAAACGAAAGACGATGTTAAAAGATTTAGAAGAACGTGAAAGGAGTTTTCAGAAAGATGAAAGTGAGATGAGGAACAAGAAGATGAAATTAGATGAATTGAAACTTGCTGGAGCAAGATTAAGGAAAGAGAAAGAAGAACAATTGAGACGAAGTGAGGTATCCGATTCGAAATCTAATCAACCTGAATTCAACGCCTCAACGTCTACAGCAAAACCAACAACATCCACCTCCAACCCAACATCCCAACCAACCACGACAGCAACCATACCATCTGATCTTGATCCACTCAATTACACATTAAAATTGAAATGGAATACAAAACATTTACCTAAGATCAATACAACCGAAACATTACAATCATTCATTCTTTCTACAACAACACTTTCTTCAAACGAAATTGAATCTATCCTTATGAAACCTATTGATCCTTCAAGACCCGAAAATTTAAATAAAGATATCAAACTTACTGCTTTGGTTTCATTTAAAAATTTGGAAAGTTTTGAAACCTTTTCGGAAGTTGGTTCAAAAGATGATAGGTGGAAGAAGTTTAAGATGACCAAAATTTCGGATTTGATCGATAAAGGATCATAAGTTGGATTGGATTGGGAAAGAAATCAAATTACATTTAGTTTAATGAATTCGTGGTTTTTATCTCCAAAATCAACAATTGTAAAACAAAACTCATATGTTCTTTGAACATGATTGCATTGACGAGTTTGTCTCTCTTTCATTCATATTCTTTTATTCAAATGATTTTTTCTTTTCTTTGAATTCTTTCTTGATTGTGGATAATTTAAAGGAAAGGGTATTGTATAAATAAAAATTCTAATTAATGAACTGTGATGGTCTTGAAAAGACACTAGGGCTTTGTAATGTTATACAATTTATTTAGATTATATTTTGTAAATCAAAAGATGAGAAATGTTTTGTTTGAGAAACCTTTTTTTTGTGACAACTTTTTGTTTTCTTAATCAAAGAAATGTGGAAATTGTAAAAACATCCTGATAAATTCCTAATTAGTTATCCTCTTGACCTTGATGAAATATGTGAAAAGATGTACATACATTGATGAGAATGCTGTGGCGAACAATCGGATCGCATGTTGGAATACGACAAAATTATCATACTCTTCATTCCATATGTCTATAGCTGATTCAAATCAACCATCCTCAATGTATATGAAAGGCGGTAGCTCGTCTGCCTGTCTTTGTTTCTCTATCTGTGAAAAGACTTGTGGTTGGACATGCAGTCCGGGTGGTTTGTGTCAACTTTTCTAAAGACTTGATCTGCATGCCCTACTTAATACCCATCAGATTTTGTTCCTGTTTGTTCACTTTGCTTGAATTCATTTTGGTTTTTGTGGAAACATCAACCTTGATTTGACTTTGACAATCATGTGATTACACCCGGAACAAAGAGTGGAAGAAGCAATTGCTGAGTTTTCCTGGTTTACCGCTGATATCAGAAAAGCATCCACATATGTTTTCATTTATTGATTGTCAGCGATTTAGTAAAAAAGAAGATCAGCATGAGACACCTGGCGCACTTCATCACCTCAGGCAAGGATCTTGGAATGCTAACTTTTGTGTTTGGGTGCACTGACCTTCCCACACCTCATGCCAACCACATGATTGAAAACATGGCTGTGAGTCAAGCAATCCCACTATTCTGAAATCATGGTCTTTGTCCAAACCTCAATCTGATCAGTTTTCATCATCTCCATGGCCGGGTGTTTTCTTGCAAAGAAGCTCACACAATTTCCCATTTTTCCTCAAACGCAATTGGTGTGCATTGTTTGCCAACAACCATCACATCAGCTTGGTGATTCCTTTATTCTAGAATTTGCTATGATATTATTTAGTGGATCCAAAGTGCTACGGAGTTCAAAACCAGCTTGTGTCACAATGGTTCTTTCAGATGAAGGCTTTCAAAAGCAAGAATCATGAATCTGATGATGCTTGTGACTTTGGCCTCAATTTGACTCAGGTAGAAGAAAGAATGGCTCGCTGATATTCAACACACATCGAAACTAGTAGGATGTCCCTTCTGAAGATGGATCCTAGAACTGCAACATGCTCCTTTTTTCTTACTCTAAACTTTGAGCAATTTCGGATCTATTCTTCTGAGTCCGAGGTGGCACTGGCACCCGACGTACAAAACTTAGGTATCGATTGAGAAGGAATTCACAAGATTCAAATTTCACCAGAAGATTTACCAAGACTTGTCACCAAACGTATTCAAGTTGGCAATAATTGTGGATTCTGAGATCATTTTATATGAGCGCAAAGCTCATTGTGGGTCATTTTTGATGAGGCTGAATCTTTATCCTGAAATAAATATGATCATTGGTATTGTCCTTTTTGCAATCTAGAAATGATCAAACCTAGACAGTTATTCACAAGCTAGATTGATTTCCGATGTAAAACTGATTGATATTGAAATGATGTGAACATAATTGAAGTTCTCAAATCGTTCACCAAGCGTTTTGGTGTGGGGAGTCGCTATTGAACGAGAGAAAATATCAGTGATGAAAGAATCAGATGCTATGGATCAAAGATAAGACTCACAAATCCCAAGAATCAATGGTAATAGAACCAACATCGCTAGTGTATCCGAGCTCAGCAAACATCTAAAGTTTCTAGTCGATCAGAATCCGATAAAACAAGAAAGAAAAAACTACAAGACCTACATTGCCACTGATGAAGATAGCTGAACAACCCGTTGGAAGGTCAACAGTTTCATCTGAACCGAAGATGGCGCAAGATTCTGCAAGTACACCACGGCTCATTTTACCGTTGGCTTGTACCCAACTGCGAATCAACGAAGATCAATCACTGTACAGCCCTTACGCCCAAAGTAAAATTACTTACATTGATCTGTAGCAGTTGTTAGGCGATGAACTAAGTATAAAGATTTGGTAAACACGAGTCAAAAATGTGTGTCACTCGAATCAGAGTCATCACATTTGAGTACTACTAACCCAGTAACCCAACCAGGGGTAGGATTTCCTGAAGCAGGTTGCGCAAATCCTGCACCATTCCAAAGGCAAACCACGTTATCATCACTGGCATATGGCGATCCACAAGCCTACAAGGGACAGATGAAATGGTGACTAGATGATGAGTAAAATGAAGAAATGCGTATGTAGACTCTCATAACAACATAGAAACTCACACCAGGAGCTCCAGTAGCGTCTGCGATCATTTGAGTCTATGATTGTTTTTTCTTATCAGCCAAGGTAGATCACGAGAACGAGACTGATAAAAGACAATTGAGAATGACCGAGCTTACAGGTTCTGAGGGATCAATTCGTCGTCTGAGAGAAGACCTTTTGGTGAGAGATTTAAGAGCCTGAGTCTGTTTCGACGTAAGCTAAACAAACGAGTAAAATAAAAGCCAATCGTCAATATGTCATTTGAGAAAGCAGTCAAAATGAAAAACAAACTAGATTAGCACTTGAAGATTGGATGCCTTGATCCGGTGCAAAGGTAGATCTCCAAATACCACATTGACTATGTGGTCCTGATGGTGGTGCAGGCGCAGGGAAGGGAGTTTTGGCATTGGATACCCAAGTGGTGGAAAGGACGACCAAAACTGAAAGGATTGTGAGCTTGAAAGACATTTCGACGAATAGATATTTATTATATATGATCGTAAATTGTGAAAGGAAATTATTATCGTATCTCTTAAGAGGTCGTTGAAGGGGTGAAGAAGAAGGGACTTATGTATGGGCACAATTTATAAGTCTGGAAGTCACGGTGGAGTTGAGTCTCAAAAATGTCATGCCGTGTCTTTGCGTCTATTTTCGTCACATGGCCAGAATGTGGCGTACCCCACCCAGCCACAGTCTATGGAAGCGAACAGACAGACAACAATCTATGTAGACATCATGAGGTATGTACTGGACGGTCACGGATGGCGGATTCCGGAATGCTGAGCCTGACGTACGGCACGCGTGGCACCAGTGCGCGTCGAAGCAGTGTGTCCACTCAGCCATCGTTCAAAAGATCTGGTGGAAGAGTGGAACATGCATTCCTCATAAGATTTGGTGGAAGATTGGAAATTGCCGGAAATTGCATTCCTCAACAAATTCATCTCATACCCGGACGGTGTATACGGTGGTATTTCACTTCAGCTGTAGACTATGGTAAGCATGAGCGAGTTGGTGATCTCAATAGAGGGTAACCCTTGATTTTACCAAGGACCCTTTGTGACCAACTTATTTGTGAGCACGCTGGGTCCTCTGAAAGTGGGACTTACGACCAATGCCGCCGGCCTAGGGGTGCGGGAGATACTCCGGTGGATGGTTGGTTTCTTGTCTTTCTCTGATCACGCGTCTTGTTCAAAGGGGTCCTTCCAGTACTCGTCGAATCATTGTGCCGGCATTCTTCCTCGCTGGTTATCTTTGTTACTTTTGAGATGTTTTTTTTGCTTTATGTTGAATCAGAATATTCTTGAACACTAGATTTATTCTGATGTCACCTGGGTACATAGTTGCTTATAACTGGATTTGATTATGCCATATTGATCCTTACCAAGCACAAAGCTCATTGTTGGAGCTGCCATAGGATTGTGGTAGATCGAGGTTGAAGTGAGCACCAAAGATTTTTGGACCGAACAAAGATGCTATCCAATATTCATGCAGCTCATCACAATGTAAACTTTGAGTGAGTTTTGGAAAAAAATCTCAAGACTCATTTTGGCAACGGAAACAGTTAGCCAAGGATTCATCTGTCTTGTACTCGACCCCCTGTAAGGACACCACCAAAAGATCAACGTTGTCTCAATGGCTCGAAAACTTGGCCTAAGGGTCAAATCCTTAGATACTAACCAGCTCTTAGAGGTCATCTAGTGTCACGTCAGCTATGTATACCCTCAAACTGCAAAGTTCATAATCAATCATGATTATCTGCAGTCCAATCCATTACTGTACAACATCATAAAACTCAGTCGCGCTGACTAGACTACAAGGCATATAGAACTCATTTGCGCCATCTTGGACTACGACTGGCTGCGCTCTTGGAATCCTTTTGCCTGTCATGATCACGACCCCGGTCCCGGTCCCTATCTCTTTGGCCTCGATCTCGATCTCGATCCCTATCACGGTCATAATCGTTTCGTTTCCGGTTGTCAATCTCGGATGATCGGGCAAGTTTTTTGGCGGATGAGCCTGCCTCGAACTCAATCTCAGTTCGCTTTGCTTGAGACTTGGATAGCTGCTTCGCGTCTGCCGCTTTCTGCTGTTTCTCGCCTGAGAAAAAGACACAAACATATGTATATCGTGAGTGATAACTTTCAGGCAAAGAAAAAAAAGGATTTTTGAGAGACCCACGCAGGGCGTCGGCATAAGCTTCAGTAGGAAAGCCTAATGGATCCCATATGTCTGGTGAAAAATTGGACCCTGTTTCTTCTACATCCACGAATTGAACCAATTTGGTATAGATATGTGGATTACGATAAGATTTATTTTTGACCAAGTTATCATTGAAGTAAATCCCTTGATCTCTGAGTGATTTGAATTTCTCGAGTTTGCTCTTCGAGAAAATGTCGAAAGATTCAATTCAGAATAATTTGAATCTGCCTGAGGATAAATGCACATGCTGACCACTAGTGTAATGTCGATTTTACTATTGTTATCTTGATCTGCCTCAGGCGATATTGTTGAAGGAAGCTCCTCAGTGACAGGTTTGACAGAGAGCGAAGCAGGACCATCAGTTGGTCGTAATTCAGAGACATTTTCAGAAGTTTCAAGTGATGGTTGGATAAGTGGTTTAACGTGAGGTTGAGATTCCACTGTCGATTTTAAAGTTGTCGACGATGGTTTCTTGACACTTCCATCCTCACAGTCAGACCCATCGGAAGATGCGTAAACCACCAAGCCATCTACACCATGAAGTCGTTGCGAAACAGGTAGATTGAACATTAGTTTTGATACTCGAGTTTCCTTGTCTGATGAGCAGAGAAAACCAGCAAAGAAGGTAAGCTAAACGCACCTTCCATTCTGAAGCAAGCCAGGAAGTTCACGAGAGATGGAGTGAAATGAAATTCTCTCTAACGAGCAATTTGGCCGCGACACCGGGTGCAAGGGCCGGATATTTCGTCCCACCAGAAGGCCCGGCCCTGAGCAGTTGGCCATTTTGAACGCAGGCGAAGCTGGCCTTGATATCAGACGAGGGTTACGATCGCGATTGAGACATCTTCAACACCAATACAAACCACTGCCTAAACGCTCTTCGGAAAATCTACAATCAAGTCGATTCCATCTCCCTCTCGATGTCCGGATCATATCATTCGGTCGATCTCGTCTTCAAGCTGCACACGAACGAATTCAGTGATACTGCTTCAAGAGATGCTGAACAATGTCAACTACATACCGAGCCTTTACCTCAAGCTTTCGGTCTTGCTGATCTTCGTGTAGCTCTGAGCTCTCTCCGAGAAAAATCCAACCAAATTTTGACGGCCGCCATCGAGGTGAATGGTGACCAGGAACGGACGAAAGAGCGCGAACATATGTTAAAAAATGGCAAAGCCAAATGCGGGTCGGAATCCGACATGGACTCCGAGGGCGAACTTGATGGAAACAATGAGGATGAGGCTTCAAATATCGACGATCAAATGTAATCAATGCTAGACTTCTATCGTAATCGTTCAAATTGATCAACTGAAGAATATAGAAGAATGCTGTCTGAAGTTGATCTGCTGATATCACAGCTGAGAATCTTTGACTTGTCGAAGTGAACGACTGAAGAATTTTCATCACACTTGTGCGCAATGGGGCCGCTGTCAAATATGCTTGCATCACAAGTATAGTTTGATTTGATAACGCCGATCGGCGTAGCGAGTGATCTATCAATCGAACGCACCGCAACAAGTAGATATATAATGAAGCTATGGAACTACGCTCGAAATTATTCAAACCTCATGCAAATACGAACGTAAATTGCTTGTACCGATTGGTCCAGACCATTTGTCAGTGAAAAATTGCAAGGATCCCATCAGCCTTAGTCAATGATACAAGGCCAGACGCCTCGGCAGCAATGTTGTTATTGAGATACGCGAGAAAGAGGAAGATAAATGCTTCTCGAGTAGTCGAAATTGCTATTGCTGTAGATTGAAGTCAAGTAAAAACCCTCCAGTGATATAAGCTTTATGTAAGGCTCAAGCTTTTGAGAATTGATTGGCTTCGTTTTTGCTTTCATTCAATTTGTGATGAGCCCAAGTCCCTGCTCGATCGCTTGATCAAACTTGGAGCGTGTCATTAATGCACTTCCGGCAGATGTTGGTCCGGTGTACCACTGCTAGTTGTAATTGTGACGCGGCATTTGTGGATTTAATTTTTCCCTCATACCTTTTCAGTGTCCCTCATGGATAAGCCAATTTGCAAATAGACAATTGAAGTGGCACTAAGATTTCTGCATCACGACTCATGATGGTAGACAGTGACTATGTATATCACATAACTATCATAACTCAAGGGAGAACAATACTCATTGTTGCATATCATATTCAAGAAATGTTTTACTAACCAAACACACTCTATCTAATTTATAATGATGTAGGCAGTAACAAGTTAGAGAGGAACTACGGCTCATTTTATTGGCCCATTGAGCTTCAAGTCCAATTCCTAGTCGTATGGTAAACAACGATGTGAGCACCTACAACTTAAGCTGCCTTTGGTAGTATAAAGATTGACTGACCAGCAGTTCGTCAGGATTTATTTTGGGAATATAACAACAATGGACTCCATGCAACTTCATGGCTTCGATAAGTCTGTTACATAATTGTCCGTCTTCGCGTGTCTCTGACTTGGTAAATACAAGAAGTCGAAGTTTGGGTGGCTTCCAAGACCAGGATGCTTTAACCTGGACCTCCAATATCTTTGCCCATCACCAATCTCTTGAATAATCGTTCAAACGTGGCGATAAATTGGCCAATCACCCAGAAAAGCATCTTCGTCAAAGGGTGGGAATATATGGCGTATAACACGAAGCCTCGAAAACTCGGTCTGAATGGTGTCTTCAGGCAAGTCGTAGGTCAATTGACCACAAGAAAGAACTTCAACTGTGCTGAGGATAGGTTTACATGCAGCTTGAATCAGCATATGGTATTGTCCCAGGGATGCAGGTGTGAGCATGAGCATGCCGGGCTCACGCTCACTCGAGAGCTTTCTTAGCCCCGTGGCGGAGTCCATGCTCCCGATCGGGGCAAACATGTGAGTACAGCAACATGTACACCCCTTTGCAGAATTGATGACTTTGGAAAAAGACAAAACGCTTGAGTTTTCAAAAAAAACCTGCGATTTTTTTTCAAAAACTCATGTTTCCAAAAAACTGAGCAAGCTCTTTCTCTTCTAGAATTACTGAGCCAGGTCTCCAAAAAAACTCACTGACTTTTTGAAAAACTCAGCAGCTTTTTGACAAAATTCCGTCACTTTTCAAAAAAAACTCAAGGTTTTTAATTTGAAAACTCAAGATTTTTTTTCTTCAAAGTTATCAATTATGCAAAGGGCTGTATATAGTACTCACATGTTTGTGTAACATTAAGCCCTGGGACTCAAGGGCACCCCCACCTTGCCGCCCACTGCTCATACTTTGATCTAACCCACGCGCACCTTGTTTGGATGAGTACACTCATCCAAACCTCATCCAAACAAGGTGCTTACCATATCCAATATCGCCTCCTTCACAAATCAACAATCACGCCATTGATTCAACCTTCACCATTCAATTTCATGACCTCACTCCACGTTTCAGAAGCGTCTCGTTCAGAACATCAGCCTCATAATTCATTCTCAGTTTTCCACTTATCAAGCCTGAACAAACTGTCTCTTTGGACTAGATACCGCCTTGGGTCTAGATTTGGCTATCCTCAATCTCGATTGTAGTCATGGCTCAAGACTCATCTGGTAGCCACATTGTCATGTGGCTACCTGCGCTGGCGTGGGTCAACTTTGATATGAAGGGAATGGGTGACCTTGAATGGCATTCAGACACTCGGTGAGCTCGCCTCTTTGGATTAATGACCTCCGTCCTTTTACGTTCTTCTGGCTCAAGTCACTTTGACTAATTTGCTTCCTGTTTTGTTTTTTCCCAAAACCCAAAACCTTCATCCTTTCCTAACTAAGACCTTTACATTACTTCGAAAACATCATGCCTAAAGCTCAAACAAAACTTACTCCGACCCAATCTCCTTACGGCCGCTATCTCTACTTCTATGTCTACGCCTCATGTCACGTCAGCCAGTCATCCAACAAGCGGTTCAGGAGCGTTGTCCCAAACCGGAGTGCCACACATCACCCATCAAGATGAGGAAGACGGCAATGACACCCTCTCCAGCATAGGCAAACATCGTTCAGTTGTCTACCTCTATTATGATGTAAGTGTTTCTGTATTTTTCATTTGTCTGTATTAATACTATTATCTTAATATTAATGTTTTATTTGTTTCATCAGGATTCAAAGCCACTGTCAGACGTGGCCAATGGTGACAACTCAAAATGGTACTCGTGCCTCCATTGCCCGTGAGTACTATTATCTTGGTCTTTCCTCATATCATTGAAAACCTCATACCGCCTGCTGACATTTGTTTTTTCCACAGAATGGACGTCCCAACTTGGGCCTGCACAAGCATCGAAGCAAGTGCCCCGGGCTGCCAGAAGCATGAATGAATCAAATGCCTGGCAGCATTGCTCCGAACAAGGACCCTGTGGTTGCTGCCAAGCGATACAAGCAGCTCAGGATGCTGATCATTGGCGCAGTGATTAGCAAGAACCTCCCTTTCACAATCTTCAAAGGGGACTTGATGCAGTCTGCCTTGCGTGCGATATGTCCTGGTTTTTGATTTCCCGGCCGGATGTCTATCAAAAACAATTCGGAGGCGCTGTTCTTGGACTTGGAAAAGAAATTAATTGCAGAGATTGCATGCGTGCCTGTATCCATCTCTACCACCACCGACTGCTGGACTTTGGCCGACTTTGCCCACACCTACATTGTGATTAACGGTTTCTTTTTTAATTCTCAGGGCCTCTTCTGTCGGCGACTCCTTGCTTTCAAGGTCAGATCTCAATTTTTCAAATAAGTTATGTGTTATCTCTCTTTGTTGGTCCAAATAGCTAACAAAGTGTCTTAATGGTTTGATGCATACTCTCGCTGGCAAACACACGGTGTGGTAATCAATCTATGAGACCAATCAAAAAATCAAAAAAATCAAATTTTCAATTACATCAATTATATTACATATAGTTTAATATTTACATCATTTTATCATTTAAACAAACTTAATAAGATAAGTATAAACTATTAACAAACAGATTACAAAAAGAAAGAAAGAAAAAACATAAGAAAAACTCGAAAATAGAGGTATACAGGTTGGAAATGGTTTTTAGGGTATTAATATTAGGTTTATGGGTTTAGTAGGGTTGAAATACGAAAGAGGAGCATTGTTTTAGTCAGCAACAACTTTAATCTTGGTGGTTGATAAGAGAAAATAGAAGTTATTAAGGAAATGGAAAAAAGTCGAAATTGGTAAACAAGGGTTTACAGGTAGTTTCACATATGTAACAGTGGTATTAGTAATGAATGAGGTTGCCAAGAGTGTTTTTAGGGACTTCCACGGTTGTATATTTCTGTGTAATATTACAGAAGGAAAGAAAAGCTTAGTAAAAGGTGTGTAAAGTGAAGAAAATAGGTGAAAATAGTCGAAAATGAAGGTTTTGAGCTGATTACATGTGTCAAATGACGTCAGAAAATGCTGAGTAATAGTTCATTCGACGCAGAATCATCAAATTCATAATGTACAATCTTTAAATCATTAGTTACAGAGGTGTATGACAAAAGTTATAAGGAATCAAAGGATTTGATTACACATCAACAAGATCACAAATCATTAATAACTAGCAATTACATCATTGGAATGCTGAATCATCATAAGATCAAATCAATATTCATTCTAGAACATTCAAAACACAGCATATACACAGCATATACACAGCATCTGATCATAAGAATAGACATTAGTCATGTTTTACTGGTCAAATTAGTAATAAATCTTATCAGATGATGAATAGAAGATCACATTACATCATAGTAATGATCATAATGGGTTGATGAGCTACTGATGGCGAAATTTAGGAATGTAGAGAGTGGTTGAATCATTAGATCAAAGCTGTTTACCAACATTTTAGTCATCTTTTGGTTTTTTGGATGGTAAAGAGGATTTTTAAGAGCTGTTTACCACTTTAACAATTTGTATTGATGTGTTTATAAACTTGTGTCTTTTGTGCGAAATTATGTTTCCTTTGATCTTCATCTCTTACATAGCATTAATCATTTTTATCATTATAAACTTATTAGAGCAGTACTAGGTCACTCAAATCAGCCCTTCATCAGAAGAGAAATTTGTTTTATGTGCTTTATATGACACTGTCATTCTGGAATAATATCAAAAAGATATTGAGATTATTTTTCAACATTTTGACTTGAATGGAATAACACTTTAAATGTGTTGAGCTTATTTCTCTGGTGCTTTTTATCAAGATACTTTTCTCTTATTATCAAAGACCTGGTTATATTTCTCTGTTATCAGGAGACTTTAACAACAAAGTCCAGTTTGTTAAAGATTCTCAGAAAGAGCAGTCTCAGACACCTTCTTTAGATCTATTATATCTTCAGATTATCCTCTTTCAAAGCACTGTATAGCCCTTGTTGTGCTATAAGTACTACAACGGGCGAAAATTTGGCCCAAGTCTATTGGGATGCCCTCGAGCATGTCGTGGCGCTCCGTAATCATTTTTTGGTGACCAGGGACAACGCTTTGTCCAACTGTGTGATGGTCAAAATTCTAGGCAAACAATACAAGCAAATTGGCATTCATTGGCCATTCAAATCTTGATTTCACGGGTGCATGTGCCATGTGATTAACCTTGTCACAAAGGATTTCCTCAAAGGGATGGGGGAGTTGACCAAAGCTGACATAGCTGCTTACAAGACTGCGGGAATGGCTGCACCACGTGCATTCTTCACACCTGACAAGCTACCTGTGAGCGATGACAATGCGACCCCAGAAGAGTTCCTGAGCCGATCTCAACTTACTAATTCTTCCATTGATCATGCATCATTGGACGTCAACGGGCCTACTCACAATGATTTCAAGGACTTTGACTTTACTCAAGAGCCTTTTGCTGAAACTTCCAATGAACCTGAACCTCCCTCCACTGTTTCTGGCGCCGCTCTCAAGAAGAAGTTGACTGTCGTAAGCCAAATCCAAGCATTAGATACTCACATACGTAAGAGCCCACTCAAACTTGAATGCTACATTACCATTCAAGACAGCGTCCAAGATCCTGCACTACTCCCTCTTAGCTGCCCAAGTACATGATGGAACTACTTTTATTATGTGGTCAGTTTTCATACCTCAACTGAAGAAACACTACTCACACACTGACACATATTTTCAATGTTTTCTAAGTACAGAGAACGCTTGCGCTCAAAAAATTGATTCAATTGTACACTTTGTCTGACCCCAAACGTGCCAAGTTTACTATTTCTCAATCCGACTGGGGATTGATCGAGTACATGCGACCAATACTCGAGATGTTCAAGTCCGCGACACAGCTTTTCCAATCCAACAAGCCAACCAAACAGTGCGTCCTTCCTACAATGTGGGCCCTTCAAAAGGTCCTCAGGAAGCACCAGAACGTTCCTGGTGCTTGGGCTCGCGCTTTCAAACACGCCAAAGACAAACTTGTCAAGTACATGGTGCATGAGGAATCGGATGTCCAGACATTGGTGGCCATGGTCCTGGACCCCTATAACCAAGACACTGTCTTCCGCAATCATGAAGATGTCAAAGCCCAAGCAAAGGAGAAGAGTATGAGCTCTGGAAACCTAGCCCAACCAAAACCACATGTGACAAAGGACCAGCCCCTGTTGCTGACCGCCGACCAGTAGCCAGTAAACTTCAGGCAATTTACTCTTTGTTGGGCAGTGGAAACCATATGCCCATCAATGATGCAAGTCACAATCTTGGCAAGGTTTACCGTTACTGTTCAGGCAAAGAACCGGTCTTACCAGACAAAAGTGTTGGACAATATTGGACAGTAAGTCCTTTTGTATTTTTCCAAACATGCAACAACAATTTGGTTTCTGTGCTGACTTGACTGTATGTGTATGTATCAGCGTATGGCCAAGACTGGCACCCTTCCCACTTTGGCCAAAATCACCCTCCAACCTCTCACCATTCCTGATTCGGGCGCCTCAGTTGAGCAAGTGTTTTTGATCTCTGGAAACATTTCTGTCCCGTCCAGAGGCCTTCTCCTCACTGACATTATCTGTCACCTTCTTCTAATCCAACACTGGCTCACAAACGACAATGCTTCAATGGAATTAGAGGACTAGCCTTTGATTATATCTCAAACGACTTGTCCCAATTTTTACACCAAGAACTTATCCAGAGATTATTTTTGCTCGAGTTTATTTTCTTTCTTGATTTTGTGTGTCTTGAAAGCTGTTTATCAGAATTTATATTCAAAAGTTTGAATTCTCTTTCTTTCTTTTGTGTCTTGAAAGAAGTTTTTCTTCAATTTGTTTTTATAAAGCAATGAAAATATCCTTGATGTTTTGCTTGATACATTTGTTTTTAGAAAACAATGAAAATATCCTTGATGTTTTGCTTGATACATTTGTTTTTAGATAACCACAAAAATATTCTGTGTCATACGTTTGTGTTTACCAATACAAGTGCACCACCCTTGGGCAATGTGTCCTGTCCTACAATTCCCACATGTTGTGTGTGAGCAAGTAATACCAATAAATACAAGTTATTACTTTTAAGTGTCCCCTTGGGTAACCCTAATTGCCCCCCCAGTGAGAGTACTCATATGAGTAATGAGTACTTGCGCACGGAGCCCATGTGAATCTACTCACTGAGAGCAGGATGCCACATGAGTTTGGATAATTGGTGAGTCTCTCGATTTGTCTGGGACTCGCAGGCGGGGCCATAATGAGTCCCGTCCTCGAGGCAACCTTATCTTTACATACAGTCAGAGTATTGTACTCTGACTTGTCACTGGATTGAGTGGTACTCAAAGTGAGTGGCTTGGACCGCGGCCCAGGGGTTGAGCGTGAGTTGCTCAAACCTGCATCCCTGTATTATCCACATTGGTACTTACTGCATCTGCATGAAAGCTTGTAAAAAAAGTTTTTTTTTTTGCTTGAGAAGCGCAAAAATGGCCCCGATCCGAAATTTACCCAAAGCTGGATCAGCTGGATGGGGACTGATCCAAACCCCACCCAGCGCTTCAATGGTTTTGA